GTAAATTGCGATTGGGATGATGTTGCAAAAGAAACAAAATGTAAGGAATGTAAGAGCACACACAAACTGTTTACATCTGGAAACAAATGTGTTTCGTGTAACAGTCCTTGTTCATCTTGTAACATTGATTCTAAAGGAGTAACAACATGCGCAACATGTATTGCTGGTTACGCATCATCAACTGCTGATGGAAAATGTCTACGTAAGTCAAATAATCCATAAGTAACAGTATATTTTTTATAATTATGAAAAATGATGTTTACAGCTTGCGAAGGAAATTGCGAAACTTGTAAATTGAACGATGATAAAACTGGTACACTTTGTACAAAATGTAAAGGAAGATTTGTTTTGAATTCTAATACTGCAAAATGTGAAGGTAAAAATTTGAAGAAAAAAAAACAGAATGAATTATTACTGAATATAATTTTTCAATGAATATTTCAGCTTGTCCTGATAACTGTAACAAATGTTCGTACGAAAATGACGTCATTGGATGTGACGTTAACAGTTGTGATAGTAATTATGGCAGAAAAACATCCGATAGAAAATGTTACTCTTGTCCAAATCAATGCTCAGAATGTAAAGATGTAGACGATAAAGGGGTTCTTGTATGCTCAAATTGTATGCAAGGATACAGAAAGAGCTCAGAACAATGTAGCGAATGTCCAAAGAATTGTCCAACATGTACAGTTGACAGTGGTTCCGTATCCTGTTCGCAATGCAAACAATACTATGCTCTATACGGAAGTTCATTCAAACAATGCGCTTCATGTCCCGCCAATTGTGACGTTTGTACCGCCTCCGCATCAGATAAATCAGTATGTACTAAATGTAGAAAAGGATTTACATTGAAAGCTGGAGTTTGCGAAGGTAAAGTGATTGTATTTTCATCTATGTTTATAGTTAATGTTTATAGTTAATAGGCTTTGGGCTAAAATAAATATATTTTCTTTCAGACTGTTCAACATCTGCTTTCGCTAATTGCATGGATTGTTCTCCACAAGCGGACACTACTGGAAAAGCAAGTTGCTTCAAATGTCAATCCGGCTACACTTTATCTGATGATAAAACTGAATGTATTTCGTGCAGTTCCAATCAAGTAACAAATTGTGGAGTTTGTGTTCATGGCTTTAAATGTGATAAATGCTCAAGCGCGTATCATCTTCACGATAATGACAGACAATGTGCAAGTAAGTATATATATATATACATAATCATTTGTTTCATTACTCATAAAACCTATTTTTTCCTATGAACTTTGAACAGTCCAATGTCTTACTTGTTCTGGAAATGAAGCAAACTGCGGAAAGGAACAATCCAACTTTGTCAATGAAACTGACACCATCAAATTGAAAGAATGCGGTAATGGTGGCGCCTGCTGGGTTGCTAGATTAGAAAAGGGAGGCGTAACAACATTTACAAGAGAATGTAGAAATGTAACATGTACTAGTTCAACAAAGGAGGAACACTGTAAGAAAACATCTGATGGTACAACAGCATGTGAAAAATGCTGCGTAGGAGATAAATGTAACATCTTCTTCAACGACGGTGATGCGGGAGCTGCAGCTATATTTATTAACATCTCGCTAATTCTAGCAGCTATCTTTGCTGCAATGATGGCCTAAGATACCCTATGAACAATTCAGATAACGAAAAAATTTATGTAATGTTATGTAATTTTGTGTTTTTTAATGATCTTGTAATATTTCTCTATCCACTTTTCATATTTGAAAGAATGTAAAAGAAAAAGTATGAAAAGTAGGGTCTGAAGATGCATCAATTCATGCTGAAGACTTAATTAGGGCAATAGAATGAAAGACAGTGGAAGACTTGTAGTTTTTCATTGTTCTTTGTTGTGAAAACTGTTGCTTTATTTATATGATACTTTTATCAGAACTGATATGATTTCTATTGAAAGGTAATTGATTATTATCTTCCTCTTCAAGAAGTAATTTTCTTTTTATCTTTTAAACAAATAATTAATGAAGTTTTGAAAAGTTGATTTTCTAAAAATTGTTTGTTTTTATTATTCTTATTAAGATGTTGAAAAAAACATTTTTCCTTTGTTTTCTTTAATTCTAAATTTTAGAAGAAAAGAGAAAAAAGGGAAATTGAAAAAAAAATGCCTTGAAAAAATATATTTGATGAAAATATTAAAAAAAAAATCCAATCTCTTTTTGTTAATTGTTAATCTTCTCTTAGGATTGCTCTAGGAAAGAGAAGATATCTCGCCGGTTTTCTTTCATTGTTAGAGATTTTTTCCAATAAAGGTATAAGGCTGCTATTAAGCGAATAACGACGAGCTTGCTGGCGTTTATCTCTAATAATTTCATTATTAGTATACCATCCTTCTGTAAGTATGCCTTGGTAAAATGTGATATTTGACTATCCTCTTCCGAAGGATTTATGTTGCTTTGACGATTGATATTTGTCATTTTCCATATACGATCTTGGAGGCTTAATCGTCCCTTCGGAGGAGGAAAAGGCTAAGTATAACTATAAACAGTAAAGTACATATGTAAGAGAACTTACTAGAATGTAAGATTTTCTCGATTGGTAAGAAAGGCTATCGTACAGCCAATAGAGGAGAGTATAAACGTTAAAAAATGCAAGGAGAGCTATCCACATCCAAAGTATAACAAAGATCTTCTCATTAAATAAATTGATAGGAATAACACATTGAAGAGTATGACGTTGAATATTATTAACAACTCTGATATTGAAATCGCATATAGTTACTCTAGGAAACATTGATGATATTTGAAATTCATCAGTAGTAAGGAGACTTTGAATTAATTTAAAACCAAAGAGATATTTATCTCCTCCCAACAGCGAATTAATTAGAAACAATTGTCCAACAGAATTGATAATGTATAATAACTTTGTTGCAATAAATAGAATGTATAAGGTATCGCCGTAAAAGATTCTTTTAATACTTTTATGATATTCTTTCTTACTTCTAGAGAACAATAGATATTTGTGTATAATAAATACTAAAGAATTTATAGTTGATTTTCTATCTATCTTATTTTTAGCCGAATACAATGCACAAGCAGTTTCGACGAAATCATTGATTTCAACTCCTTCCCTTATGTTCATTATCTTCCATATAAATCTTGGAAAGTAAAAGAGCATCCCCGAAAGTAATAGTATTATAGGAACCCACTGATAATAGACAATTATCTTTTTCTTATCCGGTATACGTTTTGTAGTTATTGGAACGTAATAAGTATTCTCTACCCAACAAACCGAATTGGCATATTTAATATGGTTGCTTGTGTAATGAGCTGGACACCAACAATCAATTGGATCGCCAACGTGTTGTTTAGCGCCAAGAATAATTATAAAGAAAAGGAGAATAGCGATTGTATATCTATGATTAACTTTGTCCATAAAGTCATCGTCGTTATGCTGTGACTTATACAAGAATTTAGTCTTTGAACTAACTGTGTCCATCTTCTCTTTTAGTATAAATTATACTATATAGACGATAGAGGGAAAAGGCTAAGTGTTTTAGAAAGAACAGCGTAATTGAATTTAAATGAAAAAGAACAAACCTCTTCACTCTTCCCTTCTTTCTTTTCACTTGTTTATTAAAAGCGATTTCAATGCTTCTATCAAAGCTTTGTAGACACTTTCGTTATTAGTTACTTATTTAATAAGATAAACGACAAATCTCTTTCTTTTCGTTATTAATAATTTCCTCAAAACAACTAAATATCGTAATCGTACATTTTTTGTATTAAAATCGCCGAGATTTCTGCAATTTCCAATTTTCTCTTATTGATTTATTGATTTTGATATATTACAAATGAGGGAATTTCAAACTTTCTTCTTCTTCTAGTATTTTATGCAAATCCTCCATTTTCTCCTCTCCTTCAAAGGAATTAATTGAGCATTAAAATAACCGTTAAATATTTATTCCAAAATTCATATAAATATGTACAACAGATTAATAAAAACCTAGATTATAGCAACAATGACACTTTCCATTGATTCGTATGCTTTCTCTCTCATTTAAAGAGTGAAAGGTCAACAAATATCTTAACGAATGAAATTTTGATTAAATACTATACAAAGTAAGAAATTCGTAATAAACACATAAACAAAATGGAATAATATAAATATATTTCTATATTATATCAATTATGCTTTTATTAAACGAAAGCTTCTTTCTTCACTATTGTAAATAACTATTTAATTAGTTATTAATGTCTTGTCATTAGAAAAAAAATCAAGATTTCTAGCGTTTTTCTATCTTATTTTCTCTTTCTCTACTTTCTTTTCTATATGTCTTTCTTCTCTTTTTCTATATCATTAATTATCTTCGTATCAGTTAATCTCAATCAGAGAGTTAAAAAAAAGAAAGCCGTCTACGTCTCCCTTTTCACTTCATTTTTTTAATTTGACAACTCGTCACCTTTCTGGGTCAATAAACCTCGTAAACAGAATTTTATATAACTTTATTGAATTTAAAGTATTCGTTTTTCCGTTAAATTCACAGTTTTCCCTTTATATTCCTTAATAATGAATACATAATTGAAGAGATAAGATATTACTAATACGTATTTATATACTGTGTATATATATTTAGACGCACATAATGACCCTTTTATTTCCATGCTCTACTTATTACACCAAAAATAGACAGAATTAAAAAACAAGACGACTTTTTTTTTCCTCTTCCAAAAACATCCAAAAAACAAGTTAACAGTAATCCTATTAATTAAAGAAAGGGGGGCCAAGAAAAGTATTCTCTTATTCAACTCTATTTTCGCTTCTATTTTGTTTATAAACTATATATCAATAAATCTTTTTAGTTTTTCACCAATTGCTAGTAAATTTATCATCAACTTGCTTTGTTAAAAAGGAATTTTATTCAAGAAAACCCCCTAACTAGGTTGGTATATTACTTGAAAACTTGTGAAAATTTTTCAGTTTGAGATGCAAGTAATTGAGTACTACTAATCACATTTGAACTAATTTGGAGATGCTTATTTACAATATAAAAAGAAAATTTGTCATATGCTCATCGTCAGTTTAGCTGAAACGTTAAAGGACACTGAAGATATGAAGTGGTTTCAATCAATTGCTCTTTGCGTGTTCATTTCTTTACATGTGTGCTATGGCAAAAGTAAGTATCATAGAGAATAATCTGTTCCTAAAGATTGAAGTATCAATATAATCTTGTCTTTCAGTTGGTTTTCATGAGGAAATGAGTATGGGCTTCGAAGGAACTTCCCAAGATGTGAAATTCGGACTTATAGGAGCCTGGGATACACATTATGGTAATCAAGTACAATGTATCCTGACTTGCCGAGATCCTAATGAAGTCGTCAGTACTATAGAACCAGCTGAAAAGCCAGGCTCGCCTAATCCAGACTTTTCTCTAAGCGAAAATTTTCCTTGGACGGTTACGTTGACACCAGGTTCTCCTGTTGTCACTTTTACGATTAACTATATACAAGATAATATTTCGGATCGCCCTGACTGTCGTGAAAATATATATTTCCATGCTGCTTGCGTAAGAATAGTAAATAACAATGAAGATCAGATTACTGTTGATCCATGCGATCATATTTCTCAAGTTAAAGATTTAGCAAAAATGTGCGATGATCCTCATATTATTCAAAGAGTTTCTGGATTGAATGAAAATGGACTAGAAACTCAGGAGAACATTTGCTACGACTTATTTGGAAAAGCTGGAGATGTATTTGAACTGATTACCGATGAAAAGCTAGATGTAAGTGTTATGTGCAAACTGAGAGATGATTTCTATATTGGAGCAATTCGTATTCATACTCCTTTGGGTGTTATTTATGCCACCTCCGAAGAAATTTCCTGCCTTGGTCACTTCAAGAGAAGCTGGAAAGATGTACAACGAGTAACACTTGGAAGCGATCCTTCTCTTCTTATGGAACTCGACAAGACCTTAACTGTGCATGTTCATGGATCATCCAGAAAAATTGCCATTCAAGTTCAGCGAACTGTCCAGGAATATGGCAAAAGTTACTTGAACGTGCTAGTGTCGGAAACATCTCAACCAGGTCAATTGTTGGATCAACATCATGGTGGTTTGTTCGGCTTTACTGCAAACAACAAGTATGAATTTATGAAGCCAGTCCAAGATGATATCAACGCCGCAAGTGTCAAAGTCAATGGCCGTGTGGTAAAAGCTTTCAAGAAAGCTAGTATGGGAACGCAGAATTGCTACACCCTAACATTGGATGATATCGTTTATCCTCACACTACTGCAAAATTCAGAAAATATTTCTAAAGTGAATTTAAATTAATACAATTCCACTTTACAAAACAAAATCCGTTGTTTAATTTTTCACCTTTTTTCAACAATTTACGTATTAATAAAAATAATATAAAATCATCGGTTAAATTCTCTAAAAACATTTAAAGGTAAGTACAAAAAAAGAGAAGAAAACAACTATAACAGTTTCATATATGGAATAACGAAATAAAACCAAATGTGGTAAGCAACAGGTATAATCCACTTTCTCCTTTGACGTTGTTAGCAGCCGACTGTTGTAAAGATAGAAAGATTTGATTATTATTTATCGTTCTCTAGAAATGAAGATAGAAACTTACGTGAAATCTCATTACATAGTTACAATTTCCGGTCAAAGAGTCGCATCTCTGTTTGTTTGTTTAATTTGATGAAAAAGACATTTGGTTATTCGCTAAGACAACTTACAGTTATATAATGATTGCATAAATCTCCTCTGCAACATTCAACGCAGGCCCAATCGTGAAACCAGTCCCTTCTGCAGTGCATCTGCAACACAACATATTGGATTAATGCTGGTAGATTTTTTAAACTTTTCGCTTGTTGTTTACCTGCAGGGCAGCCTGACGTCTATTGCAACCTTGCATAGTGTCGCAATCTTTTGATATAGAATGAACTCGATCTCCTCTAGGTGTCCATTTTGATGGAACTATAGTTAAAATATTATTTTTTAGTAAAAGCTATGAAACAGTTTTATCCAATTTTATATCAATTATATACAGTATATATATACTGTATATCTGTGTTAGTATACAGTATTATATTTCTTGCATTATCGTCTTACCTCCCCATCTCACGTAGCTTGTACAAGCATCTTGATATTCGGCGCATTGGTGTCTCTCGAGTGTGCAATCAGAATTATCCCTCTGTTCCCGGCATCTATAGCACTCCAAAGAGTAACCTATTCGAAGATAGAAAAGAGATTGTATAAAATAAACAGACGATTCTATTGATATTTTGAAACAAATAAATATATATTTGTAGCTCCTTACCTATAGCAACCATGGATAAAACTAATAAAATTTGTCCCAAGATCTTCATAACTAAGTATCACTTTGATTATCTTCAAATTAAAAACAAGTCTTATCCACAGGTTACTTTACCTGTAAATTAGTCACCTGAACTACTTAAAAACTGGTAGATATTGAAAAAAACAAAATATTCAGAATAAACTGGTAGACCGTCATCTTCGCTCTATATTCATATATATATTTAATAAACCATAGCTATCTATCTCTTTTAAATATGATCCTAAGTCTCTCCATTTTTATATTAATATTTAATTCCATATCTCTTTTAAATGCTAATGAAGAAAGTGATACAAGGTAAGAAAACGTTATTTTTCGTTAAATTTTGTTGATATTCTTTTTTTCGAACATCAACAAGTTTCTTGAATTATTTATACAATCAATAACTTGCAGATACTTACTGTACGATATTAATCCTGGGGAAGGATTTAATTTAAGGCGAGATGTTTATATAAGAATGGCAAATATGATAAAATTTTTAAATGAGAAAGAAAAGTGGGTGTTAGTTCTTCCACCTTGGGGTCGTCTATATCATTGGCAAACTTCTGGCATTAAAAGTAGTAGAATTCCTTGGAAAACTTTCTTTGATGTGCAAAGTTTAAGTAAACATATTCCCGTTATGGAATTTGAAGATTATATTAAAAGTCTTTATATGCTAAAATTGTTTTCAGCGATTAACATTCATCTATTCTGTTTGTTTTTATAGAAGATTCTAAGCCTAAAATTGAACAAATATATTATTTGCAACGATATAAGGAAGGTTGGTCGGGAGGTCGTTGGGAAGAAAAAATAGATGTTAGAGATTGTTTAGATCCAACAGGCTTTGAAAAGGTTAATAAAAGTTTTGTCGGTTTTGCACAGTTATCTATAATTTTGTATGTTTATTACTAATAGATAGACGGTAAATGGAAGTGGAGTTTTTTTGGTTATTCTGAAAAAATATACGGTGAAAAATTTGATTGTTTATCGGTTCAAGCCGAAATAGCCACTATGAAAAAGTTTCTTTTAAATGAAAAAGCTAGGTAATTTGCAAGTTTTTTTTAATAATTTTCAATCAAAGAGGGTCATTATTATTATTGTTAATGTTATTATTGTTATATAATTATAATAGATCTGTTTTAATTGATCGTGCCGAACATTTAATTCATTTCGGCTTTGGAGAGTATTTCTATTGGACGGTAAAAATAGTAAACACAATGATGACATTTAAATATTAGATATAGTTGTATCATTAGTTAGTGAATACCATCAAAGACACATGATATTATTATATTGTTTTATATGGGAATGCTATATTTTCTATTTTTAATGCATGTTCACGAAATAGGTCAATTTTCCTTCTTCACGCTGAAGAATTAATTCACGGTCGATTTTCGGAATGGAGTAGAGAATGGTGGACTGTAATTATTTTTTAATATATATAAATACATAAATTTATACTGTATATATATATATATATTATCACTCTTTTTCAATTAAGGCAAGAAGAAGTATGAGATTTTCCAAGGAACTAGTCAACACAGCTAACTCATTCAGGAAGGAAAAGCTACAATCAACAGACGACAGCGATAAAACTATACAAGATCCTGATTGGACTAAACAAGTGGTTGGTAGAGGATTGCAACTGTTTTCTTTAAATAAATTTTTGAATTTTTCCAGAAAAAACCCGGTGAAGCTATAGGAGGACCGTACGTTGCAGTTCACTTAAGGAGGAGGGATTTTTTATACGGTCACAAAGATGATGTTCCGTCAATTCAATGGGCTGCTCATCAACTTCGAAAAATTCTAGTTGATAAAGATCTAATGAAATTGTTTGTAGCTACTGACGCTCCGGACAATGAGTACAGAGAACTCGTTGAAAGTCTTCCAGATTTTGAAGTATATAGATACATACCAACTCAAGAGGAGCTCGAAAAATTTACGGACGGAGGAATAGCAATTATTGATCAACTAATATGTGTTCATGCCAGGTAAGCGTTTGCCTAATAGATTTTCTTTCGAACACATTTACACTGTATATCGAAATGTTTACAGATTCTTTATTGGCACAAATTTATCTACATTCTCTTTTCGAATACACGAAGAGCGTCAAATTTTAGGTTTTGATGCGAAAACTACGTACAACGTTGTTTGTGGAACAGGAAAGGACGTTTGCGAACAGCCGTCAATTTGGCCCGTTATGTATTAATTCGACAAGAAAAATGGATAGACAATTTTACAGTTTTATTAGATATAGGACTTTTTTCCCTGTATTCAAATCAACTAGTCACAAAATCCTTCAAAAGTCTTCATAAGGAAAACGTCTACAAAGCTTTCACTCGTAACGGAAAAGATTTACTGATCTATCTTTGACAAAGGATTAAGGGAGGGGTATCGAAGGGAATAAAAAAGTATTTTTTTATCACTATAGCAAATGTTAATTTTAAAATAAAAATAAAAAACAAATATCTCCCACGCTAGTGTCTTTTCATAAAATTCAATGAAATCGACCGTAATTAGTCACTTATAAAGGCGGTGGTTTGGATTGTTGGCTTGACTACCCGATGAATTGTTTAATTTTTACTTTTAATGCCAATTCTAAATTCTTCATTGGAATACGCCCACACAAATTAACTAGAATATTCGATCGTTAGCGAAGGTATAGATTTACATAGAAATTTTATTAATTAAATTATTCTACAGAATCAATCGAACCCAAAAAGAGAAATTAAGTAATCTTTATTGAAAGAGAAAAACATAAAAGGTAGATTGTTTCTTGTATAACAAATATTTGTTGTTTTCATTTAAAAAAAAAAGGAACTGAAAAGAGAACCAAATGATCAGTTTATTTTATTTATTTATTTATTCTGTTTATTTTCGCTTATTTCCCATTAATGAAACAGGTAATAAAGGCACTATGAAACGAAAGCAACCGTCTTTTTAGGCTTTCGACTCGAAGACGGAAGTTGATTTGGCAACGGACGGCTTTGAAAGACTCTGCGTGTTTTTTTTTCGTTAAATAAAAAAAACATTATGCTTGTTTATGTTTGTTAACTTACTTGGTTTTCATACTTAAACCAGTCAGATGGCCATGATCTTCCTTTTTTGGCAGATTATCTAACCATTGCGTTGATTTATCCCCCTTAACCATTGTAGCTTGTCTGTGTAAAGAAGATGGCAAATTTTGCGGCTGAGTTCTAAATTGCATTGGAACAAATTTTGTATGGTTTGCCGCAGATCTCACTGCTGTTTCAGGAACGTCAATTACATAGTTATTATTAGAATTACTATTATTAGATGATCGGCTTAGGCCACTATCTCTTCTGCTATTCTGAACAAAAGTCGCCGCTCTACGTAAGCTTGGCATCTGATTCTCAGCTTGACCTTGATTTTCATCAGCATAACCGGGTTTTGGACGGTTTTGAGAGGCAGTTCTCAAGAGATTGAAAGTAGTAAAAGTTCGAGTAATATCGAAGCGATAAGGTGTTTGAGATTCTTTTCTTGTTGAATTAGCCGAATTTTGATGCTCAAATTGATTATTTCGAGTTTGTTTCTTAATACCAAAAAACTCAGGTTTAGGCATTGTTAACTTGGAATGAACTCTAGTAGTTTCCTCTTCACTGACTTCTATGTCCTTTTTAGAAATGGACGTTCGCCTTCTAGGAACAGGAGCACTCTAATAATAGATATAATAAGGTATAAATCGTTGATGTGTGAAACTACATAAAACAAGATGAAAACGAAAGTAAAGGTAAATATAAAAAAAACCCAACAAGTTAGTAGTTATTGTATAACATATTTAAAACAAAGAATTAATACTAAATAATAATAATAGTAATAATAATATTAATTCTATTCTATCTAAAAAATAATTATCTAATTAATTAATTAATTAATTAAATAAGTAAACACAAAATGTTCACACAACAAAGTTTCGACTACCTCTGTAAAATTATTATAACAACGTAAAGTAGTGCGCCAATCGAACATTTCAATCCAACGTTGTGCGTTAAGTTCTTTACAAATCTTTATTATATAACAATAAGGTTGTTTTTGGTTTAATAATTTGTTTACAACAATTTGTAATGATAAGAAAATCTTTATGGGGAATATGTTTAATTATTTGCTAAAAAATCAAACGCTTACCTCCTGCTGTTCAACTTCAGAACTTTTAGATGTTACAGTTGTTTCTACACTTTCTTTCCTCACTAAGCTTACAGGTTTTTCTAATGAATACAAAGTCTTTTATCCGATATACGTTAAACAATCTAGTTTTTATAGATACCTATCATTGTCTGCGACCTTTTCAAGGTTACATCTGGAGTTTTTGCACGAACTTTCTGAAATGAGATTATAGACAATTTAATGAATATATTCAACTAGTCCAAGAGAATTAGGTTGTTATGGTAATTGTATTTGTTGTTGTTGTGGCATAAGAGAGAGAGAGAGAGAGTGAAGGAAAAGATGTAAAGTATATAAATATAATACAGTATATATAAAAGGAAATACTTAAAAGATACAAGTGATAGGTTAATGTTGAATTATTTTTGCTGTTAGATATAATTACCTGTAATTTTAATCTGGCTTTCGGCAAAGCGCTGTGAACGTGGTTGTTTTTCTGAATATTTTGTTTAAGAAATTAGTGGGAAAAAAACACACACACACACAAACACCGTGCATTAAAAACAATGATGTTTTTTTCTTTGTTTATTTGTTTATTTTAGCGATCTTTAACAATTTAAATCTTTCCCTTAATTTTTCATCCATTTTCTTCTAGGGTCTCACTCTCCTATTCTCGTCAATCAGTAAGAAAATAAATAAAACACACATCGAGTGCAAAGCGGTGATTTTTGTTAATAATTTGTTTTTGTTTTGTTTGTTTGTTTGTTTGTTTGCTTATTTTAGTCCTACTTTTCTTTCTTTAATAAAATGCCTAGATGATGAGATTTCTGTTTCCGTCTTACCTTTTTGGCACTTGCGCTACTAACTCTTGGAGTTGTCTGAACTGCTGGGACATTTTCTTGAGAGCAAACTGTTGCTGTTGATTTTCGCCTTCTTTTAACAGATTTTGGCGGAGAATCAACTTTAATGTCGACTTCTGTTCCATCTTTTTTCACTGGAGTTTGATAAAGTGGCTGTCTCTCACCTTCGTCTACATCGATTGGAAAGGAATATGTCGTTAAAAAGATTGATGAATGAATGAATGAATGAATAAGAGGAAAAAGGAGTTTGCAATAGATTGAATAGAGAAGGAGAATATTTACATTCATCTTTTGCGGTTCGCTTCTTTGTGGTTTTACTTTCGCACTGTTCAAAAAAGAAAAAATGAATGAATATGTGATTTACAATCTGCTCTCCGTTATTAATTCGGTCATTTTAAACTTACCTTCCCCTCAGAAGTCACCGCTGTAACGTGGAATGTATACTCAGTATCAGGCGATAATCTGGTCACATGAAAATGTAAATCCGTTCCAGAAAATATCGTTTTATTATTCATAACTAGATCATATCTAGAAATACGCCCTAACGGTACTTCTGGTGGATTCCACGAAACAGTTAACTCATTTCGTCCAAGAACTACAACTTCGGGTTTACTTGGAGCGTGTGCGCCTATTAAATAGAATAGGAAATACGATGGTTTAGGTATAGAGATTCGAAATACACAATTGTATATTTATATATAATAGTTATATTACCCATCTCAGCAGTTGTTGCTGTGATTTGATCAAAAGGTCCTTTCCCTTTACTCGTCGCGGCACATATTTTAAAGTCATAACTAGTACTCGGCTGTAAACTAGAGACTATACAACTGGTTTCGTAAGTATGTTCGGATAGTTTTTCCCCAAGATAAACGTAGTATCCTTTTAATATTCCATTAGAAAATTCTGGAGGATCCCAAGCTAATTTAAGTTGTGTTGTTGTTCGAACTAACAATCTAAAATTAAGTGGAATAGTTGGAACAGTTTCGGCTGTTGTAAAATTAACTGGATCGGAAAGTGGAGCTTCGTCACCCTCCGTAAAGGCTCTTAAACGAACAGTATAAGTCGTATGAGGTTGTAGCTTGTTAAGAACGTGTTCAATTTTTTCACCGTTGTAAACAGATATATCGTCTGAAAAAGGTTAATTAATCGCTTTATTTTAACTATTCATTAAAGTTTGGTTTTTTTTAACCTAATTCCATAGTACATCTTATAAAAATTGCATATTACACTTATTATAATGAATATTTTATTTTGACCGTTAGATGGCGTTTCAAACAATATCCAGTAAAGATAATTGAATCGACAAGAAGTACATATCCAAGTAAAAGAACCTAATACAAAGCAATTAAATAATCGATATATGGAGAGATAAGTTTCTATGACTAAACGTAAGCGTTCAATTAATCGCATTTTTTCCCGTTACTCCCCCCGCCCCCCTAAATACTAAGAATTCTCTCTACTAACAATTGGTCGGAGGGAGGGGGAAAGTGACAATTCCCACCGTTAGATGGCGTTGAACAAACAAAAACTACATAGATATATTGATAAGAGAGAATCCGGTCTACAGCCGTCTAGATTGTATAACGATGATACTCGATAAAGAATAATAGCAATAAATAACTAGAATATCAAGTATACTTTAAGTGCATTTTACTATTTGATAAGAATGAAAAAAAAGACAGGGGCAATGAAGATAAAAAATGGATTATTCTTGATATTTGAATGATTAATTATGTTCAAGTTGAATTTTTCATTGATTAATCACTTACCTAAAAACAATTGATATTTTACTTTGAGTCCAGAATTTGTTTTTGACTCTTTCCATTTAACTAGGACTTTCTCGAACGACTCCTCTGCAATTCAAAATCTCATTAACATATCATAAAGCATTTGTGTTTACTTAACAACTTACGTTCAATGTCAGGCGGTTCGGCTTTGTCTAACCTCTTGAGAATGGCCAGAGTCTTATTTACCTCCTCCTTTAAATCTTCCCTGGATAAGAGGTAAAACAAAGTTTATTGAACATTCTGTTTGTGATGCATTCGAGTTTACTTACTTATGTTCGCTCATCTCCGATTGGGCTATTGACTTGAGGGAGTTGGTAACGTCGCTCGTCTTCCTTAACCTAAGGCAACCCTTCGGCTGACTAGCTAAAGTATGTAGGGTCATAGCAGAAAACCAGGCAGTCTCCGAATCTTCGGCGCACAACAGTTCGGCTAAAGTCTTTAAAACCGTTTCCGATCTTTGATTTTCTAATAGTCGAGAATGTCCCATTGGATTTGTGGCTAGACAACTTATAGCGAAGCAGGCGTTCTTCGACGCTCCCGAATCGTTACAGCATAGCATTTTGGATAGTGAACTTATCATCTTTTCGGACTCTGGTAACGATAGGAGTTTATGCCTACCCTTATCGGTATCGCACAGGCGTCCAACGGCAAAAGCGGCGTTCATACCCCTTCCCGCTTCGTCGACACCCAACGAAAGTATTAGATTAGTAAGAATCGAAGAGGAATTCGAATGGCAAAGCAGACGTTCGCAGCCGTCTTCCGAGATGGTAATTCTAGCTAAGACTAAGGCAGCGTTGCTAGCCGTCCAAAGATTATTGTGCGATAGTAGATTCGTAATACGGTCGATAGTATCGTCCAAGCAGTCTTGCCTTAGCATCCACTCCCTACCTTCCGGACTTTCGGCGAGGGTTCCTGAAGAAACGAATAAAGAAAAGACTAGTATAAATAGAAAGTGTGTGGTAAAGTAAATTGATAGCAATTTTAATATATTTGTATGACAATTAAACTAAATATAAATAGATTAAAGTGTATACTCAACTCAATAAATCTATAACATTACACTGAAACACAAAGAAACAAAGGAAAAATCTGATAGAAAATTAACAAAGACCCAGAAATGCCCACCTATAGTTCCAGCTGCGTTCATAACGCTTTCCGAGTCGTCGAAGGTCAACATATTAGTTAGGTCGGATAGTATCCGTCTACTTTCCGCGCATTTTGAGTTGATGAGTGAGATGACTCGAAGGTAGCCAAGTTCATTTTCGGCTAGAGTTCCCAATATATAAGCGGCGTTGCCAGCAACCCTGAAAAGAAGAGGAAGAAGATTCAGGATATTCAACAATTAGAGTGTCAATCATCAGTCTTTCTCTTTCACTATTCCCTAAAAACTATGCTATTTTTACCACTAAATCAGATTAGTTTAATCTTAAAGCTTAAATCGGTTGTAGGAGAGTTTCTATAATCCATTATTGTTCAAGTAGCTTGAATGAATTTAGGCAGTAGAGAGATTCTTGTAAAGCTTTATGGTATATTGAAATATATAAGAAGAATATGGCTGAGTAAATAATAATTAATAAATTTATAGCTAAATAACAAATAAATATCACTTGATTATTAATAATACTTTGGCTAATTAACGTACAAAGATTTTTCTCGTTAGATCAAAAGGATAAAAAGGAATTAAAATGAGAAAATCAATCTGCCAAACAAAAATTCAATCCCTTCTGTTATTATTGATTTTGCTGTTGATTTCACACACTTGCCGCACGGATATATATTTATAGATATATTTTTATATTACTAACATTTAGTACAATGATAGACTAACCTTGAATTTGGGTCACCTAGTAGTTTAACGAGGGCCCATAAAAAATCCTCAGAACCTGAATGTCTTAATAATTTGCCGATTGTACGATCTTTATCCACGTGAAGATCGTCGACGAGGCATTCTAAGGCGGCGTAACCGCGTTTATCGGCCTTTAAAAGCCGTACAAAGTAATCGTTATCCGACCAATTTAAAGACATTTTCTACATTTAAAGACATTTTCTACAAAACTGCAAAATTCTCCTTATCCGACAACATACTGCCATGTTGTTGTTGCTGTCTCCTAGTGCGGCCGGCGGTAGGCCGATTATCGGTAATCGTTATCTTGAATATTCATAATTTCTTACAAAAAAGTTAAACTAGCGACATCTAGCCAGTATTCAACATGATATAAGGAAGCAGTGTATTTAGTCTTTTTGTTTTTTTTTGTTTTAATAAATATAGTATATAATAATAACAACAACATCACCACCATCATAATCATCATCGTTAATACATGCAACGAATTGAAACAGAACATTTCATAACACAAGTCTAAATTGATGTCTTGAGCCAATATTTCTTCGAATAAATACCCCTAGGAACATTTTGTTTAATAAATTATACATTACGTATCTATATTCATTTCTTTTCTTATATATTAGCATTAAATATATTCAATTAGTTGATTATTTATAAATTTTATCTATTTTTTATCAATTTTTTTATCTATTTTCCAGTAATTTTCTATATATTTCATCTAATATTTTTTTTCCAGCCGTCCTCTTCTCATTTCTTACTTCATTTTTTTTTCTTTAGCAGTTTTTATTGTTTTATTATTATTATTACTTCTTCTTATTATTGACCATAATCCCCAGCGAAGCCTGTTGAAAAGTTGGAAGAGAGGAAAGAAAAAAAAAACAAAATTTTATTATCATTCAATTCCTTTCGCAGCACTCTCTTATTTTATTATTCACTCACTAATCTACCAGATAAATGTTGATTAGCTTTTATTTCGTCTTGCAGCTCCCGTTGAGTCATTTCCAATTTTTCGTGCAACTGGGTAACGTGGGGAAAAAAAAAACAAAACAATGAAAATCTCATAGATTTTTTCCATTCACATTCAAATTTATCTAATAATCATTACCTCATCGATTTTCTTTTCAGTCTCCCCACTATTCAAACCCTATTCAAAAAGAAACAGTCGTTACTCGGCTAATCTCCTCAATAAAACCTCTAAATTTAGCTATCTTGTATATAAATATAGGCGTATTAGAAGCAGAGAGTTGTAATATTAGCTAGGACTTCAAAAAAAATCAAGGTTCAGGCTTTACAGACTAATGGGTTTCTCTACCAAACAAATTGTTAATAAGCTTAAACAGCATTGTACTGTCACTCTTGGATCGGTCTTCTCGTTAAAAGTCTTTTTCGAGAATAGTCACTCTTCTATCTATCTACACACGGCATTCACCAGACAGATAAAAGAAAACTTTAAAAGGAAAATACGAAACAGGCATGAAACATAGAACAGTTACTATAGAGAATAGAAGAAATCTGGATGAGAGTTTTCGCTGAACATTTCCCGGTTTCGCTTGAAAGAGATATGCAAGGAAAGTAAAAATAATAATAATAATAGTTAGAAGAAAAAGAGGAAGAAGAAGGAGAAGAAGAAGAAGAAGAGTTCAGTACAAAGTTTTTTGTTTGCTTTTTGTTTATATCATATTAGTCGTTTGTTAAACTTAAACATTTCTCTATATGCATCCTAATACCTCTACAACCGTATCGATAACATCCCAATCCGGATGCGTCTCTTTCGCCAACGTAATCAACTCCTGAATTCAGAGACGTTTTACACATAAATAATCGAACGAAAGGCCGTCTCTCTTAAAAATTTCATGAATTGGAAAGGACGAGAAAAAACAATTGAACAAAATTGGTTTTTCCATCAAAACTTACTTCGGACTTGGCTTTTAATTGATCTTCTAAATATTTAACACGCTCTTGTTCAGCTTTTAGAGCATCCTGACCTGTCTTAAGCATACCACCTAATTTTGTTGTGTTTCGTTTTTCATCCGTTAACGTTTTTCTCAAATCGATTACCTGTTTGCGAATGATAATTGTTTTTATAAACAATCCTAATTGCCAGTGTGTTTTCTATTGAATAAGTGAGTACCAACTTGACTTTCCACCATTTCCAAACTTTTCAATGACATTGTTGATTTTGAAAGATCGCTTTGTAACTGCAATTTGTCACTTTCTAGCATACTTAGACGTTCTCTACAGTTGTTCAACTCGACGTCAGCCTATACGTAAAGTATAACATTTACAATTTAAGTCATTTATCGTCGGCTTATAGTTCAGCAGAAGAGATAATCTCTAGCGCGTAAAAGCTAATATATATAAATGCTATTTAAATATGGAACTTTAGTATGTCAAAAATAATAGAAGGGAGAATAAAGTTCAAAGCAAATCTATAAATTGCGGTATATCTTTCTAAAACGTCGATTAGACCTTAAAAATAGTAAGCTTTCTTCGTAGCAAATAGCAAAGTTAGTAAACATAATAAAATATGTGTATATCATTTATTAAGGTGTTTCATGGCGACAATTCATAGGCCTATACGCCTACACTATTGTCGACCGTTAGTTTAAAATGACTAATTGAGAAGGTAAATGCATCGGCTCTTATATCTGCAACGATTGATTTAATGATAATAGCTTTTAAAGATAATTAATTGGAATAGTTGTGATAGCGATAATACGATAATAAATAATAATAATGCTGATACGATAATAAAAATAATATATGTATATACAGTATAGATATATATATAGTGTATATAATAATGAAATGCACCGAATACCCCGAAGCCTAAGGCAATAAAAGAGTGAATGAAAAAAAGAACTCTACAGACTCTTAATCTTATGATATTTTAATATATTGACCATTTATTTAAATAAAAGATAGTAGTGAGGGAAGTTTGTTGAAGGCAATTTGCATTTTACATCAGCAAAAAATTAACAAATACCAATACCATCAAGTGACCAGAAACAAAAAGACGTCATGTATTTTTTTTCCTTTTTTTTTGTTTGCTTAATACATATACATAATCCCCTTGTCAAAATCACGATAATCGACCAGAATCGATATAAAAATAATTATAGAAAATGTTCTCCAATTAACATTAAGTCATAAATAAGCGAAACATTAGATAACATATTTCAAAGAAAAAAATCGAGTGTAATAAACGTTCCTCTATAAACTGAAATTTGTATAATTTTCTTAGCTCCTCCATTATTAATCGTTCCTATTCCTTCGAAACGTTTGCTATGAGCTCAGCTGCAAAAAAACATAAACCGCTCTTCAATACAAAATTCAACTGAAAATAAACTGTTACACAGCAAGGTAGTAAAAAAAAGTATTGTTTAAAAGAAAAACTATGAATCAATCGAATAGACTAAGAGTGGAAAAAAATGTTTTAAATTAAAGAAAGAAATTCATATACCGAGCACTTAACTTCTAAATTATCTAATGTTCCTAAATCTACTAATACTAACAGTAATTAACACAAACTATAACAAAAACTAAGCGACCAATCCTATTCGCCTTTTCAAGTTTTAAATGCTTTTGATGATTTTAATTAAGCTGCCAAATGAATAAAGGTACAATGTACAAAAGGTAATTATTACATGTTTAATATTCAGGACATATTAATTTTGATTATGTTTCTTGTCTAAATGCATTAAGATAAATAGTTCAAACACGTAGACTTATCTATAAAATTTGGTTTTTTTTTTAAAATCAATTTCTTAGAAAGGTTTTGACAGGACGGAGACAGCAACAGAGAGAAAATATGTTAAAATTGTATTTATGTAAATGTGTATAAGTCTAATCATGTTTCTAAAATCATGTCATAGTTGTGTCCCAAAAGTGGAGAAAAATCATTAACCAGTCTGAAGCCGTCTTAAGTTCAAGATCATTGTATTTTCGAAATTTGGACAAAAACTTCCATTTTTTCGTGATAAACACCTAAAAATAAATGTGAATTATAAATTTTCCTAATTACAAATGAATGGATAGATCAGCAATTGTATTGATCTTCGTTAAGTAAAACGACTTTAGTTGTCTATCCATTTTTCTAAAATCTAACTTTCTTTTTTTAAATATGTTTTCCTACGTTTTCGCTGTATTTCTTACAGAAAATTCGTGTTAAATATTTATCCTGATTATTACGCAATAACAATTGAATGAGATTGTTAATCTGAAAATATGTTTAAAAGGCGAGAAAAAGATGATCTATGAGAGTCAAACAATAATTAGTATATGCTTCTTCTATACAATGTTGAATAACGAGCAAAATTTCTACAACACAGATTTCTAATACTTCATCTATTTTAACACATCTGCTCGGTATAATAGTTAACAAAATAGCACATGCAAATTGCAAATTGCATATTCAACATTTTAATTCTTCTCTTTCACTAATAAAGAGAAAGACTAGAGAAAATTACTAAAGTGCATACTTTTAAGGTTAAACTATCATTAGGCAAAATTCTAATAAGCTAAAGAACAAGGCTATCGACTCACTTCAGTTTGGTTACGTCGAAGACTCTCTAGTTCTTCCTTCGTTTTAGCTAAATCATTTAACATGGATTGTTTCTCCTCTTTCCATTGAGCTTCGTTCTTTTCAACAGAACTCTCAATTGCATCTAAGGCATTTTTCTGTTCAGGGAAAATAAAATGAATTTAGAAGAATTCGTTTTAGTTTTAATTTCTAGTTAAAAGTCAGTCTACTGTTTTTTAAAAAAATACTATCGCTTTTCTAATATCAACGGATGGTAAAAGGCACTTGATAGCCCCATTTAAAAAGTCTTTACTTGTAAAATATTTATACTAGGTTTATGTTTTTTTAAAATAAAACTTTGTTTACAGTTTGAACTAATGTTGACTCTTGTAGTTGTAGTTTTGCCTGCAACTTTTCATCTTGAGTGTAGCTGGAGCATAGAGTAATTACTTCATCTTCACTCTAGAAAATATTTTATAAATTTCAGAATGAATTGAGTTGGTAGGTTAGCTATTTAAAAAATTACCATATTATTTTTCAAATCTACTTGTGGGAATAACCGCCTCAAGAGATCAAACGAATTATTATGATTGTCATTGGTGGAATTTTCTAGAGATGACAGTTTATCCTGTGCAGCTGCTAATTCACTCTTTATCTTGTTCTCCCGCTCCTGAAATTCCTGTAAAACAGAAAAGGTTCTCATTGTAGAAAATTCTGGCAACAAAATTAATTGAGGATAAGAGTTAAAATGCTGTTAGTAATATTATCCAATCCTATCATTCATTGTTTTCAAATGTTTAATGCTGATAAGCTCTCACCTTATTCTCCAAATTCAGCTTGTCTAAAGCCTTCGCTTTATTGTTCAAATCCTTTCGAATATTCTCGGCATCTGCTTCAGCAAAAGTAAGAGCATCAGTTGCCTTCTGGCAGCCTTCTCTTAATTCTTGGTTCTCCTTTCTTAGATTCCTCAGCTCAGCTTCAGTGTTTCCATTAGCCTATTAAAAAATCGATAGAGCGTTAAAATTTCTTTACGCTAAAGCTAAAGAATTCAATTAAAACAATGCAAAGGGATAAGGTAATAAATTAAATATCAAAGCCCCCTCACATTACAAATATTATTATATTCTTCAAGAGCTTTTTGCTTAGTTTCTTCAATTTTCCTGGTAGCCTCATCATTCTTTTTAGTTAGTTCATCCGTAACTTTTTGTAATTCTTCTTCAGCCAATTTCTTAGCATCTTGAGCAGCGCTCAATTGTTTTTCTAAGTCACCGATCTTCTCGGCAAAAGAATTTTGTTCATGATTAGAATTTTTTAATTCATCTAGAGAAGATTTCAAAGATTCAATTTCTTGAGTAGCATTTATCAATTTTTCCGATTCGGATTTAAACTCGTTTGTTTTGCCATCGCAAATTTTTTCCATTTCTTTCAGATCTGCTACCAATTTCTTATTCGCTTCTTCAGAAGTTTGAATTTTTTTCTCCAATTCAACTTTAAATCCTTCTACTTCATTCAATTGCTGTTGTAAACGCTCGTATGCTGCTCCCAATTTTTCTGAATTCTATGTTTAACACGAAAAAGGAAACAAACAAAGAGTAAGCAAAAAAAAAGAATGAAGGTAAAATAAATATTCCCCAATACCTGGACTTTCAATGACATTTCACTCAATTGTGCCTCACGTTCGCGAAGCTGATCGTTTAGCGACTGCAAGTTTTGTTGCAGTTGACGATTGTCTACCTGTGATCATGAGTAAAATCTAATGTGAAGCGGGTTGAAAAAAAGCAATCAAGCATAAAACATCTAGCTATAAAAATAAAATTGTAACGAAAGACTGACAAAGGAATGTTACGATCTTTAAGTTTCATAAACATGCTGTTACTGATACAGACAGTAACACTAAAATCACTAGTAATGTTTTCTAAATAGTTGTCGAAATTTGCTAAATTATCATTATATGCACTTAAAACTATTATTTCATGCATTTTTCTAGGTTATATAAACAAACACAAACATAATTCTTGAAATTCCGTTGTCAGTTAAATAATTGCGACTAAATGAAAAACATAAAACACCCAATAATTCATTAAGATAACATACGCTTTCGTCGTTCAAAGCAGAGGCACGTTTCTCGGCTACAGTTAAAGCCTCGTGGACTTTTCTATTCCGGTCTCTCAGTGTCTAAATAAAGACACAAAAAAAATACCTTCTAATACCCGACATAAATAGAGTAAAATAACTTGTTGTTAAGGCTTAAACTATCAAAATGTTTTACGTTTTTTTCTAAAAGTTCATATTAACCTATATCTTATATACATTTATATATATATATTAGTATATAAATTGAGAAATAACTGTATATATATATATAGGAAATTAATTCTCCTCCGTAATAAATTTACATAACTTCCGAGAAAGCTAAAATTAAATGTACTCACTTCATTTTTCTTTCTCAACTCGTCATTTTCCTTCTTTAATTGTTCCATTTTATTAATAGCTGCCTCAGCGTCAATATTATTAGCTTTCGGTTGCTGTTGCTGCTGTTGCTTTTGTTGTTGCTCTAAACTTGCCAATCTTTGTTGAGTAGTAGTTAAAGCGCTAACTTTGTTGTCCAATTCACGGGTAACAATCCTGATTTGTTGGTTCAATTGATTGACTTTTTCATTCATGTTATGAGTTTGGCCTCTTAATTGTATTATTTCATTTCCTCGTTCTTTTTCGACATTTTCTAATTTTAAGGACAATTTTTCTTTCTCCGCTAACAATTTATCAGTGGATTCCTTCATTTTCCTTTGAATCTTTTCAACATCAGTTTGTGCCACGTAATAACGACGTTCAATTTCATCAGCTCGTTTAACCTGTTCTTTAACCTCACTTTCTTTAAGGTTGATCTTTTCTTGCCATTTTTCAACTTTAACTTTCTTTATCAGACTCCATTTTTCATCAAGTTGAAGATTAGATATTAGATTTTTTATATCTTTTTCGTTTAGCTTAACGCCCTTAACTTTGTCTAATAGAGATTCGAAAGTCTTTCGTTTTTCCGCAATTTTTTTCTTATCATCCTCAACGGGTGGTTCAGAGAAAGAGGAATGCCTCGATCTTCTATCGTATTCCATTTCAACTTCATCTCTAGGTAGCTTTCGGAATTCAGTTTCGGTAACCTAAGAAAATAGAAACAAAATCAAACAAATAACGATTAGTAATACTAATAAGGAAGAGATTTCAGGTTGTAAAATAAAAACATAAAAAGTTGAATTAAATTTATCAATTACTGAGGATACTATTTCAATTAATAAGTACTTTGATATCAGCAGCTATTATAAAATATTATACAGTAAATTGCATATAAAAGCAGTATAGCTGTTCTACAATAAGATACTTATCAACGCCGAAGTATTTATATAAAGATTTTTTCTATGTAAGCCATTTTTTTTTTTTGACTACTCTGAACAACACGCGCTTAAACCGGCCGGTAGAGTGCAACTATGTGTCTATGTGTCTGCTTAGTAGCGAATAAATGTAAAAGAAGCCAGCTGGTTCAAGAGAATAGACTGCAATAAAAAATTCACGAGAATATAACATATTAACATGCGATATTCTACAATATTTGTTAGGTCAGCGCCAAATGTGAATTGAATTTCTTCAATTATAATCAGTAAAAGTTCAATTTCGGAAATCAATCATTACCGGCTCTTTTTTTCGAATGCGCTATTCAAAAGACTCACATGTTATTTTAGAACTTTTTCATACCTGTCGTTCTTTAATGACTGGCTTTTCTGCTTTGTTCAGTAGAATTCCATGCACGTCCTTCTTATTCTTCTTCTTTCTGTTTCTCACTTCTCCACTGTCAGCCTCAGCAATTTGTTCGGCGTCAATCTCAAATTCCAGCATTTTGCTTTCTTTTGTATGTGTCTCTACTTGACGTTCGACAGTTTTCTCCTTAGACTTACCCACCTCCTTTTCATCTTTCTTCTTTTTCTTTTCTTTTTTAGTCTTCTTTTTTTCTTCTTTAACTTTTTTCACATCGTCTACTAAGCCGCTTCTTTGACGTTGTTCTTCAATCATTTCTTCATAAGTTTTTTCCTTCATAAGAAAAACTGCTATTGCACAAAGTACAGCAACAGATATCAAGAAACCGCCTATCGCTATAAAAAACGTTGTCAAATCCATCTTTTCTCGAGAATAATTTTTTCAAATATGAAAAGTTTGCCACAAGAATGGACCAGAAAGAATAATTTAAGCCGGTTTTAATAAGATAACCTTGACGTTGACGTGTTAATATGTTATGTAATCGATATTCTCATATCCAAGCGCCAGATATCGTTATCTTGCAGATTTCCTCCTTTAATACTTTAGCGACGTGTCTTATCCGACATATTGCGCATGTGTGGCAAAATTCGATTGGTAGATTTTTGACCAATTTTGCTTAGTATTTAAATAAATCGAATACGTTGCAGGAAACGGAAACAGCAATATTTTACGGAAGCGGAACCGAAAATACGCCATATTTCTCATCGGTCACCGATTCTTTAAAGTTTCTATCTTATATTGGGAAAAATATTATCAGAATGGCAACTTTAAGGGTTAGTTTTTCTTTATATTAAAACATTTTTTGTAAATTCTCCAAGGGATTCTTCCTATTTTTTTCATATTGCCTATATAGTTTGTCGACCTTCCTAAAGGTTATCTGTTCCTTGAGAGATCATTTCTTTTAAATTGTGAAAGAGTAGCGTCAAAACAAATATTATCTATTCTAAATTAATTTATTAAAAATTATTAATCAAGTATAGAATACGATTATTCGATAGTTTATATATTATAAAAGATCTTTAATATATTTTCAAAAAATGCAGACCGCTCTACGCACGTTTTCCACAACTATTAAAAGGAGCGGAGATTTACGCCAACCAATTGCTACAGCTAAGGGTGTTGTACCAAGTGCTCCCGGATACCAACGTATCCAACAACTTCAAACTGAATGGGCGGTAAGAATCAACTCTTGTCCCTTCGTTAATTTGATCATGAAGTGGTTGTAAAGTAAAAGTAACTTTGTTCATTGCAGTCGTCACCTGGTCTCGTTTGGCAAAAACGTGGCGGAGTTGACAAATTGTCGTATTACGCTATATTGATTGTGTCAACAGTTGGCGTGGGCTACGGCATCCTCAATTTGTACAAGATGACATTTCCACCTGCTCCAGCCGAATGAACTAATACAACTATTGATAGAACTGAAATTTAGTGCGATTCAGCAAGTGCAGAATTAATAAAAATTCTAAATCGTATGTGAATCATAAAACGAAACAATTCTTTCTCACTAGAAAACCTTGTACAATAGCCTTGAAAATACCTACTATTGTATAATCAGATTGTAATCAATTGTTTGAAGATTTATAAAATTTAACCTTATTAAAATAGATTAATAGGATAACTGTATTATTATATAGTGAAAAGAAGAAGAAAGGCAATCTACTTTAGTCAGTATTTTCGTCTAACAAATATTTCTGGATTCCGTCAGTGGCTTGGTCCCTTTGATAAGACAACGAAAATATTTTTATTAGTAAACATTAGATAAATTATATGCATATGTAATTACCTTTGAATGTTGCGTTGAACAAAGTCAGGCAATCTGGAGTTTTCACTACTCTTATCTAAGCCCAACATAATATTCCTACAAGCGTAGCAAAAGCTTTGAAGGAAATTGTTAGATTCCATTGTATTACAGTTTGTCTGTTGACGAGAAAATTCGGCCGCTTCTAAAGCAGAACAAGCAGACATATTTGTGTCCAAACGATTCTGAAAAACAGTTGTAAAAAGCGAGATTACAATATTGTCTGATGGAGAGGAGCAGTGGGTTAAAGAAATGAAAATAAATCAATCAATCAAATACATACGGCGCAAAGAGCGCAAGATTTCCCATCGTCTTTCAATTTTGCTTCAAGTTTTTCGCCACTTCTATAAAAATAAAAATATATACTTAGGTGTAAAGTGCTTCTCTAAAGTCTTTGATATGGTTTACCTGAATAAAGTGCTGCAGGTAGAAGGAAAACTCGCTTGGAGAGATAAAACAAAACTTTCGCTCAACCTTTGCATACTCGAGTGCTTCGGAGTCTAATAAAAGAGATTTATGATATATTTAATTAAAGTGAAGTAACCAATAACCTTGGAAGAAAAAGATGGAGTTGCAACAACTTCAATGCCTGTTATTTTGTTGTACATTGCAATTTCTTTTGATGTTAATTCTCTGTTTAAAGGGAAAGGATGTATGAAAAAAAAGCGCATCAAATAATATTACACTATACTGGTACATTTAAAGATTTAAAGAAATTCTACCATTTACATGTATACATATATATCTTTATTACATAACATAAAATTTAATGATTGTTCCATGCTACATTTAATAATAATTTCACGGTTAGATTGCTAAGTAGAAAATTCGCTACCTCATTGGCCTAATTAGGGTAACATCTTTCATATGAGAATCATCGAATTTCTGAAATTATTTACTCGTTAATTATAAAGCTGGATGGAGTAATTCGCATACCATTGAATGAGCAACCTGACTTCCACGTCCTTGTACAACATTCGAGACAACATTGATTGATAATTTAGTTGATGAATCTCCAAGTAGTACCTTTTGACATTTTCGTTCTAAGGCTATTTCTGCCAATAATTGTCTCCTAACAGAAGACAAAGAGTTATTTTATATAAATTATGATTTCTGTAAGAACAAGAAATGTTAATACTTCAAAATGTCAATAGTCTCTTCTTTCGACGTTAACGTATCCAATGATTGCAAAAACTCCTTCGTCACCATTCTTTCTAAAGGTATACACTCGTATTCTAGTTCAGATTTTTTCATTTTTTCTATCACTTTGTCTCTAATTTTAGCAGCCATTTCTTTATTAGTAGTCACGAAATTCGTGTCTGTTGAAATAGTTAAGTAATATAAAGCCATCGTTAATTTCAATTATAATATCCTCTTTTTTACAAATAGAGGAAAAAACAGTTGTTTACCATCAATATAAATTAGAATTGGTAGATATCGAAGCTTCTTCGCTGCTCTTGCGCTTTTACCCTTCATTTTTTCAAATAAAAACATTTATTATACAACATAATTTTCATATATTTAGATTATAATAACCTCTTTTGTTAAATGTAACATTGCCGATGCTCCATGTCCACCACTAAAACCTAATATAACACTTTCTCCATCTCTTACTATTTTTGATTTACCAAATGTTGACCGATACTTGTGAATACAATAGAGAATAAAGCAATCTCTACCATTTTTTAAATTTAAGAATTAATTCATTTATTAAGATAAATTTATCATCTTACTTGCAAAATGAATCATTAAATCTAATGCAAACTATTGCAGGATTATTGCATTTTACGCACGTGGTACTTTTCCTATAAAAATTCAACAATATAGAAAACGAAAGATATAATAAGGTATATAAAGTTACTTTTTAGATTCGGGAGGTGGAAAACAATCACAATTTCCTTCGTTAACGCTACACATATTTTATAAATAAATAAAATTTAGATAATATTTAGAAGGGCGATAATTAACTTTCGACAAGATTACGAAATATACAGTAACCTAATATACCAGTTTACTTTTTTTTTAACTTTGTATTGATAATTTATCGATTGTCTAAACACGTTTTATGTGTATTAAATAATTTATCTATTCCAATATTTCTTAGTGCATAAATATTGAACATTGATACGACAACTAAATACTTCAAAGACTAAATATAGACAATTTTATGATAGTAAAAAAGCCCATTAAATGTATTGAATATTAAAGAAAAAAAGGAAACAATCAACATTTTTTAATTACATGTAAAATAGTCTTTTGTTCCATAACCATCTTTCTCAAATATGAAATAGAATTTCTCATTGTAGATAATTTCTTTTGAAGTGTCGTATTGAAAGAATATCTATAGAATATAGAAAAATAACCTTAAAAACAAGCAGTAAAAAATAAATCAGAAAATAAGACGACAAAATAATCAGAATTGCAGGACAGTATATCATTATATATCACCTGTCTCGTTGTCTTCATGTTTTAACTTAATGCGTGTGTTAAATATTGAAAAAAAAATATTCTAATTACTTTAAGTCTGCTTTCTTCAGGGGATGATGGTATATGTAAATCATCTGTTAAAGGGAAAAAATTGACCATTAAATAAAAAGCTTATCAACAATCATTATAGTTTTTATTATTATGAAATATCAGAATTGCAGGACAGTATATCATTATTTATCACCTGTCTCGTTGTCTTCATCTAAATTAATTAATTCTATATTCCTTTCTAATACTCTTTTTTCAGTAGAATGTTAAAAGAAAAGGAATAGGTATATTATGAATAATAAATAGAGGGAGATGTCTTACCTTGTTTAGGACAATAGCTTTCTAGTACTTTGTCATCTTTTTGTCATTACAGCTGTTACATACTCGCTCTTAATTGAAGAGCTTTCGAATACTGACGTTTGTTAAGTTGCCATTCAGAGGGTTGGCTTTCATTTCATACGCATCTTTTGTAAGGATTTCTTTATTTTGCTACCGATTTAAGTAGATTTTTTTCAAGACCATGTGGTTTTCAGGCCGTACTCTGTAAGTTTATTCAGGAAACGGAAATCGTAAAGTCCATCCGATAGATGGCATTAGCGTAAAAATTTCTAACAGAAATGACAGAGAAGGACACTTGTAGTTCAGAATCCCATCCTGGCGAAATAACAGCCACAAAAAATGACCTTAAAGGTAGATTAAATTGACACATTACTGCTTCTTCTAATTTCTAGTACAGCTCAAGCAGCTTTTGTACTTGGTGTCGGAGGGGCTTCACTTCTTGCCGGCTTTGGAGCAGCCTTAACATCATCCAAGAGGAAAGACAGCGAAATGTTTGCGAAAGGGTTAGAAAATGGTACTACTCTAGCCTTTAGAGCACTTGGACGAGCGACACTCTACTCTGTCGGAGGATTCACGCTATTCTGTCTAGGAGTTTGTGGAATGCTTGGTGTAAGAAATGTAAGTTTATTAACTGGAAATGTCACCTTAAACAAAGCTAACTATTAATTTTATACTAGGTCAAGGATTTTGGCAAAAAAATGCAAGAGTTAATGCCTCCAGTGCCTCGTAAAGAAAATCCAGGAAAATCAGACTTTAAAAATGCTGAAGAACTTATAGATTATATAATAAAAGACGGCAAAAAACGGTAGCAAAAATACATTTAATATCGATTAATCTTTAAATTTTCAAAACATCAAACAAAATTTGCCTTTAAAGAAAGGAACATTAGTGATATAAGAATAATGAAAGCGTTTAAGTAGCAAAATTATTTTCAACTAGTTCAGGTTTCACTCGGTTCTTGTTTGCATTGGAGACGCCCTGTAAGCTGGTGGAGTTGCTTTTTCCTGAAAAATAAAACCAGAATGTTACTCTATATAGTTTTATTCTCTTTTTTTATAATTAAAACGCTTAATCTTATTAATCTGGCTATCGATCCTAATTCTTCAAAAGCGTTTAAATCAAAGAAATGATTCATAATGAAAATAAATCACTCCAAATACGAATACCTCTTGTTTGATTGGGATCGATTTCAGCTTCAATTCTAGCCGTTATTTGGGGAAAATGAATAGAGTTATAATAAATGCTATGTAAAATTAGCCAAGTACTACGGGATTTATATATCTTACTGGCGTATTACCGAGAGTAATTAGAGATAAAAGTAAATTATGCAAATTATTACCACATCTGTTTGAATATGAATGCTTTCTACGGTTCCGTAAACATTCTGCTGTCGATTATTCGTGATTATATTATTTTCAGTCAAGGCACCATTTGATGAGCCGTGTCTAGAAGCTTCTGGAACAACGTAAGTTCGACGTCGTATGAGAGAGGGAGTAAACGGTCCGCAGAGTATTGCACAGCAATTTTTAAATACATTCCCCTCACTGAATGGATTAACGTTGTCGACACCGCGACGATTGGAATATGAGCCCTTGATCTGTAAATAATATATTCTGTTTTAATAAATCATTAATTTTATTTATATAATTGATTTTACTTATTATTTTAATTAAAGAAACACTACATTATTAGTTCTTTAGGTTCTTTAAATAATTATACAGTCCTTAAATAAATATCTACAATTTTATAAATATATATATAAATGTCAATTCAAAACCAACTTACATCTTCGTTTGTTGTTTGATTGGAGGCTATTAAATAAGTATGAAATCCAGCCAAACCTACTATAGACCAAATTGAGAAGAAGCAAATAATGGCTTCAATTATGCTAGCTGGACTTTTCTTAATTGCATCCACAAAATTAGATTGTTCACCATCCTTTTTCTCTTTAGACACTGAAATTTTCAATATTCAAAAAATTTCGGTAACAAAATTTTGCTTTCTGATTAAAAATATAATAAAACAACTTACATAAAACTAAATTCGTTATTGTACAAGCAAACACATAAATGCACAAAATTGAGAGTGAAAAAATAAACATATAGAAAAATCTATAGTTCCGTTTTCCTACACAATTGCCAACCCAGGGACACTGTAGGAAAAAAGAGAATTTTTTATTAAAAACGGACAAGATATTACTATATATATATATATATACTGTATATTTATTGATATATTAACTTCAAAAGTAACATCTAGCTACTTACGTGATGATCAAAGCGTTCTGTGATGTTGAAGGAAAAAAAATGCCAAATTTAGTTGTATTCTTATGAAAATTCCTAAATAATTAAATTGTTGAAATTAATACCAACCTACGCAATTGTCGCATAAACTGCAATGTGAAGCACGAGGTGGCCGATAGATCTTGCAAGTAAAACAATATTTCAAGCGTATTGCCTGACCTTTAACGAAAACCTCTCTTGTTCTAGGAGGTGGCCTTTGACCATTATGGTTTTGCTGTTCTTCGTAAGCTTCGTTATATGCGGCCTCTTCTACTGTTGCTCTCGGTAAAATACCCGGATCAGAAAATGCCGTTCTTAATAAGGTTGACATGACGAATATAAAAAGTATAGCCGCAGCAACAGGAATAGCTGGTGAGACTCTTTGTGCCAAAAGCCTCCCGTCGAAGGCAAAAAAAAGGGTCATTGTAATAAGGATAAGGCTGCATGTGAGGATGAAGACTCCGGTATTATTCGCCATAATTATGCGACCGTCGCAGAAGTACTTATTCCTGCCTGGAAGGACTTCCCACCTGTAATAACATAGAATGTAATTAAGTTATATTAACTTAACAATTTTATTAAATGTACCTAATAGAGATCTCTTATAATTAATTCGTTTGATTATTGTAAGTATTTTCCTTACCGTTAGAGAAACGAAATGGAGCTATTTTGCTAGTCCTATATAAATCTCAAGTGTATGTATGCTATTAATTCTTTAGTGTGGTTGATTATTGTTACAAAAGAACCGACATATACTGCTTATTGTTCTACTGTTTACCAAAAGTGAATTTAATTATGAAAGCAACAAGTATAGAGTGTATGAACTCTTTAATGATAGTGCACCAAATATGTCTCTACGCAAAGAGCGTATACTTGGTATAACCTAGTATATACATGTCTATTTAAGACTATTATTTAATCTTCAGATTGGTTAAAATCCTTAAATAAATATTTTGAACTTGATCTACAATTTACTATCAACAGACCTTATCCTATAGATTTTTAATTTATTGCATTGTTCTACAAAAGTACACTACCGGCACTTTTACTCTAACATTTAGCTTTTTTTTGTCGATGTAACATGTATTAATTGTAGAGTACTGAATTATATTGAAATTAGATTATAGAAAAAAAATAGATGAGTCACGTGTGACGTATGGTTTTTGAAAAAAGAGTATGAAATACATCAAATCTATAACCTTTTTAGAATATATAGCCAAAAAAGCATGGTAAGCTAATACATATGTAAAGACCGAATAATTAGACTTACCTTTTAACTGGTCTGGCAGGCATAATTTCGACGCTGACAGGCTTTGAAATCTTCCTAGGCGATTCGGTCGAAACTGGGGCGTACGAACGACTGGGCATCGGCCAAATTTGATCAATATTTACCAATCACTAACGATATCAATGATGTCTACTATGGACATAGGCCATATTTCGATAGATCGCCTCGTTACTAGGCAAATTTAAGATTAACAACAGGCCGAGTGAGAACACTTCTTTGGTAATTATTGATCAGTTGATTGTTATTTAATCGAATGATAATCTATCTGTTTTCACAGATATATGATATTTTTTCAAACAGGTATTACGCGCATGCGCTAAGTGGCATTATTTTCGTATTTGTAAAAAAAATTTTTTGTGAAGACTCAAGAAGCTTGAAAGAAAAAGAAATAAGTTCCAACTTTCCAGCAAATACGAACTCAAACTTTTGTGACTAAATCTTTTCGAGAGGAGAATTCAAAACAGTGTTTCCGGTCGAGTCGGCGCACTGCAGCAGGCCAATAATTTATTGCAAAAAAAAGGACCAAATTACTTAGAATTTAATCATAATCTTTCAATCTGTTTTCAGTGAGTATAGTTTCATAACGTTTTTTATGATTTTACTACTATTTCATGTAATTATAACGTAGCTGTGTTGAAATTTCGTAATTCTCTATTATCGCCTTCAGGCCTTTAGTTGAAAAATATCGTAGGAAAATTTACTCGAACGCTCATGTCGGCAAAGAATAAACGAGGGAGAAGTAATCTTTCTACTTTTGATTATTAGAATAAGAGAATTATTCATATATTTTTTTCAGGTAATCATTTGGAATCTGATGATTCAAAGATAAGTCAAAAGAGAAAAAGAACTGGATCAAACGAAAAGTAAGCTAATTTTCATTTTCATAATTCGTTTGTTACGTAAATGGAATTTTTTGAATAATATGCTGTGATATTATAAAGAAAGATTCCTCATAAATCTATTGACTTATACGCAGTATTTGCCCGGACTCAACATTGAAGACTATACCCAAGAGAAGGCGGTTCATTCTAAAGAGCTCGGACACCGAAGAAATATCTGACGCACCCCCTTCCCCTACTAAAATTAAAGAAGAATGTAACGATATTAAAATTAAAATCGAATCCCAAGAGACCCTTCCACTAGATGATGATGACTACGATGAAATTACTAAAGATACTATCAGCTCAAAAGTTGAATTAGAGTCTCAAGAAACAGTATTCTTAAACGAATCAGATATACCAAAAACTGAAATATCAGAACTTAACGGACCCGCCATTCCTTTTGAAAATCCTCTAAATTTAACTAAAGCGGATTATGAACAAGATCTCGAAAATATATCTTCATTGCGCAAGAAAATGGACTATTTAAAAACCAAAATAACTCATATTAATGAATGGGTTAGCAAAGAATTCTATATAAATCGTCATAACATTTTAATTGTCTTTGCTTTCCTTACAGCAAATATACGTTTCTTTGAGAAATTGTAATTACTCAATGCAGAGTCTTCTAATCAAGCACGGTATTTCTGATAATTTAGGAAATTTTGATGACGATTCTGAAACTGATGATATATGCCCAAATTTATCAAAGAATGTATCCAGAACTGCTAACCTTGGCAGTATTAAAGCAATGACCGCCGCCAGGAAACAGTTATCACAATTTAAAAATGATAACACGAATAACGAAGGTATATTTTTTATTCTTATTATTATTATAAGAAAATATAATTAAAGATGAAAAGCATATTGAAAAAATTTTCGTTATTTTTAAATTCAGCTAAAAAAGGAAGAGACAGCGAATGTGAAGATGAAGATTTCAACAGAGATGAGGATGATAGCGACTATTCAGTAATATAGTTTATTTGCAAATACCTTTATATTTTATTGTCTTATCGAATTCTGTTTTTTATCCAACAGGATAGCGAATGTATGTCAAAATCTACAGAAAATAATATTCTGGCATTTTTCAATGAATCTTTAAAACAAGATCTGTTGGATATGCCTGGTTGTCTGGGAGCGAAGGCCGATTTACTCATTAAAAATCGACCATTCAAAGATATGGATGATTTAGTAAGCTTATAACTTATAAATTAATAAATTAATGATATATTAATATATATTTATAATCTATTAACTCCTTTTCTAATAGAAAAAGAAATTATCAAAGAGACCCTTAAATGTACAGTTGATACAAAACTGTAGAGAATTGTTCAAAACTCGAAAAGCCATTGAGGATCTCATGCAAAAATGTGAAGATATTTCATCAACAATGGAAGGGATAGTGGAGGAAATCACTGGAAAATCAACGAAAGTAAGCAGATCTGTTATAACAGACCTACCGAAGTATTTAAACCATACGTAAGTTATTTAAGAATATTTTAAAGCTACTTTTCTTTTAGTGTGTTATTTAATTAAAATAATTTCATTAATAGACTGAAACTGGCACCTTATCAAATGGCAGGATTAAACTGGTTAGCCTTACTCTATAAAAATAAGATAAATGGAATTTTAGCTGATGAAATGGTAGCTTTATTGTTGATTATTTTCTGAATTGTCCTATATTTAATCATTATCTTGTTTTGTTTCTCCAGGGTTTGGGAAAGACTGTTCAGACTATTGCATTTTTAGGATATTTACGCGAGGTCGGTGTGAAAAAACCTCATGTTATTGTTGTTCCAAGCTCAACAATTGGTAAATTAAATCAAATTTAGTTGTAGGCCTTCTTTCGTTTTACAAAGACATTTTTACTTTTAGATAATTGGCTAAGAGAATTAAAAACGTGGGCACCTTTAATGGAAGTACTCCTCTACTATGGTAAACAAGAAGATAGGAAGGCTATACGCATGGATGTTTTTAATAAAACTTGTGATCACTTCGATATTATTTTAACAACGTATGTGAAACTGTTTTCTTTGTTTTTCTTTATAAAAAAGCAACTCTTGTGTCTTGATTACAGATATAACATGATAACTGGAAGTACTGAAGATAGATCACTGTTTAAAAAGATGGATATTGAATGTGCATTTTTTGACGAAGGGCATATGCTGAAAAACATGAAATCTCAAAGGTTTACTAATTTGATGAAAGTCAAGGTAAGATATAAAACAATCTTGAAAATTACAGCTACATTTAATAATTAAAATGGACATTTTTAGTGTCAGAGAAGATTTCTATTAACTGGAACTCCTCTACAAAATAATCTCTTGGAATTGATGTCGCTTTTATGCTTTATTATGCCTAAATTGTTTATCAATCAAACAGAAGAGATAAAATCCTCCTTTTCAACATCAAACGTAAGTAGTCGCATATTTTTTATTATAACATTAAATAAAATACATATATTCATATATCAGAATACTGTATATTATTTCATTTTAATGTTAGAATAACAAAGATAAATTGAAGACTGATTACGAGGAAAAGAGGATTGATCAAGCTAAGCGTATCATTAAGCCATTTATTTTACGTCGTCTTAAAGCTGATGTCTTAAATCAGCTTCCGAAAAAGCTGTCAACTGTCGCCAGAGTTGAGATGGACTCTGATCAAAGTAGGATCTATAAGGAACTTGTTCAAAAATTTAAAACAGCCGTCAAAAAACGCCAAGAAGCAATTAAAAAGGGTGAAGAGGTTGGTGGTCAGGATGGTTCCATGCTGATGGATTTAAGAAAGGCGGCGAATCATCCACTGCTATTGAGAAACTACTACGATGATAAGCTTTTAAGGAAAATGGCGAAAGCGATTGCGAAAGAAGAAAGTGATAGAAATGAGGATTATCTTTTCGAAGATATGCAGGCTTTGAATGATTTTGAATTGTACAACTTGTGTATATCTGGAGAATTTAGGGTTTGTTATTACTTAATATTAAATATAGTTACTTTGATAAAACTATATATTTATTAAAGTCTCTGAAAAAATTCACTATGGATGAGAACAATCTGTATAAAAGCGGAAAATTCGATTACTTGCGAACTCTTTTGGCTAACATTAAAGAAAAGGGTGATCGACTTTTACTCTTTTCACAATTCAAAATAATGTTGGATATCATCGAACCATTTCTGGAACATCTGGGCTATAAATACTTGCGGTTAGACGGAAGTACTCAAGTTACTGACAGGTAAAAACAAAGCTTCTATATTTGATTTACAGAGTATAAAATCTCTTTTATAAGTATAAATAATTAATGATAAACTCTCTATTAAAAATAAAAACCCTATTTTCTAGACAAGGAAAAATCGATGATTATAACGAAGATTCCTCTATTTTCGTTTTCTTACTAACTACTCGAGCTGGCGGACTAGGGATAAATTTAACATCCGCCAATACGGTTATAATTCATGATATTGATTTTAATCCATATTGCGATAAGCAAGCAGAGGATAGATGCCACAGATTGGGTCAAAAGAAGTAAGCGTATAAATTATAATTACGTAAACAAGAGAAAGTTATCTAAGTATAATATTTCATTTTCTTTTTATCAGACAAGTTAACGTTTACCGTCTGTTGAGTAAGAATTCTGTTGAAGAAGATATTTACAAAAAAGCTGAAATGAAGCTTAAATTAGAGAAGGACGTTACGGGAGAGAAATCAGAGAGTGATGTTGATATTGCCAACATTCTAAAGGATGCTTTGGCTTAGGTATTTTGACAAACTTACTTAAATGCTATCGTCTGCAAACTATCATGAAACGTGTCTATGAATATGTATCGAAATTGCTGTTTTTTTGAATAAACATTAAAGCAAGCAATTGTATTGTATTGGAAGAGACAGTATTATTTTCTTTGTTATACAAGAAGAAACACATGAAGCGAATGTTTATGATTTCAATTAAAGCCAATTCCAAAGTATAGTCTTATCAATATAGACATTAGAAGATAACTTAACTAGCTTAATTTAATTAGAAAATGGAGAATATTTTCGCATCAGTTTTCGAGGTCTATTTAATTTATCTACTTATTGTAGAAAAAGATTTAATCCATATTTCGATAATTCCAATAAAAGTAGTTAATCTAGATAATGTAGATAAAATAGTCATTATGTTTTTTATCCTTTCCTCGTTTTGTTTGTTTATTGTAGTTTATATATGATTTGTTCATACGAAACGAATTTTCTGTGTTGATTAATTAATGAGAGAGTGTAACGAATGATAATTTCACGACATATTACACCTGAATATTCTATGTCATGTTCACCTATTTAATAGTTTATTTTTTTAATTCTTATATTTTCCAAAATAGCATGGCTTCTCTATTTGTCTACTTAGGCTTTCTATTTATTCAGTGTTGCTACTTTATTCATAGTTGCATAATCACGAAAAATGGAGGATGCCTAAACGCTCTATCACTTTTAATAGTGAATTATTAGCTTTACTTATTTTCCAAATAGAGTAAATGATGACTATAATTGAGGATAAATTTATGTGTAAATCTGTATATAAACTTATATATTGTATACTATATATAGCATCCTACAAAAGACAGAGCTTGTTCTTCGAATACTGTACAAGATTGTTTAAATTGTTTTGTACTCTTGTCCACACAGACATACAGTATGTAATATATACATCGATATAAATGTATATAAAATGTATATATATATACAAATATTATACATATCATGAACTAATTAGTTAGTTCTCCTACGTACAGGATAATTAAATATAGCCCCTTTTGTTATATATTAGTAATGAAGCGACAAATATTATATCAATACAGACGACTTGAAGATAAGGAAGAGAAGTAATGAGGAAAAAGTATATGCATTTTCCATGTTACATACGTTAACTCTATTCTTAGAATATTATAAATTATTAAATGTAATATTAATAAAAAGAACCTGCGAGTTTCTATGTTATTATATATATTATTAAAAATAATAAGGAAGGAATAACAAGTCTTGTATATATATATATATATATATATATTAATAAATTGCCAATGAATATATGCCTATGAAGCATATTCATATACTTATATACATTTAACATGATTAGAACAACAAAAGTTAAGGATTTGCTAATAAAGATGATAAAGTTGAGGACTTACAGACAAAAACAATAAAATAATAAATAAAACCCCATCGTACACCTGCAAACTGTTAACTACAGACAGCAGATATTCTTAAATATAAGGCCATATGAGTATGTTTTTACTCAGTTTTACTTTAATTAAAGTAATATTTCATTATAAAATTTCCTTCCTTCATTTTTTCTCCTCTTTTCTATTTTTTAAAATATTTTTTACGATCAATATTCTTATTATATAGTTGTTTCTTCCATGAGTATATTTATAGCATTTATTAATTGAATCAACAACAAAATTCTACAATTTCACTTAACGTTCTTATTTTTTTCAAATTTTCAAATTATTAACTAATTCTTTAATTCGATTTATTTTATATATATATATAGATATTTATTTATTTGTTTTATTGATTTTTGGGTTTGTTTGTTAAGGTCATCAGCCATAACGTATCAGTAATATCTGATTCTAAAATGTTTATCTTAGTTGATTAGTCGAGTTTCTTTGTTACCGGCATTTTTATAGCTAGTATGTTTGCGCGTATAACCGGGAAAATCGATGAATTATGTTCAAAAAAGTTTCGTTCCAAACTCCGCTAGCGAAAAGAAAATGGCGCGTCTATGAAATGATAGGGCACCATTTCAGAAATCGAGTGGAAAAAACCTCATGAATAATTTATGAGCAAGGAATACTCTACCGCGCGTCGGCTTCTCACTTCCGCCATATCTGTTAAAAGAAGAGCACCAAATATCACTAAACGCATTTAATCCAACGATGGCCGAAAATCCAGCAGTAAAAAGACCCTTAGATGCTAGCGGTGATCACCTAGATGGTGTTAAGGCTGTACTTTTAGACATCGAAGGCACAACTACTCCTGTTTCCTTTGTAAAGGTTTGCTTGCCGGTTTCCCGCCATTTTTTTTGGAACGTTTCTGATTATTCTTTGAAAATTACAGGAAAAGCTCATTAGTTACTTCAGGGAAAACGTGAAAACCTACTTGGAGACCCACTTCGAACAAGAGGAGACCCAAAACGTTATCAAGGATTTAAGAGAATTGGCCACAAAGGACACTGAGGAAGAAAAAGAAGGAGTTGTTTCTATTCCAGAAGAAGACCAAGAGAAAATTATAGAAGGCGTTGTAAATAATGTTTTCTGGCAAATAGAAAACGAGAGAAAGACAACTCCTTTGAAGAAAATTGAAGGTTTTATTTGGAGAGAAGCTTACAAGACTGGAAAAATCCAGGGAGAGTAAGTAATTTCCTTAGTGAAAGTTTTATCACGCTGTCGATTCGGCTTAAGTGTTTTCTTAAGCGGACAGATAAAATTTTCCTTACTCAATATTGGAAGTTTCTAATTAGTATTAGCTCGTCAGTAAGGCTAAGCATTTTTTTAATTCTTAGTACTCTACAAAGAAGAAACCAATTATTTGATTTGACTAGAACAGACTCGTACATTATTATCGATATTTCGTTCACTGTTAGACACTAACTATCATGTTAAATAGCATTAGAAAAATTCAATTATCCGTATAAAGAGAGCATTTATTGTATTGTTTTACCGAGTTCCTTTTGCGTTTAGGATTACGGAGAAAATTGCTATAAATTTTTACGCAATTAATGTGATCTTTTTTCAGATTATACGAGGATGTTCTCCCAGCCATCAAGAGCTTTATTGCCGAAGAAAAGAAAGTCTATACATATTCCTTCGGCACAGTTGAGGCTCAAAAACTTTTGTTCAAGCACTCTACCTCAGGGGATGTTGCTCAACATTTCGAGGGACATTTCGATACTGAAATAGGAGAGAAGAAAGAAAAGGATAGCTATATCAAAATCGCTAAACAAATTGAGGTGGAACCCGATCAAGTACTATTTGTTACCGATTTAGCTGATGGTAAGATATCAATCAGACGATTTGCGTAAATATATTTTAAACGTTTTGTTTGAAAATTACTTTAGAGGCCAAAGCCGCAGCTCAAGCTGGATTTAAAACGGTAGTGATGAAGCGTGACGAGGCAACAGAAGAAGAGACTGAAAAAAGTTTCGTCACCGCGAAATCTTTCTCCGAGCTGGTAAACTCTGAAGTTGATGGAAATCAACCGAAAAAACAAGCTGTTGAGGAGAATGGAGACGGACCAAAAGAGGAAGAGAAAGAGGAAAATAATGACGCCAAGGAGTAGAACTTCGTGTTTTAATCGTTTAGTGGCGTCGATGTACAAACGCCTTGTAGCCTGTTCGCCCGTAAAGGTGTTGTTTCTTTTTTAAATAAAACTTGGTTCTTTTCTAAAACCAAAATATAAGTATATTTTGTATATTTAACATTCGATTTGCTGGAAAATTTCAACTATTTAATACGGTTTACGAACTTAATATTAGTAGTTCTTTATTTTTAAACACCGCCAAAGTTTTGGATGCGCATGCGCATATATATATTTTTTTACAGATGACGCCACTAGTATGAAAACATTAAGCAAGTAACAACTGACAGTCAGGTTCTAGTAGTATCGAATTACGTGTTTACCATTCATTTTTTTCGAAAAACAGCCGTATTTCTGAAAAATTCGACAATAATTTATGACCAATATCCAAAAACAGCCCATAAGCTTTCAGTTTGAATCGAAATTAGAGCAAAATTTTTGCCCAAACGTCATAAAACCCAACTGCAAAGAGGTATAGTTGTCTCTGTACTTATAGGCCTGTTTTATTATGTTCTTGTTGTGCGTAAAAACAATAAATTCCCCAGATTGTCAACTAGTCTTTAAGGAATCAGTCGACGAAAGAATCAAAGTGGAAGGTATGTTTTTAAACGGTCAATAAACCTTTGAGACATGTGTCTTTTGGCCTATACTAATCTTCTTTGTTCCAGATGGGTCGAACGTTCCTCACTCATATGGGTGGAATTCGAATATACTCATGTGCTAACTGCGAGACTCCTCTAACGAACAGGGCCGAATTAATATCGGTATATACAATTTAATACCCGTTATATGTATTTATATTATGAAAACAGGGTTACAAAGCATAAAAAAAACAAATAACATTTCAATATCAATAAATGCAACGAATTATGAAATAATAAGATGACACATATACTTTAGTCATACAAAATGATTTGGAGTTATTCCATACAGAAAAAGAATAATAACGTTCTTTTCTCTCTCTCTTTTTAATTTATTGTGATATTTTAAAACGCCTTTAAGGAGTATTTTTCGTTTTTGTTGATAGTTTTTACCTGTGCAACAGAATTCTATTAATTTCACGTTAATTAAACGATTAATGGATTTTTTTTCCCCTATCCTCAATTCAGAGATTTATGAAATTAGTTTATATATAAATATATCCAGTTTTTACACCTAGATAAAGAGCAAATGTTTATATCGTTACCAATTGTTTCAATTAATAACAATAATAAAACCAATGGACGTTAGAAAAAGTTATTGACCGAGTTCCTTGACGGAATAGCGTGTTATTTTTAGATTCGTTTTAGATAAGGTGTCTATCTTTCTTATGTCTTTTGACCTGCCATTAATTTTTTTTAGTTTCTCCATTTTTATTTATTGTCAGTAAATTGATAGAGGAGAGAGATACTGGACCATATAAATTTTTATACTATATATACTATACATGTAATATCTCTCAGCTTTAAACTTTTAGCTTTCAGCGAAGGAAATATAAATTCTATTTTATTTATATTTAAGGGAGTATTTTGTTTTAAAAAGAATTTTAAAAAAATATAAAACTATTAATATTCAATGTTTTTTAAATTGTTTACAAGAAAAGAATGCCTGAAAGAAATTATTTTCTAATTTTATTCATAGACAAACGATCTTATCAACTACGTCTTGAGCAGACAAAATTTTTAGTACAGGAAGTTAAAAAATCTAAATTACTATTATAAATTCTCCTCTTCTATTCAAAACAATATTAATATTTAGTATTTCTTTTTGTTAATTGACATTTGACATGCTGCTGATTAATCGGGTTTTTTTTTGTTTTTATAGACTCGTTTCACAGGAGCAACCGGCAGGGCTTTCCTTTTCGACAAAGTCGTTAATATTGGCTTCAGTGAAGTTCAAGATAGAGTTATGCTTACAGGTCGACATATGGTTAGGGATGTTTCATGCAAAAACTGTGGAGCAAAATTAGGCTGGATTTATGAATTTGCCAACGAAGAAAGTCAAAGATATAAAGAGGGTAAAGTCATACTCGAGCGAGCTCTTGTAACCGAGTCCGAAGGCTTCGAAGAAAATCCCCCTCCACCGCCCAAGCCAACTCCCTTTCCTAATATGCCTCAACACATTCAATAGCAGTCGTTTTAAAAGAAAAACAAACAAAATAACTGACTTTCTTTGCTAAATGTACAATGTGTGGATAGAAAACTGAATAGTTCGGCTTGCATCATCATTATACATACATACATACATATGTATAGCATTTTCATATTTTCAGGCAGGAGAAAGAGTTAATTTCCCTATTTTTTGTGTAAAGCACTTAGCAACTTAACCGAATAAGAATGCATCGTATCACAAATAACAATACATATGTACATATATATATATATATTTTAATATATACGTATATACATACATACATATATACATATATACATACATTCATGTGTACTTACGTTTGATTACATGTATATATTCTATTTATACATGATTAGTCGATGTATGCTAAATTCATTCATTGTGTTGAGTGTGCTTTGTAGAAATTAATTCAATGGTATTGACATACAAATGTATAATTTAGGAGCAAAAATTTATGGTAATCTATCTATCTAACTATCTTTATCTATCAATCGTGCTTTACCAAACCATTACTGCTTCAATATCTGTATGAATTGGCTCGGTACAGTGATGATGGGGATGATGATGAAAAATTAATTAATAATTCTGCAGTTTATTTCTGGTGATTGTACTCTTTTCTAAAATTTGATCATAATAATATTATTGATAAAGTATAATTGCAAATCAATACAGATAAATTGTTTTCGATATATTAGCTGTTGTTCTATTCTAATCAGCTGATATGTTCTCAATACCAATCCTAACAGAGCTTTCTTCCGGACCTAATACATAATATCATTTTTAATCAACTAAATCTATAGTTCGAGTCAAAGGAGCTTGTAAATTTTAATTTGTAAATTCTTGCATATATTCCACGAAACTAACAACAGCCTATTTATTTGTTTATTTTAGAGATTTCTTTGGATGTTAAGTATTGATATTTAAAAAAAATTCTATTTATTACGCAATCTATTTCATTTTTTGCGTATCATATCTACAATATTTAAATATATTGACAAGAAAATAAAAAGAAAACTATCTAGTTTATCATTAAACTATGGATGTAGTACTGTTTATTATTTCTATACGTATATATATATATATATATATATATACTGTATATACTGTATATATACTAATATATATGTATATGTATATATACTCTATATATGTATATACCTCTTTTTAGCATGAAAATGTTTAGATAAAAAGAACCATAGTTAAGGCATTAAGAAACTAAAAGGTGTAGTCGTATATGGACTATATGACTACTGGAATACATTAAACAATCAAGAGAGTTTGTTGCTTCCTTTTGTTTGCTTTTTATAGAACCAATATAACCAAAGAGAAAGAAACAGTATCGAAGAATTAAATAGTTACTGTCTTTGTCAGAGCTTATCAGCTGATTCTTAAGATGACGTCTCTTTTTCGATCTGGTCCAATAATTCCTGATCGATTTCATCGTCAGCCTCGGCAACCATTTCGTATTCTTGCAATTCGGCGGCTAGTTGATCCCATTCTGGTTCTTCTTCGTCAACTTGAGCTGCCTTACCTTTTTCCTCCTTTTCATTAACCTTAAGCTGTTCCATATCTTTTCGTAGTTCTTCTTCATTTAACGATTCTGTATAGTCATCGCTTATAAATTCGTGCTCTGTAGGACTTGAAGACAACTCTTGTGTGGAACTTTTCAAATTGGGTTCTGGTATCGGTTGTTCGGTTTCTCGTTCCTGTTCCAAACTAGATAGTTGAGCACTCTGTTTGATAAGAGATACCCTGTAAAAGTAATTTCTCCAGAATACTTCCTCTTTAACGTGTTTAGGGACCAGTTCAAATCGCATTTTATTTAACTTTTGGTCTTCCTGTAACATGGCCATGGCAACTGGGTATGAAGTGCTAAAATCAAATTCAAATTGAACACCAGAAGGAGGGTTTCTAACAAAGTTTCTCTTATCGCTGGATAAGGCTAGGATTTGAGATTTCATTTGCTCCTCCTCGTTAAACCCTATCCATGGAGGAACAGCTACTTCCGACTTACTGGTTCGTTCTTTATTTTCAGTTACAAACTTTTCCTGTTCTTTTTCAAAATCTCCGATAATCGTTTTCTCTTCCACTGTGCTCTTAACATTCTTAGCAGTTGCAGCAGCCTTATCGGTAACCATTTTTCCAACTGTCATAAGATAACTACCCCATTCCTTTGCAGAATTTATTGCTTTTGCAGAGACTTCCTCCAGTTGTTCAGAAATTCCAGGCGCTTCGCCTGTCTCTTCTGTAGTCTCTTTTGCTTCTTCTACATCAGGGGTTGATCGTTCCTTTGCTTTTTCAGTATCATTTTCAGGAATCGTTGCGTCACCAACCTTGATAACTTCAGTATCGGACTCGTCTCCTCTTGTTGCCCCTAACCAACCCGACACGTTCTTAGTTAAGTTTGACCAATTTTGAAACATCTTTAAGCTTCAAAAGGTACAACTATAAAGTCAATTTATTTGAGAAAAAAGTAGAAAATCTGGTTTTTTTTGGTGAGATAAGTCACAAAATGTCGTAATGTTTTTATCACGTGATACTAACCTTAAATTCAGAAATTTCGTCCAATGTAATTTATAACGAATATAAAAATGGCGAACTATGCCTAACCTTATACGGACATTCGTATTTTGAGGAACAGCTGATTTTAGATCAAGCACAGAAAATTCATATTAACAGCATAAAAATGCTAATTTAATTTCTTTTCATAGAGTAATAATGAAATTTCTCTTTTCCGTCAAAAATCATAAAAATAATGGAAATTATTTTCGTACTACCAATAGGTGCTCCCCTTCGATAAATGTACGTGCCTGGGCCCTAGTCCAGACCAGGTGCCATATTAAGTAACATCGTTTTTCACTCAAAAACATTTCTTTGTTTTTTTATCTTAGCTCGAAAAATACCAAAAATAGGGTCAGAAATGTCGAGAACAAGAAGAGCTTCGCATGCTGGTAGTTGGTATTCTAATAATCGTAAGTTTCTTTAGCATAAATAACTTTTTAAATAAAAAATCCGTAGGTTTTGTCTTTTATTTTATATTTGATGATTCATTATTCAAAAATGGTAAGTTGTTAATTAAATGTTTGCATACAGGTGATGAATTGAATAATCAACTTGGTGATTGGTTGTCGAAAGCTGGTAAAGTTCATCATCCGGCAAGGGCAATAATAGCTCCGTAAGAAAGAAACATATGATTTATTGAGAATTTTCAGAGAAGAATTTTTTCTATTTTTTTCATTCCAGACACGCTGGCTATTACTACTGCGGAGCTTGCGGGGCTCATGCTTATAAACAAGTCAATCCAGAGAAAATGTAAATTTCTTGAATAATATAGTAAACTTAATTATATTTGTGCCATCAACAGCAAGAGAATATTTATTCTTGGTCCATCTCACCACGTTCGCCTTTTGGGTTGTGCACTTTCGTCTGCTCAATATTATCAAACGCCTCTATACAATCTAGACATTGACTTGGACATGAATGATGAGTTGTTAGCAACTGGAAAATTTGAGAGAATGTCTCAAGATACCGATGAAGATGAGCATAGTTTGGAAATGCATCTTCCATATATAGCCAAAGTGATGTCTGCTAAACAAGGAAAATTTAAAATTGTACCGGTGCTCGTCGGTTCACTCTCAACTCAAAAAGAGAAGGAATACGGCGAACTATTCGCTAACTATCTCGCTGATCCAGAAAACTTTTTCGTGATTAGTTCAGACTTTTGCCATTGGGGTGATAGATTTAATTATAAGCATTATGATAAGTCCAAAGGTGAAATATGGCAAAGCATCGAAGCTCTGGATAGAACTGTTTGTATATTCTTGCTATATTATATTATCTATTCACTAAACTCTGATGAATTATGTATCATTTAAGGCTATGGATCTTATTGAAAAACTGGATCCACCGGCTTTTAGCGATTACCTCAAGAAGTACAACAACACTATATGTGGACGTCATCCAATAGGAATTTTGCTTAACTCGGTGTATGCTTTAGGACAAGTTAACGGGCATGAGTTATCTTTGAAGTTTACTAAATACGCTCAATCAAGTCAGTGTAGAAATATGAAAGACTCATCAGTAAGCTACGCATCAGCTTCACTCACAATCACTTCTCACCCATGAGTTTCAAGTCAAATTGTTACTAGCAAGCAACAGTCGAAACGTAAATTCGTAATTAAAAGGAGAGACGATTGCGTTACCTTCTCTTTGTTAATCTTATGTAATAAGTCGGACAAAAAGAAGACAAATCATAATCAAAGAGCAAAATGGTTGTAATGTTTTTGTCGCGTAATATTATTATTCATTATAATCCATTAAATATAGCTATTAATAGTAAATTAAATGATCTTTTATTTCATTAGACATTTTTAGCTTACATATAGTTTACCTTTGCGGATTTTTACAAAGCAAAATAAAAAATAAAAAAAAGAACTTTAGACATAAAAATTCTCTATTTCTGTGTTCTAGTCTATTCCTTATCTTCGAACGTATAAAGATATTTTTTGTGTCTTTCTCTTTATAATATTTGATATTTAATGCCTTAATTCTATCTCCGTTTAAATTATCTACAAAAAAAATACAGGAAAGAAACCATATTTTTTTCTTTATTAAATTGTCAATATTATTAAAAAGTTGTTTTTTTTTATATTAAGTTTAATTTGTAGCTAAAAAATACACGCATATACATTCATGCATACATATAAATATATATCATTTTGCTTTTATAGTGAATTAAACGTGTTTATGAACTAATAACCTCCAGTCAATTTTTTAAACCGGAAACGGAAAATTTTTTGGGAATACTTAACCCTACTTTAGCATGTCGTAATATTCAAAAGGTTTTCCACGCTGCTTTATAAAGGTTAGCAATTATGATTTACTTATACTATTAACTTTCTATATAAACTTATTCAAACATTGTTCATAAAATACTTAAAATATACATTATATTATTTCAAGTCAACAAGAAACTTCATATTGGAAAAAAAAAAGTTTAAACTTTATTCCAAAATGGACGGACAATTAAGAAAGTCAAAATTTCACCCAAAAACTCCTTTGGACGAATGGAATCCAATGAATGTTGACTTTAATGATGAAACATTAAATACTTACAAGTCTGGTATTGGTCGAGATATGAGAAATGCCGAAACTCAAGGAAATTATGCTAGACTTTTTGTAACAAATTTTCCTCCTGAACTCGAAAAAATTGGACTTAAAAATCTCTTTCAAGACGAATTAAACATTCACGTAGATGTTGTAACTACTAAAGATAAAAATATGAAGGATATAGCGTTCGTTACCGTCCCCACGAGAATCGCCTCTAGAGCATGCCACATTTTCAACAACAGACAACTTGGCCAACACATCTTGACTGTACGAGTTGCTCAGAGTAAGAATAGGGTTAGGGATAAGGAGGATATAGAGGGAGGAGAACTCGATCCGGTTTATGAAGAATTAAAAAAAAATTACGAAAATTCTCAAAAAGCATTGCAGGCTCAAGAAACAAAAGATTTTATTAGGGATAAAGGTACTGCAAGATTTGACGATTTTCCACGTACAGCTTTACATAAAGGTGAACTGAGAAAAGTAGGTTTCATTGTTCCTTTTCTTCTATTTTATATATGTGTTATTAAGATTATCTAATCAAAGAAATTCATGCTTTTTTCATTGTTTTAGGGAGTAGCCGTAAGCTGTTTATCATGGTCCAGTTGTCAGGATGATATTTATGTATATTTGGCCGAAACGAGAAGGGACGTTATTGAGGGAATCAAATGCGATAAACAAGAATTACCAAGCGCCGAACGTTTTCACGTGGCCTTAACAGAATACAAAGGAAGATTGTATCGTGCCAAAGTACTTGAAGTTCTTGGTGAAGATACTTGGATCGTTCATTTAATTGACATATGTAAGATTATTACTACGAAAAACTTATACGCTTTGAAAGAAAGTATGCTGGATTTGGAAATTCAACCTGTTCAATGTAAACTATTCGGCCTATCTTTAACAAGCGTCCTCTCAAATTGGGTATGCATTTATGATATTATCTTTGAACAATTGCTAAGAGACGAAGAAGTCGACATGATAGTTAAAGCAGTCTCTCGAGGGGTCAATTATGTAGATTTTAAATCGGAACTAATTGGCAATAGCTTATGCGAATGGTTAGTTTCAAAGAAAATGGCTAACTTTATACCTTCTTACGGTCTCCATAAGGGACATATATCTTATTTTCGAGATTTTCAACACTTTTACGTTCAATTTAACCGAGAAAAAGTTGAACATTTGGAATATCTCTTGAATAATTTAGAAAAGCATTATCTAAAAAATCATTTTGTCAGTTTGAAAGTAGCAAAAAGGGCTACAGATAACAAATGGTATAGGGTAAAAATCTTGGAAGATAGATCGGCTTTTTTTGTTGATTATGGTTGGATAGAAAGTGTTGTAGACGTTCGCCACTTACCGGAAGGAAGTGAATATCTTTGCCCTCCTCAAGCTCAACTCTTCCATTTAGAAGATCATTTTTTGGCAGAATCTATCGAAATATTTACCAAGGAATTCTCAGGAGCCGAAATCGAATTGGAGTTGCTATGTCAGAGTGCAGTGAGAAGATTTAAGCACGGCTCGAGAATATATCCAAGAGATGCTAGAAAACTTTACGATAGAACTCTATCTGTATCCGTAAAAGATACACCTGAAGAAAACTTAACGATTGCCGATGAAAAGACTAGAAAGCTTAGCGCTAGAGATTCCAGATTAAATGATGTTTTGTCTCGTATTAAGAAATATGTGACTGAAAATTCAACAGCTTGTGACAATGAAGTTGTCACTGGAAAGAAATTTTCAAAACTAGAAAATGAATATTTAAGAGAGAAATCACCGTCAATTGCTTTAAAGAAATTTCAAAATGAACATTCGAAGCAAGAATCGTTCGATGAAGATACTACCGACAATCGAAATGACAGAATGTTAACATCCGATCAAGGTGACATTTCTGAACTGAAGAATAAAATCAGCCCACTTAAAGATATACCGTTAAGAAAATCGATTCCTAGTGATAAAGAAAAGTACGAGGATATCCGATTCCTCAGTAAGAACAACGAAGAAGATAGAGAGAAAGGAAAAACTCTCGAGAAGAAAGACGATGTAGCAAAGAGTTTAGACAGTTCTATTGCATCTGGAAGGAAGATTACCGTTGATCAAAATGATAATAAAATTGTAGATACTACGTTCGAAGAAACAATAACCGTAACAATTGGTGATAAGATGAAAAAAGAAGACTTTAGCTTTCTAAAATCTATATACGATAAGTATTCAGGAGTTAAATTTCCCGAACCAAATAAGGCTGTCTTTGTTAATGTAATTGGTATTTACAAAAATCGATCAGTTAAACTTTTGTGCATATTGGGAAATAATAAATTAAATAGGCTATTCTCAGAGATGAATGATTTCTACAACAAGCTAACGTTAACTACCGACTATGAACCAGAATTAAATGAGATTGTGGCTATTTGCTTTAATGGAGAATGGATGAGAGCCGAAAAACATCAAAATTATTACTTTTGTATAGATATTGTATATTATATATCTGAAAATCTCGTTGAAGGAGTACATGAACTTCATCCCTCATTTACGAAATGTCCAATTTACGTCGCTTTCGTTGAACTTATTGGTACATGTTCTACAGGAATTAACTGTCCAACTATACTCTTTGGCTATAGAACTAATAAAAGTTCAATTTGCGCTCAAGAAGTACCTGATGAAGATCTCACACCCGACTTAATCAAACTAAAGCAGTCGTCGGTATATTATAAAATGAACGCTATACGAAATATACAGAAGAAAGGTGGGCAAAGTGGTTATTTTGATACTTTAACAGCTATGCCAGTTAATCGAAAAGACATGAAAAATCACAATATCTATTCGAGAAAGGACATCAAAAAGTTTGAATTTATGGATTTGAAGTTGACTGCTGGCTATTGTCTTAAAGGCTACGATCATAAAACTCTATTAAAACCTGTTAGCGAAGTTTACCATGAAAGGAATATCTCATTGAACCTTCAGGATGATGATACCTTAAAGGTGTTAAAGCAGAAAGTAACTGGAGCTATTGGTTGTTCTAAAACTCCATTAGCTGAATCGAAAAGATTAAGTAACATTGAAGAAAAATTTGCAAATGACAACGAAAAAAGAGCATCTTCAAGTCCGACGAAAATAAACTCAACTGTTGACTCCGTTGGCGAAGCAAAGGTGAGGTCGATTAAAAAAGAAGATAGAGAAGATAATTCAGAAGACTTGCTAAGTCAATCAATTAAAGCATTAGATGTCGATTATATACGTTCAAAGAAATTAGCTGCAAAACTATTGGCCAACAGAGCTCCAGATGATAGAAGAAGATATCGAAATGGAGATTATAAAACGAATTCAGGCTACAGAGACAAGATCATTGCAGTGAAACTGCCTGTAAATCAACAAGTTCTTGGGCAAATAATTGTTGCGGATGACCCCAATTCATTCTATTTTCAACTCGACGATAATAAAGAAATAAATCAAAAGCTAGAGGAAAGGTCAAGAGAACTAGCGGAGAAGCTTGGTTCATTTCCTCAACCAAAGCGTGATATGCTTGTTTTAGTCAAGCGCCATAATAAATGGCAAAGGGCTAAAGTAGTTGAAGTAAACGAGTCGAAAGTTACAGTTAGAAATCTTGATATTGGAGGGAAATGTCAAGTCAATACTGAAGATGTTAAAATGATGCCGGAAATATTAAGATGTATACCACCTTTGGCAGTTCATTGTAGTCTATACGGAATTGAATCGAAAGGAGACAAATGGTCAGCAGAAGCTTGTAAGACATTTAAGGTAACATTAAATACAGTATATTATATATTGCAATGATTATATAAATGTATAAGTTGACATCCTTATTTTGCAGGGTTTAGTGTCAAGACAATTAGTTTCCGTTGAAGCCACCGAAATTATTGGCGATTTTGCATTTGTAGATGTGTTTATTGAAGGAATGAGTCTTCGACAATCACTAGTCAACTTTAAGTTGGCCTCTTGGGCAAATGAAGAGGACGCAAAAGAAGCTATTTCGAAATCTGCTGCAACAAATAGTTGTAAATGTAAAGATATAGAATTGAAGAAATTAGAACTTTGCGATGGAACTGTTGTTAGAGTAATCATTTACGAATTCAACGATCCTTCAAATTTTACAGCTCAAGTTATCTGCCCCGAAATAGCTTCGGCACTAGTATCGTTACAAAACGAAGCTAATGAACTATTCTCAAAAGATGACGACAATTATAAAATTGAGGGAGAAATTCAAATTGGTGATTTAGTGTTTGCAATCAACCCTGATGATAACTTGTATTATAGAGCAGTAGTTACGTCGGTTGAAGAAAATACACTATTTCAAGTGAGATTTCTAGACTTCGGTAACGAATCCGATCAATTGGTCGGCGAAGAATTGAGAGCCATTCCAGAGAAGCGTTTCATTGAAGACCTTCCACCGACTGCTTTGAAGTTTACCCTTAGGAATTGTGAAAACATGAACATGAGTCCATCGGAAAAGGAAAAGTTTAGAACAATAGCACAAACGGAGACTATTATGGCAGTTGTTTTAGAATGTAAAGACGATAAGTATATCATAGACCTAGAAGACGTACATGGCAATCCGGTGGGTACAGATCAATAGATATATTAATACATATACATAAATATATATATATATATACAACTTATTACTATTATTATTACTGTTGTTTATTGCAGATAATGGACCTTTTATAAAGACCTGGAAATTGAAGAAATTGAAAAAATCATGGCCTTTTTGTCGTAAAAAAATTTTCTGTGAATTCTTTTTGTTTAAGTAATACAACGATTGATTTATCTATCTTTCTTGGATCGAATTTGTTTGATGTCTTCAATTACGCCTTTAAACTCTGGAAATGATAATCTATGATCTTTATTCTTATCCGCATAATCCATCATCACTTTAACATCGACGTCCGTAATAGTCATAAGACGATTCATAGCATCACCTAATTCATTTGTATCAATATAACCGTTTTTATCTTTATCTATTTCCTTAAATAACCAAAGACAAGTTTTCGAATCAACACTATCTAAACTTGGCTTCTTATCTGAGGTTGAAAGACCTGGGATGTTCTTCTCCATTGTTTTTCTTCGGAGGTTCTATTTCAAACAATATGGTATTGTTTTTATTCTTTGTTTACAATTATTTTCAAAATACGGACATTTTTCAGTGAGAATTTCCCTTCTCTTTCACCATTTTAGTTAAGTTTCTATTCAATAATAAAGGAATCGCATAAACGAAGAACATGTCGTATGTATTACGATATTTGAATCATATTCAAAGAGATTATATATACGATACATAACATAAATACAATATATACTGTATAAACATATTGTATACGCTATATATTTACCATATTACTAGAGAGAATTTGCATTGAAATTTCACGATAAACGCATATAAGTGTATATATTCAGTAAAGCGATTGTTTCATTGAGAATCGGATTATGAATATTCTGTGTATAAGAGGATATTCTTCTCTATTTCTAGCTAAATTGTAAAAATATTGAGAACATTTACAAGTCTCGATTAAAATATTTGTCATAAATCAATTAATCAATCATCATGCTACAATAATAAAATAGCAGATCTCCCTTCCCTTTTCACAAAATTTTACTAAATTTGCCTTTTTTTGTTTCCAATATCACCTTGGAAACAAAAAAATATAAAATTAAGATTAGTTAAACAATTACGGGATTATTTATAAATGCATTTCAACATATTAAAAGTCGATAGGAAATCATTTGATTAATATTTTCTTCTTCTATACAAATAGAAAACTTGCCGTAGATCTGTTGGAAGAGCGGAGAGTTTAATACGTAGACGATGAAGAAGAAGAAGAAGAAGAAGAAGAAGGAGGAGAGGAAGAAGAGGAAGAGAAAAAAGAGGAGGACGGAGAAGAGAGCAGTTTTCTTCTCCGGGTACCAGTTTTTTAATACTGAGTAGATAATTCAAAAAAAATCATAATTATTGTTTTTAGCATCAATAGTCTTAGGTTTGAGAGTAAAAGAGTGGTTTAAATGCTGTCCGAATAAAAGGGGGAATTGGAAAATAGGACAAAATATAAGACATTCTGTACTGTTTTGGCATTGAACTTTTCGTATTTAGATGTCTATCCGAGGATAATGATTTCTTACAATTTTAGCTTCTTCCACTTTCTGCTTTACCTTTTCCCTAAACATTTTTAAGCAACTGAAACAGGAATCGTTAACTTTTCTTGTCTTACAATCTTGACAAAAGTTGCCATATTGAGAGCCCAGTTCATTTATGTAACCGTAGAGTCGAGAATCTCTCTCCGAGACATTCTTTCTCGTATTTGTTAATTTCTCTTCTAAATCTTGTACCCTTAATTGTAGAATTCTTATTAGATTGCCAGGTTCAATACTTTCAAAATGGGGATCCTTTTGTAAATCACTATAGCATTTATTGCGTGCAAATTTTATACATTTTTGTAGAAGTTGTTCTAAATTGTAGACCTGAGCCGTTATTAGCAATTCCATAGAGCAGGGTCCTTTCAAAAGATGCTCTTCGCATTTCCTTTTAACCTCGTTAATTTGATATTCTTCCGCCAAAGGTAGCAGTTGATTAACGTTAGAATCTATAAAAAGATATTTTTAGAATGTATAATAAATGTATATAATGGTAAATATATGGAAATATTAGAAAATTAACCAGTAACAGCCTTAATTGGAGGATATAAGCAATGTAGTAATTCAACAAAATCGTCCATCTTTTTATCGGGAAGTTCAATTTCTTTCATAGCTTTTTCTTTAAAGTTTCTAGTGAACATCGACTTGAAAACGGGAGACCAAACCGACAGCACTTCCTTATGTAAATATAGTTTTTGATCTTCAACGAGCAATATAACCGAAGATAGTTCGTCGGGTTGTGTAAAATCATTTAGATCAATGTCTTCGCCGCCGTCTATAAACAATACATAGAATATAACAAAACACACATATACAGTAAATATAATTTAATTAGTTAGTCAATTAAATTGTTTGTCAATATAATAATATATAATAGGCCTATAATTGTTGAATTCCTCCGAAAATGAAATAATTACAATAGAGAATAGCTTTGTTTTTTTTTATATATTCTATTTATAGATGATTGAATGGTTGAAATGATAAAAGAAAATTTAGAATGTTATTTATTTTTACCAAGTAACACCTGTATTATTTATAATGTAGGCCGTTTAAAAATTACGCATATATGTTTATATCTAGGCTTAGTTTTGTATTTATAAGACGTAGATGTGGAGTTGAATAATGCATGAATATAAAATATAAAAAGAGTTATTTTATGGTAATTACCCTTTATAGTGAAAAGTTAAATATGAAAGTATGTGATTAGACGCTTTGTCGTCTGAAAAAGAAAAAAGACGCCTTTGTTTGGTTTAGTCTTTCTCTCTTTCTCTCAGTTACTCATGTTTTGTACTGTATATGCACTCTTACGTTGTTGTTTTTCTTTTATTTAGTTAGTCTTTAGTGAAATATTTTAATTGTATTAGATTATTTACCCGATGGATCATAGTCTCCCGAGGTTTGTCTTGATCTCGGTTCCTGTAAGGATACATCCTCCGATTTCGACATTCTGGATGATTGCCAAGCAGTATAATTTTCTCCGAGTATCGCCTTCTAAATGTCTTTTTTTAAATATTCTTGATCGATAAATTGTAAAAAATGTTTCATAAATAAATTATTTTATGAAACTATTAGTTAACTACTAGAAAATTACAGAGTAAATGCAGGAAAACAGCTGTAGTATACTACAATAACAAACGCCATATTGTTTTGATCACGTGACCAAAATCACGGTCTTGCAACATTTTTCAATACAATGAATTTACAGTATAGGCCAATAGAAGGTATATTCTATATCGAAGTATTTACAAATATTTTATTATTGTTGCTATTTTTAATAATTCATTGAATATAATTTATTTAGAAATATTGCATTTGTTTTAAATAAATTGATGAGAAGAAGATAGTTTCTTTGCTTAGGAGAGAATAAGAATAAAAAGACCTAAATTAGAACGAATTTTATGCGACACTTCTAGAATGAAGTTCAGTCATGCCCCATCTATTACATTCTTAAAAATTAGATATACTGACTGACTGCATTTGAGATTATAGTCTACAGATGGATCAACCTTATCCAAAATTATATAGCTTCTTAAGCGTTGGGGTTTCTTTCCTATTCTTCTTATCAATAAACTACTTGCTAAAACTAAGAGGAAAGCCCAGACAAGTTCGAGAAGACGTAACGTTTTGGAGGTGGAAGAACATTTATATTTCTTTTATACACGCAACCATTGCAGGAATTTGGAATATTTTACTGTAAGTAATATTATACTCTTGTCTTTTCCTTCATAATATAAATGTATTATTGATTTTTTATCTCATTTTTTACATAGGTACTTTTTACAGCCCCAACTATTTAATGACTTACTCAATTATCGATCTTTACCATGCTACTTGCATATTGCCTTTTCAACAGGTAAATAAGCATACATATATACATATATATATATATATTCAATATAAGAATACTTTGTACTTATGATTTGACTCTATTGATAATCTTTATCGTCTTTCTGAATCTTATATCTTATTAAAACAACCTTTTCAATAGGATATTTTTCCTACGACTTTTGGGATATGTTGATCAATGGTAAAGCCTTAAGATTATGGGAGTTATCTATCCACCATACAGTGGTAAGCAGATAATATTTATATATACTATTTATAACAATATAGCATGTTTTATCATACAGTTTGGTGACTTATTACAATTTTTAAACAGATATCCGTTGCATTCTTCTATAATCTGTACTATAGCAACTGCATTGCGTACAGCATTATCGTTATAGCCCCGGAAGTCAATTCAATTTTTCTTCATAAGAGAAAATTAATGCGCTTTAATGCCACACCTCAACAATCTACAATTTATAAGCTCAATCTTTATTTAAATTTTGCAACATTCATCATTTTCCGATTTGGTTTTCTACTATCTGTTCCATTTGGTCTAGTAATTTATAGAAATAAAGTTCCAATTGTATTCTGGTGGCTAGCGGTGACAACGTTTATAATAGTTATGATAATGAATGGAGTACTGTTTTCGAGGCTCCTTAAGGAAGATGTGTTAAAGAAATCGAAAAATGAGCGAAATGGACATGAAAAAAGAAGATAAGGTGTACAAAAATTGGAAAATACTATGAAGGAAACGATTAAATATAGCAGTAATCTTTATATAGTTTATATATTAAGAGCTTAGGGAACACTGAAAAGTAATGTGCCGACCATTTATAAGAAATACAATATGAACATGTCTAAGAAACGATTTAAGAAAAGTATATTATATTTATGTACTGTATATTCTAAAGCATTCTATGTCTACTGTCAAAACAATACGTTCTTTTTTAAGAGCGTTTATTTGTTTGTAAATCCTCTGAATTTTAAAACGCTATTATTAAGATATACTGTAAGGTCGATTGAAAGATTTAATATATATATATATATAATATGATAAAGTTGTTACAGATATAATTGATGTCCTGTCCAATATAAGAGGGAAGATAAGGCCTGAATACTACCTATCAGACATGTACCAATTACTAGCCATTGATGACAGAGTCAGCTTCTTAAAGAAGAGGGAAGATTTTTAGATATTCGATTTATCGTCATTGGTGTATGAATGCATATATACAATCTTTAAAAATTCTGTATATTACGCTTCATAACTATTTACATCTATTCAACATGGCTAAAAATACTTAATTATCATTTTCTACATAAAAAACATAACGTTATCTTCAATTTTTATCAAGGAATAATCAAGTAAACAAAACTACTTATCAATATATTTTATTATTTTCTCCAACAGTGTAAAATGATGTCTGCAATAAAAGATAAAACAATCCCTCTAAAAGCTTTTATTTGATTTTATACGTACTCTTAGCAAAATACGAAAATATACCATTTAAAGTGACTATTCAACTTATCATTCATATAAAATAGTTCATTTTACAAATCATGAATAATTACTAATTGATATAATATATATATATGTATATACTCTATATTTTTTTTCAAAAGGTCAAAAGTTCATGTACTTTGCAGACTTTTTGCTATTTTAATACAGCCAATATGCGGTATTTCTATAAATTAAATTTAATAAGAAACATTTGTACTCGTGTTCTATTTTATCTGGATTTCTTCCTTATCTACTTTTTCATCAAACTCTTTAGTAATTTATGGATCTCCAACTAGGTCGATCTAGTTGTTATATAACACCTCTTCGAGTAATCTACACTACACTTGAAGGGTGTTTTTCATTATAGGATTTAATGAAATTGACACTCTATTAGAATAATCTTAAATAACTTTAGAATACACTATGTAACATTGTAATTTTGAAACGTCTTTTCTAAGTAATAAGTAATAAACGCACAACAACAAATAATAAAGAAGAGAGGAAGAGATAGGAAGAAACAAATTGCGTCACGGAAATAACAGACACTCAACATTAAAATTCAAAGAGTCTAGTGGTACAAGGAAATGTAGAGAGCAGCTAGAGGTTATGATGAAGTAGCATAGGCCTGTAAATTGAAAAATGGATATACTCGAATAGTTAGCGTGTAACGGCTACCCAATTTATCGTGGGTCTCCGTGGCGCAATGGATAGCGCGTCGGACTTCTAGTCGGTGACATCTTTCAAAGATATTCGGAGGCTGTGGGTTCGAGTCCCACCGGAGATGCTACTTTTTGACTCTTATTGACAGAGCAATTCTCCGTAGACTAAAAGATAGATATAAAAAAAATCTGCAAGTCGGTGTTTTACCAATTTATACACGATATAGACAACCTTCGCCTAACTCTAATAAGTATTAATAATTTATACAATAGATGGCACTGAAGTAAGGATTACTGCTATAAAATTCTCAGCGTAAAATGGCTCAAAGACTTTCTTTTAATTAAAAAAGTGTTATTTATTTAAAGATTAATAAAGAACTGGTTAAATTTTAACAAACTGAATAAATAAAAAATTTGTTTCTCAACATCTGTACATTGACGGAGATAGGCCAAAAGAGAGATCGAACGAACGAGAGGGAGATAAATAATGAAATATTTAAGTAATGAGTTAATTACTAGTTGAATGTAAATAATACCTGACACAATTGATTTATTTGCAAATGAAGGAAAGAGTTGAAAAATGTTTGATTAAATTTTGAAATGTTCTTTTTGAGGCGCCCACCGCTATAAATAATATATTAAAATTACTTAGATGGCGTTGGTGCTTGCCTGCAATCTATAGTCTTTTAATGTAGGTGGAAGCAGTTTCTTCTATCTTGCTGCTCGAGGAAAAGAAAACGTTTGCTAGTGGTTTAATAACTTAGGAAAACACGTTTACATTTTGCTTGATAAAGATTTTACAACGTGAAAACGATGCAAAAAATCGATAATTAATAAGCCGTTGGTGATCCAAGACAGCACCGTCTAGTGGAGTATACTAAAATTTGTAAGGGACAATTACATCTGTCTCAATAAAGGAAAGGCCATACTGCAAATGAATGAAAGAATTCTTCTATAAGGTGAATAATCTCTGTATATAATTATATATTTTAACGAATCGGGAGCAATCTATTCAAGATGCTCAGAGATGCTAAAAATACCATGTATATAGAAAGTAACATGAAGATATGTTTATATAAATATATATATATTAGTATAAGAGGAAACGAGGGATTTATAGACAGCATGGTTAACACGGGAACATAAATTATTTATTGTTAATGTTATATTCAATGTAGTAATTAAATGATACAGTCACAATTTATCTCAACCGATTTATGCTCAACACATGATTAGACTATCTGTAAAACAGAGACAATCAGCTAAAACTTGCCTTTTATCAGTGCAGTTTAAGGCGTACGATATTAGGCTTATTGGATATTCATTTCAATAAATCTTTCCTTTAAGCTTTCAATTATTTTACAGGATGAAATGTAGATTCAAGAATTTGATCTTTATATCAGTTGTCTTCTCTTCTTTTACCTATATATTCTTTCTGCGAAGTTGGGGAGGTTTTGGTTCAAGTCAGACTAATGGTGGTAAATATAGCATTATTCAACTATTGCAAGGTAAAAGTATTGTTAGCCCAAAAAGACTTCAGTGTGTTAAGGACAAGCTAGAATTATGGCCTGAGGAGATAAGAAAAATATATAATGAAGATAATATTGAACCTATGGGATGCTCAAGTGAAAGAGATTGGATTATAGTTATTAACGGTACACTACAAGTTCAAGTAACTGATATCACGGATATTCAATGCCAAGCAACGCCAATTGTAAGGGTAAATGATTTTACTGAGAGAGAGGAAGCAAAAATTACTGGTTTGGTTGCTGGTTCGAAGATACCGAGCGACTTCTTCCGACTTGATTGTATCGGAAGAAAGGATAGTTTAACCAAAACATTTAGAACCTATTATTCGGCAATAAAGAAGAGAGAGAAATTCCAAAAGAATAAACGAAAAGCAAGTAGAAAGAAATGGAATGTACTTATGTTTGGCTTTGATAGTGTGTCCAGAATGCAGTGGATGAGATTACTTCCGCAAACTCATCACTATTGGACTAAAGTCCTTAACGCAACTGTCCTAGAATCTTATAATATTGTTGGCGACGGCACTCCTCAGGCTCTTTTACCAATTTTAACTGGCAAAACGGAAGTAGAATTACCCGAGGCGAGGAGAGGTCATGCAGATGCGGTTCAAGTCGACAATCACCCTTGGATATGGAAACAATTTTCGAACGATGGATACGTCACCCAGTGGGGTGAGGACGGACAAAGCTTCGGTACTTTTCAATTTAGAATGCTAGGATTTAAGGATCCGCCAACCGACTATTACCTGAGACCTTTCGAGAGGGCTGTTCATAAGAAATTCTGTTTGGGTTCGGTTCCAACTCATAAACAGATGACTAATTGGATTGACGAATTATGGAGAGTGTATAAAGGAGAGGAGACGCCTAAATTCTCATTTCTATTCCATTCCGTATATACCCACGGCTATACTAAGCAATTATCGATAGCTGATGAAGATATGAAGAAATGGTTAAAGCACCTTAAGGACGATAATATTTTGAAAAATACCTTCGTCATATTAATGGCGGATCATGGACCAAGATTTCTTTCGCTTAGAGCCCATATTCAGGGAAAATACGAAGAGCGAAATCCATATTTTTCTATTAGAATACCCGACGACTTTGATAAAATGTATCCCAATGCCAGAGCAACGCTCCAACAAAATGCCAACAGACTAACAACACCTTTCGACATTCACGCTACCTTCGAGGATATTCTTAATTTTGATCCTTTCGAAGTTATTGATGAAAGGAAGAGAGGATTATCCATCTTAAAAGACATACCTTTAGATAGGACTTGCAACAAAGCTGGAATAGAAGCCCACTGGTGTTCGTGTCTCTCTTGGAAAAAATTAAAAATAACTGATCCCTTAGTGACGAAATCAGCCGAAAGTGTCATAAGTCTGTTTAATTCTCATCTTGTGCCGTTTTCTAAGTCATGTTCTAAGCTAAAGCTGGGTTCTGTTATTTCCGCTTTAAAACTAGAGCATAACAGCGATGTATTAAAATTTAAAAAGAGTAGCGATCAACATGGTCGTGTAGCTGATTTATCAGACGAAATGAAAGCAGATGATGCTCGTATAAGGGTTGATTTTATCACCCTACCAAACAATGGAAGGTACGAGGCGACCGTCAAATTAAATCTAATTAATAATTCATTATCTGCGGATATGACCCAAATATCGAGGATAAATCGATACGGTAAACAGCCCCATTGCATTATGGATAGAGTTCCAGAGCTTAGGCCTATTTGTTATTGTATAGTCCAATTAAACTAGTAAGAATGAAACAAAATCATTACAAGAATATCAAATGGGAAGGAAGAAAACTTCTTCTTTACAAGAATAAAAGAACATTTTTCGTTTTCGTTTCATATTTTCTACTATTTTTATCTTATTTTTTAAATAAAATATTTACCTAAACACTTTTATTCCTACATTAAGTAAATATTAATTCTGGAAAGTTTAATCTGTCTTTTGAATTCAACTCTCTTAAATACTGCTCGAATTGACCTTATTCTGTGCAAAAATAATCGATTTCTCACAACAAAACTAGACAAATTCATCGTATTTTTCATAAAAGATCATATGTTGCCACATATTCATATGCAAATATATATATATATATGTGTGTCATTGTCAACCTATCAGTTATTAGTGAGTTTTAATAACATATATCTTCAAATTTAAAAGATATTTTTTACGTAATGATAGATGGCGCTTTGTCTAGCTAAGGCGAGAAGCACGATTACTTTTCGTATCAAAATATTGTTGAGCGATAAAACCAGAATTTTGTGTTTTGTCTATATTTTTTAAGAATTCGATTACTTTTGCCCAACTAAACTATCAAACAATTCTCCCTAAAGAAGAATGCAACATCAAAACTCTGGAACATTTAAGGTAAAAAAACAAATAATTACAAAATAGTATTAATTTATTAGCTTTAGAGTAAAACCAAAGGCTGTATATTCTTCGTTCGTAACATTGCGGACGTTCCTAAATTGTTATTTAAATAATTTGGGGGTATATATTCAATTATTTCTACAGCTAATTGTCAACACTGACGACTACGCGTCCGACTTTAGTTATGAAAGTGAACTTGAAAATCGTAGGTAAGGAAATTAATTGAACTGAATACGGTATACATAATAATTCATTAAACATTATGAATCAATTTACAGAATTAAAGTCACAGACCTAGCCTCAAAGCCACGTAAAAGCCGAGAAAAGTTACCATCGAAACAGAATGTTGTTACAGAATATGAAAAGTAAAATAATATAATTCATTTTTGTATTTAAATTTCCTCTTAAAATTTTTTATTGAGTTTCTTATATGAAAAATTTTATAACAGAGAAGAATTGAGGACACATCGCCTTCATTTTCTGAGTTTAGATGCTGTAAGGAATTTTATTATTTAGGCCAATCATACATTATACAAAAGAGTATATAATTTCTTTACTATTCTCTCCCTCTGTTAGTATTCCAGACATAAAAAGATGATTAATGACTATCTACAGTACTACGGAGGTCGAAGATCAGATTTCAAACGAGATAGGTAAATATACGCAATTTTGTTTTTCTAGAAAACCATAAGCTTATTATACTATTTTTAATATAGCTCTAAAGATAAAACGGACTTGGATGTCATACGTGAAAATCATCGTTTTCTATGGGAAGAATCAGAAGACGAAATCGACAGTTGGTAAGTAGAAAACGCACTCTAATCTCTCTATCCCTCTTTTCTTTTTGTTTCTTTGTTTTTGCCCTCTTAAAGCTTCAATAGATAGGAAATACGCTGATTTTATATGTTTTTTCTTCTTTTGAAATAGGGAGAAGAAATTAGCTAAAAAATATTGGGATAAACTCTACAAAGAATACTGTATTGCCGATCTTAGTAGATATAAAGAAAACAAAGTAAATCGATTGAAAATAAACAACTTTTAATAATAAAAAATTCCTTGTAGATAGGTATGAGATGGCGTACTGAAAAGGAGGTTGTGATTGGAAAAGGTTATTAGCCTAATTTCCTAATTGTTATATATCCATCTGTCTATATATACTGTATACGTGCATATCTAATTCTCTATAGGGCAATTCATTTGCGGTAATAAAAGATGTGAAATTCATAAACAATTAACATCTTGGGAAGTCAATTTCGGTTATGTTGAAGAAAATCAGGAAAAGAATGCTCTCGTTAAATTACGTATGGAAAAGAATATATATGACTTGAATATCACTTTTAATCATTTCTTTCTTATTGATATTTTTTATATCAGGTCTCTGTCCATCCTGTTCTGACAAACTGAATTATCATCATAAGTTAGTAATTTATTATTTTTCATCAAATTATTTTCCCCTCTAGGAATATCTAACAAAGGAAGAACTATTTTTCTTTATTTTTTTTTCAGGAGGAGGAAGGCTAAAGCCAAAAAACGAAAGCATTCCGATTCTTCCGAAGAAGATGATGAAAAAGTTGAAAGGAAAAGAAATAAAGGTTCGGAAACATTAGCTTTTGCTATTCCAGTCGCTTTCCCACTTTATTAGAAACTGACAAAATATTTTCTTTAATGCTAAACGTTTCTTTTCTTTCTTTGAACTTAATAGATGAGGAAATTAACAGCAAAGATATTAAAGGGGAGAACGCAGAAGAAAGTGATGAATCAAAAGTGTCATCTAATAAAGATGCTGCGTCAATTTGGTCTGGCCCTGCTCCAGTTGTCGAAGAAAAATCAAGAGATGATGAATTTAATGATTATTTCGATGAAATGTTTGAATAAAATCTGATGTTTAGATGTATATAACGTCTAGAACGTTTTATATATTCTATTAAAATCAAATTGTATTTTATTAATCCATATTTACTTTGTATAATTGCATTAAAGAACCTCTCTAATCTTGGAGAGAATATACTTGGAATTATGCCTGCATTCGCCATCTATTATCACAGAATGATACTTCATTGATAAGGCTCGAGCCAGTCTATCGTAAAAGTTTGATATATGCATATTAGTATTATTTCTACAGATAATATCGATAATTAATGTTCCTCTATTAGCCCAAATGAAAGTTTTAAATGTAATTGGTGAAACGTTCCTTACAACGACAATATCAATGTTTTCCATGCTTTTAATAGACTGAGAAACCGTAATGTTCTTTCGCGTATCCCAGTAAACCGTAAAGTTTCTCTTTTTAGCCTCATTGGCAATTTCAATCCTTAAGCCTTTTTCCAGAGAGTAATAATCGATAAAAAAGCCTCTTTTATTACGACGTCTCTGAGCAATACTTTGGCTACCCTTAATCGTTTGAGTTAATAGCTGAAAGTGAAAGTAAGTTAGTGTAGAATCGCAAACTCCAATGCCTTTTGGTATATAGAAAATCTTTGCTTTAACAAATGAATGAAAGACGAATTGTTCCACTTTTAATTTCAACATTCCAATTATTTCATTAAATTGATTGCCATACCGTTATAAAGATAAAAATAGATTAATTAGAGTAAATGTTATTATTACTACAGTATATAATTGGACTAAAGACATAATTTTTATTCTTTATAACGGTATACTTTGGTCTTATCATGTGTATTTTGATTGTTGGATTATTTCTTAGCCAATTTAAATAGGGAATGAAGCTTGCAAGAGATTCAACTGTTGCACGAAAGTAGTCATTGTGGCCACTATGAACGTGGTAAATAGAGAAAACTTCGTTATAATACGGTATATTATCCAGATTACTAGGAAGGTTGTATTTCGTTTTACGATTACACGTAAAAGGTGTAAATCTCGCTTGATTGTAATAAAATTCACCTTCGGAACCAATAAGACCATCTTTAATTATAAACAAAGAATCTAATAATATTCTGTCCTCTTTATCAGTTGAATGTATATAAATATCCTTCAAAGTCTTTAGTGTTCTCCTTCTACTACTTTTACTATTTGTAGTAATACAATTAATTCTTAAATCAGCTTTTGGATAATCTTTTAATTTTCTAATGGAGTTACGTAACGAACAATTATTTGATGTAAAATCATAATAAACACCATTCATATAATTCGCTAAATCATGAAAATTTCTTCTCATTTCAATAACTTCAATAAATTTCATAGATTTTAATATTTTCCTATCATTCAAATCAATAACTTGAGTAATGTTTCTCTTCTTTAAATTGTAATTAATTCTCTTAAAACCATTTTTAACCAATTCTCTCCTTTTCTTGTTTAATAGTTCATTAGTTGATTTAGTAATATTCGACCAATTAACTATTCGTTTATAGATAATTGGGTTTTTAGTATACTTTTTGATTTTTGATATTTTAATAGTATTCTTTCGATTTCGATTTGTAGTTGAAATTAACTTGTTATGAGATTCTGGCACTACTCCATTTAAATTTACTTGTGTTCCGTGGCTATTATCGTTCATTCTCATTTGTACGTAGATTATAATCATAGGTGTTATGATGTTAATTAGGATACATGTTGTGATTAATTTACTTTTAAACTTCATTCTTATTGATTCAAACATTCAAGAATTACTACTCGTCTTCTGGTCCTTTTTTCTTTTATTTTTCCCTGTCCCACTCCCACTCTCTCTCCCTCTCTCTCTTTCTCTCCTCGCTATCCCTTTGAAAATATACCATAATTCTCTGGCTTTAAGATATTTAAAGAATGTTTACTAACTTGTTGTCTGTTTGTCGTTTGTTCTCTTACCTCTCTAACGCTCTTTATCCTTTCGTTTGTAAATCAAACTTCAACGCCGAGAGACCTACTTAGGGAAATATATACAAGTCTTTTTATATGTAAAAGTAATATTATACCTTCGTGTATATTTAGGTATTTTTTCAATTTATACCGTTTACAATACTGATTATTCTATCCGCCACCTATCGGCTTGAATAGAAACAATAATTGAGTGTGGTGAAAGTGTGAAAGTTGTATACATTATATATATAAGCGGTATATATAGAAAATAACTATCTAGAAATGTCATTAGGTTGAGAGAGAGAGAGAGATAAAGGAGTAGAAATAGATAGAGATGTAGTTAGAAAAAGGAAAAGAGAGAGAGAGAGAGAGAGAAAGAAAGAAAGAAAGAGAAAGCAAAAGTCAAAAAGTGATAAGAAATTAAATTAGTAAAACTAATAATCTAATAATAATAATAATAATATCAAGGACAAAAGAGACAGACAGACAGAGAGAGAGAGATTTCCGGGACATTATAAAATTGTAACAAAAGATATTGAACTTTTACGCTACGTTGAGTCTAATAAATTAAACAGTGACCAATGTCGTTGAACCACATAAAATTTTTTATCAAGTTGAGATATTTGTTTGCTAACACGCCTTTTCATAATTTATTCATAGAAAACATCATTTTCATACGTACACGATTGTAATAATTCATTTTTTTTAGGCATATGTATAAATGCATCTGTAAAATGTCTATATAAAAAAAAATCTTTCCTTATCCCTAACCCTTATCCCTCAAGCCCTTCATAAATACAATGGCGGATATATAATTTTGGTGTAAGGCCTATGTTTAACGTGGTGTTCTTACGAATTTTAGCCCTACACGTGGTTTACGAACATGATGAGTTCTATAGACTTTTGTGTATGTAAAATATTCATTCTAATACTTTCTTAATTGAAAAAGTGGCCTATCAGTTTGACAGGACTCAGCTCATGTATTCTTTTGAGTCTGTTGACAAAGTTATACTATAACATTATAAAGAAATTAATCAAGTTTTCAGAGAGAGAGAGAGATAAGGTTGGTCGGCTAAGTAAGGTAGAGACGGATATCTCTATTGGAAACAACTCAAAATGGACACAAAAGGAAATTGATGACAAGCTCCAAGAAATCAGGAGAGAAGGTTGATTTCCCGCCTAGACGACTAGATAATTACAGAATACATATAGGGGTAAAATTAATAAAGATAAATCGTAAAGATTAGGCCCAACACCTAAAGTATCTTTCTACCATTGTATGTATATACTTTCCCGTTTAATGACCATCTTATTTGTTTCTTCTATTCCCCGTCTATTTTTCTAATAGTCTCCTTCTTATCTGTTATCTCGTTTGTTCCTTAAATTCTTAACCCTGAAAAAAAATACATTTAACTAATTATATATGCATATTTATTATGGTAATTAAGTAATTAATTAATGAAATACATAGAATAGAATGTTAAAAATAATTTAAGCCTTCATGGACAAGTAGGTTTTAAACGTGAAAAGATACGCTTTAAATATTTCAACATTGTTATTTTTAACTAAATAAAGAAACAGAGCACTATATACTTTCACTTTTTGAAGGAAAGGAGAAGGAGAACTCTATAGTTCCTTTTATTCCCCATTCACTCACTCTCTGTCTCTATCTTTCTATCTGTTTATTAAGGTGATCGATAGTAAAGATAAATTTACTCCTATGATATTTCTTTTCACCTGTTTAAAAATTTAATTACTAAACTAAGGTCGCTCTAGTAATATTGAACTTATCACTCATAAATATTCAACAGTTGTATAATGCTCTCATTCTCCTCCTTTTTTTTTAGACTTACCACGTAATCTATCGGCATGGAAGGTAGATTTGACGCTTGACTGGCTAATTGCCTCTGTCTTTTAGCTCTTTCCTCCTTCTTTTTCGATACCAACTCTTCTTGTTTTCTCTTTTGTTCTTCCATCTTTCCACGAGCATCTTCGGCCTTAGCTAACATTTCTCTAGCTAAATTTTTATGTTGCAGCTTAGTTGTTTCAACAGGACTACAAGCATTATTGTCGTCGCTTGAATGACTTGAAATTCTGACATTCCTATTTGACGCTTTCGCTCTGTCCAACTCGTCAAAGTGTACATTCTTAGTATCATTTTGCTTCTCGCGTTCTTGTGACCTTTTCCTCTCAGCGTTCCTTTTACCCATTTCCCTAGTCATTTCCATAAGTAACCTTCTGGCCTTCTTTTTCTTGGCCGGCAGCTTTATTCTAGTCTGAGCATGGGAGTAATACAACGTGAAATTGTTAACGACAATGGGGACTGTAAAAGCGATAACAAGTACGCCGCATATCACGCAGAATGAACCCATAACGAATCCCAAGTATGATATAGGATATTTATCGCCATATCCAACTGTTGTCATAGTTACCAAAGCCCACCAAACTCCGATAGGTATATTTGGAAAATTCTCCGGTTCTACATAGTGTATTAGACTGGCAAACATAAGAACTCCGCTCAGCAGAAAGATTATCATCAATAATAATTCTTTGGACGAAACTAGGAAATAAAGAGACAAATGTTATTAGGGATGATGATGGAGAAGTAGAAGAAACGTAGATTGAGATTGGATGATTGATTTTACCTTTAATTGTATAGACGAGGATCTTGAAAGCTGAATAATGTTTCATCAATTTGAATATTCTTAGTACTCTTATTACCCTTAACATCATGATAGATTTAAATAGAGTTCTAGTGGCACCCGACGTATCTAGAGCGTCCAGAGCAATAGCTACGTAATGAGGCAACAAGCAAACAAGATCTATAATATTTAATGGACTCTTAATAAACTTCTTCTTATCGGGCGCGACTAAAACACGCGTAATAATCTCCAATGAAAAATAGACAACACACACATAATCTAACGATTTCAAGACAATATGAGTTTCAGCTAAGGTGGAAGTATTATTTTTGCGTTCATTTTCACAACAGCAAACGGCTACTGATCCTGAAAATAATAAAAGATATATAATGATCAAAGAACCAGATAGCCAGTCAGCCAGCTTACCTGTTGGAGTACTGTCGTCGGGATCGACTTCAGTCATTGGCTTTCCCGTATATTTGTCTACTTGGAATAGTTTATGCGTTTCCAATACAAATACTCCGATTGAAAGAACAACGAAAAACATGGATATAATGGCATATAATTTTGCCAATCTGGACGATCTTGGTTCCTCCAAGAATGTCCATAATCGTTGAGAAATCCGACGATAGGCCGAAGAACGGTCGGACCACGCGGTATCCTCAACGAAGGCGAAACTTTGATCAAGATCCGCCAAAGTCTGTTTATGTTCAGTGTATTTACTATAATCGGACCAACAGCACGGCTCTATATCTTGTTCTTGAAGACCCCAAAATTCAAATTCCTAATATGAAAATATAAGATCTAGTATTAAATAAATTAGAAAGCATTGCCAACAATTTCAATCTCTCTCTCTCTCTCTTTCTCTTTATCACCAGAATGCTGCTTACTAATCGAAAATTACAAGCTAATTACGTATAACGCTGACAAAACCTTAATTAATATTGATACGATAGTATCCTTAAATAGGTATCACATATTTGTTTAGCTTGTACGTAAGAGCTTCCTTTTACGTTGTCTTGTTGAATGACTACAATACTACAATAGCGTGTCTATTGTCTTTTTATTTTTTTATTATCATTTCAAACTTTTTGCAGTTTTGCGGTGTTGCTGTTTTCGTATGGAAGCTTTTTATCTCTTTTTTTCTTTCATTACTGTATGCTATGTATTGTATTATAATGCATGAATAGCTTACTCTTTGTAGAACGCTCCCGCAAAGACTGCTGTCTATGTGTAATTCTTCCGATCTGTAATATTGCAGTATAACTTCGAAACATCTTGAATGCCGATCGAAAAAATATTCTCCTTTTTCTTGATCGTAAGCCTCGTCTTCCTCTTTTAATTTTGCCAATTTTCCTAGTCGTGTATTAGGTAGTCTTTCCAAAGTGGAAACGGTGGTTTCGTGTCTGGTTCCTCCTAAAGTCCATGATAAATCCTTTATTAATATATAAATTAATTCGACTTAGAGATAGATGAATCAACGTGTTATTAATTAAGACAACGCCATCTTTAGGTTAAAGTTTATCTTCTTTCTTTTAGTCTTTCTTACGATTGACTGATGTTCTAAGATGGAGTATAACAAAGAAGAATGATAGCAGCCTCAATTGGAAAAGTAAGAACGAGTATGGGCATTTAGAAAAATGAAAGTAAGATAATAGAGGCGACTGGAAAATGATTAGACTTGTTGAGTAGTATATCGGCGTTGTTCTTGATAGATGAAGAGAAGGAACGCAAGATAGAAATGAATGATGAATGACAAATGATGAAATTTACCTATATTCAATAAAAGTCTGTTATCCAACTTCTTTTCACTGTTGTTCCATCGAGTCATATTATCATTTATGAAATTGTCAATTAGTTCGTCTTCTAACTTATTACGATTATTTGTTGGGTCAAACGATCAAAAGCCGGCCTCTGTTGGCATATTCAAGTTCCTTAATGAGCGGACGTCTCTTATTGCTTTGACATCACGTGATCCTGTTGAATCATTGAACGATAATAAGCAATCAATCTTTGCGCCTAGTCAACTTGGATACATATTTATGTAATGTACACAGCGTCTACGCATAAAACAAAACAGTTGAAGAATTGGTTCAATTGAACAGTAAGAAGGCCTAGAAGTATATGAATGATCATAAACTGTTTCAAAAATATTTCGATTATCTTTAACATATTAGTTTTTTAAGCAGAATTTCAATGTCATTGCTTGTTCATTTCTATTTATAAGAGAAAGAGGTTGAGGTTGAGAGACAGAGAGAGAGAGAAGGGGTTTTGTATCGAAGTAGGCGTTTCTTTTCAAATTATTGAATCTCTTCCTACTCCCTTTTCCATTTCATTTTAACAGGGTTATCTCATTATATAGAATTAAAAATGAATTATTCTAAAGAGAACAATTGATTGCCACTTTCTTCAATGTAAGCTTAAAATAATGTACCACTTAAATAGGTCTATATGTCTGTAAAAGAGCAACAAGATTATACAGATTATATAACTCTAGAGATTATCGTAATTATGCGTTTGTTTGTTTTTTAAAAAAAAAACTTCGCATAAATACTAATTAATATTAAAAAAATGTAAGTTGTGTATAAATGTATATAAAATAATAAAACAATAGGCAGGTTAATAAGACGAAAGGTATAAAGGTTACCTTGAATAAATTATCATCTAACCTTTTGGATGGGTTGTTTTAAATGATCATGTTTGTCATTATAGTCTTTTATAGAGATGAAAAGGAATGATAGGCCAAACTGGACAAATAAATATTTTCAATTCGCTTCCCATAATTATTTGAAATCAATGCTAACTAGTTCGTTTTTTATAATAAAACAAGAGTTTACATTACAAACAATGACGTCAGCAGATGACTGGGAAAAAAAACATTAGGAACAACAAAAATACTCAAACTTTTAGTTCGATCAATTGAACTTTTTTTTTGTCTTTACAACGTTTCGTGATCTTCTCGTGCAAACATACCAACTGCACGAATATCTAACGACAAACAAGCGATCATCGGTCGTTCAATAGGCGCATTTGTTGTTGGGAGAAAGGTGATATATTAGGTTCCGAATTGGACGAAGGACGAGTGGGAAGATAGTTTAAAAGCCAAAAAATTTAATATTCATCGGTCAATAGAGAGACTTTTGAATTTTTCCTAAAATTTCCTTTTTATGGAAATGAGATATCTATAAAAAAAAACAAAAAGAATAGATCTAAGCAAAAAAAAAACTCAGCCAATACGAAACTTGGAATCTTTTCTCATTCAAACAATCACGATTCCAAATGATTTATTTAAATTATATTCAAATCCTATCAATCCAATAACTTTCGTAGTTTCCTTCTGTCCTACTTTCTCTATTTCTTCTTTTTTCCCCCTGTTTCTTCATGTACTCCATTTCTCCGTCCAAGTCTCTCTCTTTCATGAGACAATAGTATTGATAATAGAAGGAAGAATGCCACTTGTCGCATAATAGAGTGTATTCCCCAGTTGATTCACACGGATTTTGTATAATCTATTCACGCTCTTTTATCAAAAATGATTACTAATGTCTCCATCTTTAATTATCTAATTAAAAATAAATAATACTAGACAAATGGTAATAAAGCTAATATCAACTACTTTATAGCCTATTCTTTTAAATTGATTATTTATTAGTATATGAAATAGTATTGAGTACTATCAGTTTTAATTGAGTAGTTGAAAACTTGCAAATCTTGAAATCTTCTTCTTTTTCTTCTTTTTTCTCTTCTTTCCTATCGATGAATGCTATACACAATCAATATTGGACTCTATACAAAACTTATTCAATGAATGATTAACCATTAAAGGAAAAAATAATGACTGTAATGTATTGCTAAAATTTTAGCAGAGGAGAAATTCTATGCTTTTAAAAGCATGCTTTAATCATAAATTGAATTTCTTAATAATTTCTTGAACGTTAAATAAAAGAAGACAGAGAATTATCTAGATCTATATTTATTACATTTATATATATATATTGTATTTTCTCCTATTCAGCAATAATCTTTCAGATATATTAAATAGAAAACTTAACAGCCCCGGTTCATTCAAAGATTGCTTTATTCATTTGACATCACAACCTATATTTAATACAAGAATAGAAAATGGCAAAAACGAAATATTTTCACTCGGTTGTTCAATAGTTTATTTAATTAAAAAATAAACTTGTGAAGTTGCTTGTTCTTCTTTACCCCCTTCCCCCTCGCCCTCTCTCTCTCTCTCTCTCTATGTTAAATGTTAAACAAAGCAATATAGAGTATAGACTCCGTGAAGCAGTTACAGAAGTAGTTTTTGCATTTTTAATTGATTAGTTCATTATATCGCACATACAATTTGCAGTGAAATAAGAATATGATTATCATACATACATACATACATACATACGCATATTTGTATATATATACATATATATATATATATATATACAGTATATATTTATATATGATTTTTAATGCATTATTTATATGAATATAAGGATTATTTATGACCTTATTCAAAAATAACAAAAACTCCAATTATATAAATAGCCTTATGCGTGCTTTTGGCTTATACGAGTTGTAGAAAGAAAGGAAAGTTGAAATCAATTTGGTGAAGATAAAAGATTGGTTGAAGAGGAACAAAGAGGAGGTGGAGGAGGAGGAGGAGGAGGAGGAGGAGGAAGAGGTGTTATATCCTATGCAAACTTAATGAGATATTAAAAAAATGTAATATAAAGATCTTTTAAGGGTTCCTTTGAATATTCAATTCACCATTATCAGCAATGGATTTCGTCTATTCTTTCAAATGGTTGACAAACAATTAGATTATTCAAGTTAAAATGTATATTTTGTGAATAATTGACCAACTACTTCTTTTTCCTCTCTTTTTATTAATATTTACAAATTCATTTAGAATAAAAACATTCGATTGTTTAAGACGTTTTTTACATTATCTTCCACCTGGACTATAAGCCTATCTATCATAAAATATACACTATATACAGAAAATACATATATATGCATATTATCTATGTCTGTTTTGTTGTTTTAAAAAAAGAAAGTTCATTTGACCCCACCCTACTCGCAATGAAATAGTAATTGATAGTCTTATGATTGTTATTCTTTACTCCAGTTTTTGGAGGCCCTGTTAAAACGTAGAAAAGAAAAACATAAACAATTTAGGTTAAAAAATTGAAGAGGGGAAAAGGAAATAGTACATTAATAGATTTTATTCTTTTTTAACTTATGAATAATTCTGGCTAGGTTGCGTGGGTTGAACGATAAATAGTATCTTAGCTGTTTAATGTCGTCATAGATCAACAGTAGCTGTTTATTTTAAAACTATATATTAAACTTTCCTTTTAATTAGGCTATTTCGGCTTTAATACTCTATATTCTCTCAACTTATCTTTCTATTGTTTACAATACACTTGAATATAACAACCATTCTTCCTTTTTCCCATCTCTATTGTGTCTCTATACTAGTCTTTTCTCTCATTTTCACCCTTCCGCCCTCCACCCTCCTCTCCCTATTTAAACTAACTACGCGTAGGTCGATTGTAATCATTCAGTTTTCACCCTATTTTTGTCATTATAAATTTTTTGGTTACTCTGCTAGGCCTCCTAAAGAAGTAGCTGTTATATTCAAGATTTTGATATATCCATATTTTTGTTCAATAGATTCATTCAAGCATTACACTAGGTATTTTTGAACCAAAGCCGGTCTGTCTACTTAATATAAAGTAGAAGAGAAATAATTTATTACAGAGTCATCGCAACTGGATCAGGTATGATTTATTTTTACTTTATCCTCTCCCTTTTCTCTTTTTAATTATTCCTTTTCCTACTTAACTTTTCAATTCTCTTGAAGATAAAAATAAATCGCAATTGATCAATCGGATAAAGTAGAATGCCCTTTTTTCTACGTTTGAAATGAAATGTAGCATATCGAATTATAGAGTACATGTAATAAAAAAAGAAAGGGGAAAAAAGAGATACTAAGACGAGAAGGAGAAGAGAAGAGAAATGAGAGTTAAATTAAGATTCTTTATCGTTGCTATGAGCATGATATATAAAAGTTATAAACAATAGAAAAAGAGAATAATATTGCCAATGGTACTCTAATTAAGGCTGATTATTTAAGAGGATGATGAATTATAATAATTAACATTTAGCCCTAAATTGAATGTATTAGTAGTTATTTACTTTGAACAAGGACAATTTGTTTTCTCCATACATCATATGATAAGGCAAAAAAAGTCATTCTATTATTCATTTTATTTAAAGTTATTGTTATTGAATGCTAATATTAAATAATATATTAGTATATATTCTATATTAATTATTTGATTATCGATTTATAACGTTTTATCAACTTTTTCTTTATCAACAGGATATGCGATTTCTTTCGTTACTGGTATTTATCTCCATTGTTGGTGGTTTTCTCACCGCTGAATTCAATGAGTAAGAATCTCTTTTATTTTCTAAATAATCCTAAATATTTAACAATTGCGTATTTCTCTTTCCCACCCTTCACCCTCCTCATATTCGTTTAGAAAGAAAGTGAAAAGAAGCTCTTCCTCTAAGGATTTGAATCTTCTTCTCAAGGTTTGTATTAAAGTCCACACACACATACTCTCTCTCTCTCTCTCTCTCTCTCTTAGGAAGATTAATAATGATCTTTAGTACTTTAACCAAGCCTCTTTTTTTTCAAGTGGAAAGTCTTGTATTAAATTTGATATATACTTTATAGGATCTAGGCCTGTGAAAGTAAATGAACCCTAGTAAATAAATAGTATCAAGAATATATATAGAACTAAAGGATCTATGATTGAATGAAGGGAGGGGATTTAATAGGCTTACAGAGATAAAGAGAGAGAAAGAGTTGACTTTTAATTCGCATATTTAAATTGCTTTCTTTATTTATTAGCTTTTGAGAGAAAGAAAGAACAGTCTGAGTAAACGTGTTCGTAAGTAGATCAATTCCTAATTGCTATTAACTTCATTGATTCCAAGTTATATTATCAATACATTCGTCTCTAGTTCCCCAAGAATGCTTAGGAGAATCCAAACAGTTGAATGCAGATGTTGGTGGAGAAATTACCAGTCCTAATTATCCTCGTAAATATCCTACCTCGTTGGATTGTGAATACATCGTTAAGAGCTCTACTGGTAAAGTAAAAATCGACTTTGACGATTTCGATGTTGAGGAAGATCACTCGGGAGATTGTGAATACGACTATCTAGAAATTACCTACGTATCCAACGGTTCTCCTGTTAAGAGTACGAAATATTGCGGCAACAAAAAACCGGCGTCTCTTTCGACAAACTATGATACCGTCCGCGTTAAATTCCATTCAGACGCATTCACTTCCAACAATAAGGGATTTAAACTGACATATAGTGCTACTGGTAAACAACAAGAATACAGGCCAATAGCAGGATGCGATGGACGCCAAACAGTCGTATCTGATCCAGACGTTCGCCTCGTTGGACCATTAACAACATCTGGTCAATACCCGCCAAATTCCGATTGTTATTTCTTAATCCAAGCACCGACTGGCTATGTAAGCGGAAACATCTTTAAATATATTAATGTATAAATTATTAATAAGTACTCTTTCGAAATTCGCTAGCACGTCAGCCTAAAATTCGATCAATTCGACATTCAATCATCCTTCGCCTGCCGTGAAGATAGTATAGAAATCTACGATGGGCCCAATGAAGCTTCCGATCCCAGTATTGGTCCATTCTGTAATAATAACAAACCAAAAAATGGATATATCGACTTTGACAAAAACAGTGCCCTTGTCCATTTCTCTTCCAATGAAAATGGAGGTGGAAGTGGTTTTATTATTAAATTCCAATTCGTTAAGAATCCCGTACCTACTACAACACCCAGACCAACTACTACTAAAGCTCCAGTTCCCACAACGCCAGAACCAACAGTGAGTTGTAAGTAAATATTCATTAGTATACCCGACCTGGCATTCCTCCTTTTCCTACAACCTATATTTTTCATCCAAAAATAGTTCATAAGCTGTCAAAGGATGTTCTTAAAAGGACACCAGGATGTAATGGATCTCCGAAAAAGATTACAACCGAATCTGGATTTAAATCTCCAATTGTTTCAAGTGCCAATGTTGTTCCATCCAATGCGGATTGTAGCTATTTAATAGAAGCGCCCGAAGACAAACTTATTGAATTTGGATTCTCATTTTTCGATTTTGGCTCTCTGAAATGCGATACTGATTATGTTGAGATATTCGACGGTGATTCAGCATCAGCCACTAGTTTGGCAAAAGTATGCAATGGACATAAACTACAACCGGAAGAGATCTTACCCAGTTCTGGAAGACACCTCTTTATACGTCTTGTTTCTAGTTCGAATCCTTCTGGTGCTGGTTTTGAGGGTGTAATCACCTTCATTAAGAAAAGTCTTTCCAGCGAAATCTTAGCCAAAACTCCTGGTTGTCAAGGATCGCCAGCAAAGATAACATCCTCTAGTAAAATGCTTGTTTCCCCGGGTTATGGCGTCCTAGACACTTATCCGGAAGATGCCAATTGTCAATGGCTAATTGAAGCACCAGCCGACTTTGTAAGTATTCGAGAATCGTTTAATCAATTATCCTTTTGATAAATCTTGTTTTTTCAGGTTGTTCGCCTTACATTCAAAACCTTTGATATTGAAGAAGAGTTTTCATGCCTTTTCGATTCTCTCACGGCCTATGATGGTCAAAATTTCGACGAAAGAGTTCTATTAGGCAAATACTGCAACGAGCATAGTCCAACTTCAGAGGGAATTACCTCTTCAAATAACAAGCTTTTGCTTCAATTCGCTTCCGACGGCACAAATAGTTTTAAAGGTTTTGAAGCTAAAATAGAATTTATCAAGAGGGATTATATCCGTAAAGTTCATCCGGGCTGTGGTGGCAAAACTTTAACATTGACAGCTCCGGAAGGTGAATTCCGATCTCCCATGTACAATGTCGAAAAACAATATCCAAATATGGCCAGATGCGCGTGGAGTATTGAAGTCGTTTCTGGTAAACTAGTCCATTTAACTTTCTCCATGTTTAGCGTTGAAGAAACTATGGGATGTACCAATGATCACGTCAATATTTACGAAGTAATTGATGGTGAAAAGAAACTCTTAAAGCGTCTTTGCGGAGACGAGATTCCTGATGAAATCACCGCTTCTAATAACAAATTGTACATTGAATTTAAATCCGACGCTACCGTTATGGACAAGGGTTTCATTGCCACCTACTCGCAAAAGGACGTTCCAACAGTTGAAACTTGCGGATCGCCCAAAATCCTTCCCAAATTTGGACGTATCGTCGGTGGAATTGAAGCCAATCCTCACTCTTGGCCATGGCAAATTTCGCTAAGAGCTCAAACTCAAAGGAGTTATACGAATGATGATTATGGTCATGTTTGCGGTGGAAGTATTATCAATAGCCGTTGGATTGTAACCGCTGCTCATTGCGTAAACGGTGGAAAAAATTATCCAATGAATTTCTGGAGGATCCTTGTAGGTGAACACGATAGATCAAAGACTGACAGATCTCAAAAATACCACAAGGTTGACAAGTTAATTATACACGAAAATTACGATACAAGAGGATATGTAAGTATTCCAAAAGATCAATAATCGATCGTTCTCTTCACTCACAGTTATAAATAAATATAAATATATATTTTTCTATTAGCATAACGATATTGCCCTATTCAAAACAACAACGGAGATTAAATTCAATAACGAAGTACAACCAATTTGTCTAACCAAAGAACACGTTGAAGCTGATAAACTTTGCTTTACAACTGGTTGGGGAGCAACTCATTTCGGCGATAGCAAAGGCAGCGCAAAACTTCAACAAGTTATTCTTCCAGTTGTAGGTCACGAACAATGCAGCAAACCAGATTATTTGGGAATGAGTGTTAACAAGAAAGAGATGGTGTGCGCCGGCTATCCAGAAGGTCAAAAGGATGCCTGTCAGGGTGACAGCGGAGGTCCACTAGTCTGTTCAAAGGGTCCTGACGGAAGATATTATCTACACGGCATAACAAGTTGGGGAGTTGGATGTGCAATGGCAAAGAAACCAGGTGTATTTACGAGAGTTTCCAGCTACGTTGACTGGATTAATGCACAAATATCGAAGAATAGTTAAATTGTTTTCAAAAGCGAAACTTAAGATAGAAAAATTCAAATAAGAGAAGATTAAAGATTTTTCAGTGGAAAAAACACCAAAAAAATTGTAGTTTTTTTTTAATTCTCCGTCTTGTCTGTGGTTATTTAAATAAATTTTTAATCAATTAAAATTTCTATTCATAAATTAATTGGATATTTTTTAATTTATTTTATAAAAAAAATAAACCATTGTTTCGTAAACATTTCGGATTTGAATTTTTTTCGGGGCTGTTCACCAGCGATAAAAGACTTAATAGCAGTAATATAATGATTACTATGAGTGTATTTAACAGGTTTTAACGATGATATAAAATTACAAGAAAATCTTTTTTTAAAGTAAAAAATAATCCTTAAGGGGAAATTCAAAACTTTGAAATTTTTTTTACAATTTTTACACATTAGCCTTTCGACTTCACAGCTCAACAATAAACAAGTGCTTTTTTTTATCAATTAAAATATAACTCATCCATCTTCTACCGATAATAACCGTCATCTTCATGATCACGGTGATGGCGGTGTTTGTGATGTTTGTGACGTCTTTCATAGTCATCCCCACGACGTCTGTCGTGATCTTCTGGTGATCTGCGTCGTCTGCGATCTCTCGATCTAGATCTGGATCTTGAACGATACCGTTTGTGATGTCTGTCTCTCGACCGTGATCTAGAACGTTTGTGCTTTTTGTGTTTACGACGACTTGGCTCCTCTTCTTTCTCATCTGAGTATCGCCTATCATCTCTATTTAGATCTTGTGTAGCCATCCTTTTGATAAATAAAAAAAGAATTTCATCGTTAATTATTGAAACTTGAAATAGAGAATTAAATAATTAAGTGAACCTTACAATTGAGGATTATTGGCGGCTTGCATAACTTCTTTCAATTGTCTCTCTTCTCTCCTAGCTTGCTCAACTGCCTCCTCTTCGGCTCGTTTCTGTTCTCTAGTTTCTACATCATATATACGCATCTTATCTTCCATTTCTTTCTGAATTTTCACTGGAATACGCGGAAAAAGGGTACTAAACCAATCCAATTTCAACATCATTTGTCTCACCATTTGCCCCATTGTCATTGGGCTACCACCGCCAGCCTTCGGGTCAATTTCCTATTTATTTCACAAAGAATGTTACTTTCAAAATGTTAATTTATAAACGCGCGCAATCGCCTACTCAAAATTAGTGCTATTTAATTTTTAAGTAAATCAATAATTTGTCTATATATACCTAAATATACATATACAAATATATATGAATATTATAAAAAAATAAAGAATACTCTTACATCACAATTAATTATATGCCATTGCATAATATTAATTCTTCAAATGTAAGAATATACTATTATATTTTCTATAAATATAGGGTGAAACAAGACTTTTCTGTCAAAAAATCTTTATGTTTAACCTCGAATATAATTGTCAACGGTATGAAGACTTTCAGAATCTTCTCGACCAAAATATCTGTTTTGAAATACATGACAAAGTCACTTCCTGTTTTAAACTAACGCCAGTCGAGTGGAATAGAACTTACCATAACTGTACAATGTTCCATGCGAAAAAACTACTAAAAGGCTACTTTGACAAGCACAATAAAAAAAAAGTCTTAGTCCTTACCTCCTCATCATCCAAATAGTTTTTAAACCAATCCCATAAATCTGCTGGACTCTGAGTGTACCTATAAGAATATACGCAGTGAAAATCGTTCGATTCAATTTCAGAACATATTCATTTGAGCATACTAACCTTATATACATAAAACCTAAACCTCTGATATAGGGAGAATCGGAATGGTTTATTAATCCTACTACTTGTTTTTTTGTTAAACGAAGAGTATACAATTTATACAGCAGACAATAGGCGCTAGAAACGATTCCTCCTGTTCCTACACCTCTCACTCCTCCGCACATACCAGTTTGACCAGCGACTTTTCGACTTCCCTTTTCCCATGGCTCCAAATGTGCTACCTAGAGAAAACAAAAAACAAGAATAAAAATCCTCGTAGAAACTTTTAATTGCTTATACTGGATATTTGTTGACAGAGCACTCTCACTTCCATCCAACGTTATCGATTTCGAAATTTTGAACAACTAGTATCTTTCAGGCGATAATAAACAGTTGATTATATAACGAATCTAAACAATAACTATCGAAATTGAGTATAAACTTATTACCGAAACTAGAAAAAAAAAATATTTCATAAGGGTAATAGATATTTTTTTTTATAACCGAGTTCCTGTTAGGCATAATGACTTTATCATTATTCGTATGCACGTTTCACCGAAAGTCATAAAAAAAACACTGAACAAACCTTATAATAAATCTCATCAATAACTTCATGGTATGTTTTCAGCTCAAAGCAGTTCACTTTAAAATAAGGCGAACCCTGAATATTTGTCAGGACCATATTATTCATATTCATCGTCTTCTCATTTCCCCAAATAGCTAAAGCATTAGCTTGCGGTGCCATTTGACTAGCCGATCTATTTACCAATGTCAAAGTATAACAGATATGTGTTGGTTGAAATGTAAGAAAATCAAAATTATTGTTTGAACGGAAGGGTTTCACTTTAGATAAATATGGCGGACAACGAAGTTCCAACGCAATCTCGCGAGTTCTCAAAGGCGATTTAAAACTTGATGAGTTTTAGGGCGGAAAACGTAACCAGTCAAAGCGAAATTTCCAAATTTCGCGTGATCTCATGAAAAAAGACGAAATGTTACGTGTTCCGCGCTCAAAATGTTAATGCTAGAATCTGAATTCGAACTCTTTACCTATTTAAATTTCGTCCACACATGCGCAAAGCGCGCTGGCACCGTTGTTGATCGTTCGTTAAATTTGTAAAAATAAATTTGAAAATTTCAAACCTATCGTCGCCTTAAATTGCAAAAGTTTATTATGGGCGAACATAAAGTAACTTTAGGGGAAGGTCTGTATCTAATTTTCTGTAAAGTTGCTTCGATTAACTGTCATTGTACAAACTGTCTATTGTGTAGAGTTTTTGAATTTTTTTGTCTTTGCAGGTACCATAGATTTGGAAGCCGATGAAGAGTTTCCTGAATTTAATGATGATGTCTTTTTAAATGATCCGTACTTAAGTTCTCTTATAAGAGATAGAACGTTAAACATGGTACCAAATAAATTGGAATCCATAGATAAACCCGTTGCACTACACTATCAGGAGTTAATTGAGCAATCTAATGCAAAATTTCCTAAAATTCTAACTGAAAAGCAAGTACTACTAAAATATCAGGAGATGAAAGAACAGATGAAATATTTGGATGAAGAAGAAAAAAGGTTTAAAGCTTATGAAAAGTTGTTAAATTGTCCAAGACAGGTAAGATCTGTACAAATACTTTGTAGAATATAGTTTAAACATGAAATCACTCTGTCCATATTCTTAAACCCATACTTGGAATGTATTTAGTTTCTATTCAACTTTGTTCCATTGCGAACATTCTATTTAATGAAAATTCTCGCTCAATCCAGTTTTATTAACTTTTTTATTTTCTATGTAACATTTATAATAGGCTCTTAGTAACCTTTTCACATCTTGCATTACAAATACAATTAGATTACTGAATATCCCTTTTTATATAATTAAAATTTTTAAAACAACCACTGTTGTCAGCAGTTTAAAAGATATCTCTGGAATGAAGTTATTATACAAGGTTTTTGTAGATTAAGATTAATTAGTATTTTAGTAGCCTAATTAAAGTTACTTCTTTTTATATATTATTTTTTAGTCTTGACTCCACATTCGATTTTTTATAGATAAAAAATTGGGATGTTTACGATAAGCCACCTCCCCGTCCCGAAAGTGATAGTTCACCATCAACACCTATTCAAACAAGTCCCGGAAAAGTCAAAAGTTATAGAGGAGGTAGGAGGAGTGGAAGAGCATCAAGAAATTTGCAAGTTTCTAGTTCACAAAACTTAAAAGCCAAAGCGTTCTTTGACGCATGAATTATAGAATAGTGTACTTTATTTTCTTGTGTAAATTGTAATTTTCTTTCAGTGTCATGTTTTTGGATTGGGTCTATGCTTTACTTATTAATATATTAATTCTTTTTTTTTCCGATTTGTACATACAATTATAAATGTTAAATTTATTTTGTAACTTTTAAAAATTTTCATTCAATGTCATTCCAATCCAAATCATTATCTTCCCATCCTTCGGTGTTTTCCTAAGCATAAAAAGTTCATCAATAAAAAGATATTCTATATACAAAAGAGATTTTAATTTTTTTAAATTTTTACCTGACCGTCGAGAACGTCAAACATAGTTTTCGACTTGAGTCTGGGTGAAGAGCTATTGTTCTTTGATTTAGCATCTGTATTGCATACTTTTGGTTCCATTTCAGCGAATAATTCATCTAGTAGTCGATCTTCTAAGTTCTTGCCATTTTTCTTTTTTATATCTATCTTTTTAATTTCATATTCACTACCTAAATTGTCATTAGCCCAAATTGTTGTTTGGCGATCATTTTTAATGTTTTCTTGAGGAGGACTAGCGGAAGGAGTTGTTTCAGGTGACTTTTTGGAATGTGCTGAGTTATCGCTTTCTTGTTCAGACTTTTCAAATTGGCCATTAGACGTACCATTTTTAATTGGTTCGTCTTCGCATTCTTGTTCTTCTTCACCCCAATCATCTTTCCATTCAGAATATTCTGATGAATACTTACTTTCCTGCCGTTTTTCTTCAACATGCTCCGCCTTTTCATCTCCTTCGCATGCTTCTAATATATGGTCTTCTTTTGCAGTCGACTTCGCAATACTGTTTTGAATTTTTCCTTCCATCTTTCCAATTAATTTATTGCCTCCTGAAAGAATAACAAAAACCAAGACTAAGTTAACTTGAAAAATGTAATAATTTTTCTAGAGAAACCTTTTATCTTCATTCTTTCTTGTCTTTTCTGCCTCTTTTCCATATTTCTCTTCTCCAGCTCCTCCTTTTTTTTATGTAACTTAGACATCTTTGCCAAATCGGCTAATGTCTTGGGTTTTTGTCTTTAAAGAAAAGATTAAGGACATGAAAAAAGGTGGTCTATAAAAAAAAAAAGATTTGAAGCTTCCTACTCTTTCTCTTCCTCTTCACCAGCTACTGAATTTAAGATCTCGTTTACTGGCCTTTGAGGGATAGGCAAATCCTTTTTAAATTTGGACATTTCTTCCAAACGAAATGGAACGTTAAACTGTTGTAACAAAGGTAAAATAATAGCTTAACATTGTTAAATAATCTAGTCTATATGAGGAAAAATATATATATATATATATATATATATATATACTTTTGGACTGGCAACTTGAAAGATTCTTAAACGCTGGCCTCCAACTACCACTTGAGATCCTAGTATTTGAGTTAAAAATGCTAGGGCAATTAAAGTCAAAGAAACAATTGTATCATTTTCATCCCGAAGTCCAGTTAAGATCTGAAGATAAAAGATAAGTATTTGTAAAAAAAATAAATATCGATTACAAATTATATTATTATATGTTATTTAAATTACTTCTGGTAAAATTATATCGGATAATTCTCTTTTATCGAATAGTCTGTAATAGCTTTCGAAATATTTCAATAGGGCATGCCTCACATGAAAATCTCTGACATGAAATATCTTTGTTATTTCAGGAATGACGTGTTTTTTGAAAGGCTTAGTAGTTAGAATAGGATAATGAATAGACATATCAACTTTCTCAGGTCTAGTTTCGGCTAAATTAGTGAAAGAGATGCGTGACAGGTAATTTAACGTATATATATATATATACAGTATTAATATATATGTATATATTAATATAATTAGTTCATTACCAAAACTCGGAACTAATAGATGAGGGATAAAATCTTCAATAGCAGTTTGATCTAACAGAACAAATCTTGATAAAAGAAGTTTTGTTAATCTTGACGCAACAAGTTTTTCCGGTAATTTGTACAATCTCTCGGCTAAGTTTCTAAAAATATAAAGCGAGAAGAGAAAATTAATTTTTTTTTAAAAAAACAAAAGAAATAAAAATTAATCATTACTTGAAAAAATCCTTCTTTTCATTTTCATTTTTTAAAGTTATATTTCTTAGAAAGTTGATAATATCAACATAGTCATTTCTACATATAAAAAATAGTAAAATCAATGAATGTTGAGTACATACATTTGAAAATATCCTGAATAAATATTAAAATTAGCTAATAGAGTATAATTTATTCACCTTAAAAGTGGTTCGTCCAATAAAGTATCTAGTTTACAAATTTCTTTTCCAGAGAGAATATCATTTTGAAGTCTCAATGTAAAAGATTTAATAGAATTTGCTGTAAGAAATGAATAGAGAATAAATGTTACAGTTTATTCTTATTACTTTGGAAAAGTATATAATTTACCTTCAAGACTTCTCATGTAGTCTATTAACTTTAAACAAAGTATTCCAAAGGTATATGCGTCTCTAGAATGATCTCTGAACTGATGCTATTTTACATAAAACAATGAATAAAGTAAAAGTGAGCTTTAGCAATAAGGAATATTTTTTACTGTTGTTTCGGGAACATAGTCTTCATCAATTAAAGAATTACATAATTTTGTGTGATTTTCTGTCTGATCATCAAAATTGCATAGAACTTCAAGATTTCCTAATTTCCAGCGACCACAACAATCAACAAATATTGATTTATGGCTAATGTTATTATGTGAAAGTTTAGCCTGTAACAGATGTTAAGTAAACAAAACTAAGCATAAAACGTCTGCCTAAATATATTAATCACTTTTTTTCAATTACTTACGTTATGAAGAAATGTGATTGTATTAATTATATCAACTAATCCAACTGATATTTCATATGGGTTTAATTTGTCGAGGACATAAGAAAGAGGTGTAACCCTTTCTGTAATTATGTTTTCATCGTGAAAGGCGACATATTTTATAATCCCAGGATGTTTAAGCGTTTTCAAGTGCTATTTATGAAAAAATTGATTGTTTTATATATATTTGTTTTAGAAACGCACCTTGACAGCCTTTTTTAAAAAAGTTTCACTAGAATTTGTTTCACATTTTAGGCTAAACACAGAAACGACATCATCGTCGTTGAACGCATTTGAAAATTTCCAAACTTTGTCATCGTAATTGTAATTTTTTTTCTCGAATGTCAAGTCAGCATACGAACTTGTTTCTGCTCCCATCAGAATCTTAATACGGAAAAGGAATTATACGAATTCTTAAATGTTTATATTATCGTTCAAATTTCTGGAGTTAACTGGTGACTTTAAATGGAGTGTTTTGTGCTTCTTTATTATCCTTATTGATTATGGGCTTTTTCAAGTTTTGAAATTTATCATAAACAACATTTCTTAAGACTTATTGTTAAATAAATTCAATATAAACATATATAGAATTTATAGCTTTAAGAGTCTTTTTTTTTTATAAATATCTTGTCTCTCTTTAAAGTTAATTCTAATATAATATGTAAAAATTAGATATATATCATTATATAAATGAATATTGTTTTTGTAAAAAAAAAACATCCCTTAAAAATATTTCTTAAAACTTTATTTTGATATTTAATAAAAGAGCAAGTATAGTTAAAGAATACAATCTTAAAATTCCTTTTTCGCATATATGTACTTGTTATTTATAATTATTTCGACCAATATAACAACAAAGCAAAAAAATACAACTAAAACTAATAAATACTTAAAGTATCATATTAGCTGAATAACTTGACAGATTTACAACTTTATAAAGAGTTATTTATATTTTTAAATACATATCGAATATATGAAATATAACCAGTTTATATTATATTTTGCTCTTAGTTTTTTTTTGCTCTTACCTCTAATATCGTTGAAAAAATTGTGACATTTGTTGATGCAAAATACTTGTATATTCAAACGACTTTTAAATTATGATAGATTTTTGTTACTATTAATACAATACTAGGATTGACAATGCATCATATTTTGAAGAAACCATCCCCTTCGATGAACATATTAAAGATAAAGTTTCAATTATATAAAAGTGCATATTTCGAAAAAATTCCAACGAAAAAATTGGCTAAATTACTCTGCGTAATCTTCCTTGTTTCATTAGTAATTTATTGCTTTTATCCTAGAAAGCGTTATACATCGGCAATTGGATGTAAAACTAGAATAGCAGAGGTAAAGACAACTTTTAAACTAAAGACTTCATTCTTTCATAAATGTTTAAATATTAATGTTTACGGTTATTCATTAAAATTCTAAATAGATGATGATTAAAGATAGTGGGGAAAGAAGAAGATATTTGGATGGTGTTGGCTATGATTTATTTAATATAGAGGATTCATATTTTAGGACTCTATCAACTATTACAACTATGTGTGAAAGGTAAGGAAAGGTTTTATGTTTATCAGTAAGATTAATAAGGTATAAAAGTTCCTCTAAGTATCTCATCTTGGCGCTGCTCGTTCAATTCAGATTCTATTCTTTCTTTCAATCTCTCTTGGATGTCGTCAATTGTCATTTCGTATCATTTATCTAGATCGCAAAAGAGTTGTTTAAGAAATTTTAGGAACATTCTCTCTTCTTTTTCTTGAGTTAATTTATCTACTTTAGCCTTTGAACCATACCATTAAAAGTTTACTATAACTAACTCCATTTTTGTCCACCATTTTGACTAATTAGAAGTTCTCACGCCGTTTTTGTTGAATGATATTTCAAAGGATAAGTATCCACTTTATAATCGTTTGAATATTGTAGTTTAGTTCAAAATTTGATTGAATAGGTTCATATTTACTAGTCTCAATACTAGTACTATAGTTGTCCTATTTTATATTCATCCGACATCATAGGCAAGACAAGTCGGAATTCATAAACTAACATTTCTTGCTTAATAAATAATAATGAAAATTTTTGGAATTTAAAAACAAAAAAATAGCCAAGAAAGGATTGGACCACCTGAAGATGGAGGATGGGATATCTGCTTAGATGCATCTTATAGATTTTCTACACCTTGCCTTGTCTATTCCTTTGGTATAGATAATGATTTTAGATTTGAAGAAGGAATTGAAGATCGTTTCGGTTGCGAAGTTCATGCTTTCGATCCTAGGTAAAGAGAAATATAAAATAATAAAAAATATAATTCATTATAAATAATTGTTCAATTGTTTTCAAATAGTATGAACAAGGAAGATTATCAATATTCCGACAGTATCTACTTTCATAATATTGGAATTGATCATGAAAATGGCCTATCAATTATGGGAAATTGGAGATTAAAAACATTTGGATCGATTCTAAAAGAACTAGGACACGAAGACAGACATATAGATTACCTAAAATTAGATGTTGAATTTTCTGAATGGCCAGCATTATATGAAATGATAAAATCTGGTTCTATTCATAAGATTCGTCAATTGGCTGTGGAATTTCATACTCCAGAAATGGATATTCATACTAAACCTAACAATAAATGTACCTGGGCAAAAGGTGACACTCTGAGATTTATGTATAGAGTTATCCTTGAACTGAAAAATACTGGATTTAGTATTTTTCATTCGAGAACAAATTTTCGAACATCGTTTAAATCTGATATTACAGGCGTAGAAAGATACTGTTGCTACAACATACATTTTGTTAACAGAAAACATCCGTTAAATCCTTATATAAACCGCAGACATTAATATTTCTTTAAGTTTACTTAACTTGCCGTATATTTCATTCTTGTTAATTTATTTCATTAGAAGCATTCCAATATTCTACTCAAGTTTACTTAAACTTTTAATTATTGTTTCTTTGTCTGTTCTAACAATAATATATGTAAAAGTTAATCCAAAGTCTTATATGCTAAAATGATGTAAGCTTTATGAAAATTAAAGACAACGAACAAAGAACAAGAAGAAATTTTTTTAATAGTCTTATAAAAAATTCGTTTATACTTTGGATGTTAATAAAAATAAATACTTTCTTATTGAATATTTAAAATTATCTGCTCTTTTCTATAAAATGAAACAAACTTTGTTTTGTACATTTTTACCAGTTTTTGCTGGCGGGCATTTAAGCCAATTAGCTTCAAGAATACAATGCTTGTCTTATCCAATCACGACAATTTTCACTTTTTCGTGCAAATCTTTATTTTCGGTTTACATTTTTTGATTAAAACTATTCGAAAATTTCTTTGTACAAGTCTGTTTTTAAAGTTTTGAATAAAATAAAATTTATTTAGAAATAATATGCACTGCATAACTCTGTTGCAGATTGGATGAGTTGTTTTTGTTAGTAGCAAAAGTTACAGTTTGCCCCTACGAACTGGATACTTGGGTCTACTGAAGCAAATGACAATGACAATTTTTGAGAACGGTTTGTACATGTATTATAGATATACAAATATTTATCGTAGTCTTCTCCTAGGAAAGGAATTTCCTCCTCAATCGTCGGGTTATTATTGGCGTTGTTCTCTTGATGAAGCTGGATTCGAAGCTGCCTGTTCTTCAAATTTTAAACATGTAAATATTAGATAGAAAGGATTAAAAGAGTTATTTAAAATAATATATATTGGAATTTTCTTCTTTCAGTTGTCAATAGCAGAATTATGGCAGCATATTAAACCGGGAGTTCTTGTAGAAGTTGTAAATACTGATCCAGCTCCTCATGTTAAAGAGCCAATGTATTGGATCGCTTCAATTGTAAAAATCTCAGGACTATATCTGCTCTTACGGTATGAAAGTGAAGTTGCACTGCCCAATTTAGAATTCTGGACTCATTTTGCATCTGACGATTTGCATTTTGTGGGATGGTGTGCCGAGAACGGAGCAAACTTGTCTCCTCCCAATTGTAAGTATATAAACTTTTGCTTATAGTACAATGGCATAAATACAATTATAATATAATATTGCAATGTTAATAGCTATTATTGATAAAACGGACTGCTGGGAATCATTTTTGTTCAAGAGGCTAGACGGGGCTTACACTATACCAAGAAACTTTCGAGATAGCATAAAAAGATGTCTTGAACTACCAAATGGTTTAAAAGTTGGCATGAATGTGGAAATATTGAATAAAGTTGCTTTAGATACAATGCTGCCAGGTCGAATAAAAAGTTCAACTGGAGGTAGACTACACATAGATTATATATGCCCACCTGCTGAATCTAAAGTATTGAAATTTTTTAAAATAGCTTTAATAGTTTATCTAATCTTTTTTTTATTGCATAAATTAGGCAGAAGAAGACGGTTTCTTTTATTGCCATTATCTCTCTCCCGTCCTTCATCCAGTTGGTTGGTGTGAAAATTCAGGTCATGCTATGGATCCCAATGTACCAGGTATTAACTATCTCAAAACATAATATATAATTTAAAACTGTATTTTATTTATATTATTTATATTCACTGATAGCTTTATATCGACATTTATCATCTCAAAAAGTTTCCAACGCTATTTCTTACGATGACAAAGATGCTTCCCCCGAAATGTTTCCACAGCAGGTAGCTGCTGAATCAAAAAACGACATTGAATTTGAAGAGGGAATGAAGCTGGAAGCAATTAATCCATTTAAATTAAGCGAAATTACTGTAGCAAGCGTTTCAAAATTATTGGATAGAGGAAATATGATGATATCATTCGACGTAAATCCAGTCATGCCTGGTCGAGACTGGTTTTGCTATCATAAATCGAGTCCTTGCCTCCTTCCAGCCGGTTATTGCGATTATTACGGACTGGATTTAACTCCTCCATTGTCTCATAAGGAGAATTTTGACTGGCAAACTTATTTAAACGATAACGCCGCAAAGCTGGCTCCTGTAAAGTTATTCGATAAAGTAAAGACATTGTTTTTGTTGAATTCTAATGATTGTAAACGTATTTTTCTTTAAAGGAGTTACCCGCTCATACCTTCAAAGAAGGTCAAAAATTAGAAGCTGCCGATCTAATATCACCTCACTTAGTATGCGTTGCAACTGTACATAAGATTGCCGGTCGGCTACTTCGTATCAGATTTGATGGTTGGTCGGAAGCTTACGATCAATGGGTTGATTGCGAATCATCCGACATTTACCCCATCGGCTGGTGCGAAATGGTTGGCCATACGTTAGAAGTTCCACCAGGCTCAGCCGCCGCAAATGGCTTGAAGGAGAATACTATAACTGGTAAAGGAAAAGGAAATAGAAAGAAAAGATCAACAATAAAAAGGAGAAAGAGCTCTGTCGAACAAAATTCATCTATTCAACACGATAAATCTGGTAAATGAATTAAAATGATAATAAAATGTTTTTTGCGTAGCTAGTTTTGATTTTTAATTTTTGCAAAGCTTTAAGCGAATCAACTTTGCCAAGGCCTATCGCTCCAAAAGCCGTAACTCATCCAGCACTTGTTAGCGCTTTATCACCCTTCAGATCCATTCAATTGACCAAAAATATCCCGAAATACGTCGAAGACGACACCGACGAAAGTTCAATTATGTACACTTTCGCACCGGGAGTCGATCAGCAAAAAATTGATCCCCTTAATTGGACGGTTGAAGACGTTGTTGTCTTTTTAAAAAGAAACGACTGCGGAAACCTTGCCGAAAGTTTTAGTAAAAAGGTAATCTTCTAAAAAAAAGAAACAATATAATCCTTAAGCAATTATTTTATGTTTTTTCTACAAAATCTATTTTAAATAAATAGGGTATAGACGGAAAAGGCTTCCTTTCGTTAAAGAAAGAGGATATGAGCCATTTAGCAGGTATAAAAGTATCAACATCTTTGAAGATCTATAATCTTATACAGCACTTGAAGGATGTCGCTGGTATAAAATAAATACAGAGGAATTATTATAATAATAATAATGATAATAATGATAATAACATCAACAACAGCAACAATAATAATAATTTACGTATTCATTTTGTAATCTGTTACTAGCTTAGTTTTGTTCAACAAAAAAAAAACCACAAAAAACCGTTTTTTTTCAAGATATTAACCAAATTTTTCTTTTTTTTTCATAATAAAAAGATTTATTTTGAAAATTAAAAAGGAAAAGAAAACAAACTTTCTTTTTAATTGTTTGTTCTTTCTTTTTTATATAAAAGTACTCGAAATTGATAAATAGATGGATTTTAGATTGTACATAATTCTTAAAATATTCATATTTCCCTTTGGGATTGTTGTTTTTGTCAGTCGTTCGTTAACTAACAACATATTGGTATTTCGATAAGGATGAATAGCAAACAATCCCATTATTCTAAATGTAATGGTTGAAGGATTCTTTACAAATGTATGTAATTAACTATTTAGGCTTTGGTGATATTCGACTGAGTTTTGACTTGACCACGCAACTTTAAATTTTACTTGATACAGTGCAGATAATAATAGTAATAATTAGATAAATGGATATCACGTGATCAATTGTTAAAATTGCTTTTAGCAATTAATCTGAATTCCTTAAATAACATATGATTTTCGAACCATTCGCGGAATGCTAATAATGGCAAATATTGATAAAAATAGATACAAAGGTCGTTATCCTTTTCTCCAAATGGCTTATTTATGTACTTCTTGTTCATATACTATTAACGTAGAATGGCAACATTCGTAACACGTAAAAACTCCAAAATAGTATTGAAATGTTTATGTGATAGATGGAGTTTTTTTTTTTTACTGTAAAACATAATCACGTGATTTTTCTTGCGTCTATTTACCACTAAGATTCGAAATTAATCACACTTTCTAGGACAGAATCTCCTGCTTTTCGTACAATAGATTCTTAAGCTAAGCTTCAATCTCTTACGCTTACCACAGGTTATATTTAAGATTCTCTCTCTTTTAATTATCACGATTTCCCACACGCTGTTCGAATCTAAATAAGTGTTTTTTTGTTTTTCTATATGATAGGGAAGAGCTTAACGCTAATTCACATGGGTCAGAAAGTATCTTTCTCAAACTATATGAAATAATAGCAAGATTATCCAATATGTGTGCCACGAAAAAAGCAATAGGATTTATAATTAATTCGATATTCAATTTATTATACAAGTCAATTTTGTATTTGTATAAAAATCTTTACATTTTGAACACAAAAGTTGGGTTTTTTTCTCTTTTTAAAATATTTAATATCGATTAAATCTCCTGATAGACGTCGTTGCTCTTCCCCCATATTCCTAATGATAAACTATTCAATTCACTGTTGGGGAGAAATGAAATATTTGAAATGATTTATTCTGCTTTTTCTATACTCTGTAATACTGTAATACTCACTCGTAGATGTTTTTAGGGCGTTGCGGTAGGGAGCGCTTGGTACGCAAACTTTCCTTTCCTATATCTTTCATCCTTTCTAATCTTCTAGTTAGAGAACAGGTTCCGAGATAACAGAGTAGATTTATTATAATAGATATTGATGAGATATAGAGGGCCGCTGACAGTTTACTTGGAACAACATCTTTTTTAAATTTATATTTTAGCAATTTGATTCAAAAGTATTAAAAGTTACCTGTCGTAGTTTCTATATGATCAATTGTTTTGTTTATAATAGTTGTAGCTCCAGTTGGACCTCTGGGGCCAGTGGGTCCAGTTGGACCAACCTCTCCCGGCTCTCCAGTTTCGCCCATTACTCCTCTTTTTCCTTCTTTACCTATGGTGCCAGGCGCTCCCATTTCTCCCGGATGGCCAAATGGACCAGCCATCCCTTAAAATAAGGAGGATTAAATTATAAAAGAAGAACAGTAGAGCAAATCTAACCAGTATTGCCTGTGTATCCTACGTAATATTTCCCGCCGATTCCAGACGAAAAGAGTAAAAATATTATAAAAACTGTAAATTCATACATAACTTTACTCTTTTCATTTACAAGATCAAATGATCTACGTTTGAATATGATATTTGTTCCCAGTAGGATGTTAGCAATAGGCTATATATATATATAAGCCCATATTGTTAAAACTTCCCAAACTGATTGTATTATATAATATGACTCATGATCGTGTTTTTTGTTATTTCATTATTTTATTAAGAATCATTAATCCATATATATATGAATGAAAAATATAGTAAAATTCATCAAAGATAGTAATACAGCATGTCTCTATAAGCTGATTGTATTTCTATATATACTGTCTATATACTAATATATTAATATACTTATATAAATTTATATATATACATATATATATATATATATATATATACTGTATAAGTTTTTACGAAGAGAGAGAGAGTAGTGGAATGGAGTGAGACTAAATCGCTAATCTTGTAAATCCAAATATTCTCCTGACATTATCGACATTTTACGTTCTAAACGAACTTCTCCATGCCTAATTAAAGTATAACATATGTACTATTTAATAAATATACATTGATTATAGTTACGGAATTTCATCTGGAAGATAATAAATGTTCTTCTTCATCGTTAATTTCTGTTTAGGAGATTCTTCATTTTTATTTATTTTAATTTCGTTCTTCTTTATAAGCGAATTATCATATTTTTTAATTTTAAATCTTAAGAAAACTATCTGAATGACGCTTAAAATACTCAAAACGAATGAAAGTGCCGATGTTGCCATGGCCGGAGCTTCTAGATTCGATTTTTCACCTGAAAATTATAGTTTTATCCATTTCAGACAAAAATTTGAAATCTTTATTTAAGACTTAAGAGATTTACCTTGAAGAATTTTCTGCGTAGCGTTAGATTCTGTACCGTTAAATTGTGTCTTTCCTGGAGGTCCGGGGGGTCCTACTGGTCCTGGCATACCACGATATCCAGTCGCACCAGTTATGCCCTTACTACCTGTTGCGCCCGTTTTTCCCATTGGGCCAATTGGTCCTGGATATCCTGTGAATCCTGTATGTCCTCTAGGCCCGGTATCACCTTGTAAAAAAAAAGTAGAAAAGAAGGAAAAGTGTTGTATTATTGAAAAGAGAAGGAAAAGCAAAAGATGCGATTTACCTGTAGCACCTGTTCGTGCTTCTATCATATAGATTTGTGTTGGACAGAAGACAATAAATATAAGAAATACAATTGACATGTTCGTGCTGAGCAGAGAGAGAGAGAGAGAGAGAGAGAGAGAGAGAATGAGAGAATAAAGCAAATATACGAAAAAGAAACATATTAAAAACAAAATATTAAGAAAAAAAGAACGGATGCTTTATAAGCTTTTATCAATATTTGAGAAAAGAATTAAATATTTATTATTGCGCAATAATCGAGTTAGTTCGTTGACTAATGTTTTGTCGTGATGAGAAATTTTCTATATATTTTATTAATGGAATAAAGAAAGAAATTTTGTTTCTTAGACAAATTTAAAACAAAAAAGTGTACTTTGTTTTATGTTTCTATTCAATTTTTGCACTTGAATTGCTGAATAAATCTATTTTGAATATTGAAAAATATATTAAGTTTATTTACATGTTTACCGTCTAGAAGGACGTCATTAAAAAATCTCTTTTAGTGAATAATAGAGTTCTCATTCGCAATTATGATCTTGTTCATTTTCCTTTATTTAATTTCGGTCAATTCGTCAAGTAACTGGTTTAAGGGTGATTATTACAGGAAAAGTATTACAGTTCAAAATTCCACTCAGCTAGGAGAGTTTAATAACAAATGGCGTTGTTTCTCACAAGCTTTACGTCTCAATTCTTCTCTTAAAGAGCTGCTTATAATTTTTAACGAAAAGAAATGTTCACTCTCTCGGCTACCTATAAAAGTTAATCAATCTGCCCCACAAGCTGATCTGATCCTGATAAGAAGCAGTTATCTCGATGACCAAACGAAAGAGAGTAACTCCTCCCCTGATCAACTGACTATTCCTATAGTTTATAACTTTTCAACGTATTCTTATAATATTTTCGTAATGAACGAGCCTTTGAGTTTTAACTCTGCCTATCAGCGATGCTCCGAGTATAATCTATCCCCTCTGTATTACAACTACAAACTACACTTCTTCAATATAGTTATGACAAAGATTGGCATGTACTATAAAGTATGGATATTTATGGACGATAGCACCAATAAAGGAACATTCGAATGGGTCTCCAACAATAGATCTACAAGAGATTCATTAAGAGATCACGTAAAAAGTCATATAAGCTTTTCAAGCCCTGGAGCTGGTTGTGTATCGGTATCAAGTGTCGACCTGTCGAGTTACATTCTAACAGCCGAAGATTGTAATACACAATTATATTATGCTTGTCAAAATCGAAAATGATTAATTTAATTCCTTACCAAATCAATATTTATAAATTTTCAGTTAAAATACTCTAATAAAGAATAAACTAGTCAATAAATGTTGAAAAAGCTTTGTTTATATTATAGTTCACAATACATTTGTTATAGAATCAAATGAGCGGCCAGAGCCATTAGAAATTTCAGCAAACTTTACCGTACAAGACTTTTATTGTCAATTTAATTCTTTTAAATCCGGAATGATAATTTACTTCTCTTTTGTATTAGTTATCATATTTCCTATGATAGCAACGGAAACTCGTTCATTTAAAAAGGATATTTTACTTTGTTCTTTAAATTCATCCTCTAATACGAAACTACTTGGTCAATCTAGAAGCTTTCTCGAATCTTTCATCAACGTTTTCACTTATCATAATCTACCGGAAAATTCGTACGTTGTGTTTAAAGATAGTTTGCCATATTGGGTTGATTATATAGTAATAATGAATAGCAATTCGAACTTTAATGGTCAATTATATAAAGGTTTTATTATAAAAAGTGACCATAATTTGTCCTCACTTGGTACGACATCAACACCACAAACTGCAGAATCAACAATAGGGTCAACAACGGGGACAATAATTAGATCGACAACGTGGCAAACAACAGAACAAACAACAAAAAGAACAACAGAACGGACCACACAACCAACAACAGAACAAACAACAGGTATAGTAATATCAATCCTAGCACCAATAACTACTTCTTTTCTCTGTATCAGATATAACAACTATCCTACAGTCATCGGGTATCAACTGGATTGAAAAGATTATAATGGGAAACTCTTATTACGTTTCTCCAGTGGAAAAAACATACGTCGAGTCACTTGCATCCTGCCTGATGGATAATTACAAACCATTCTTTTTTCAGGACGACGTTGCCTCTTTAACAGATTTTATTAAGGCAGCATTTACAAAAAATACTGAACATATTATATTCCTAAACGACAAGACTGTTGAAGGTCAGCTGGAATGGAGCGCAGCTGGAGAAGTTCTCAGATCCGATTTGAGAAGTCATATAAACGGAAAAATTTCGAATAGCGATTCGAAAGATTGTATAACAGCATTAAAGCAAGGTAATTCGGGTACTGTAAAATATTTTGCAGTATCCTGCAGTGCAAAATATAAATTTGTTTGTCGAGCTTAAAAAAGTAAAATTTCTTGGAAATTTCTTTGAGTAAAAATTAAATACAAAATCAATGTTATTTAATAATAAAACTTTATCAAAATCACTAAAAAACTCTTATCTACCATTTTTACTTTCTATAGAACATTCTATTTTTAAAAGAAAAACAATATCTTATTTCTTCTTTTCTTTTTTTCTTCTTCTCCTTTTTCTTCTGCTTCGTTTTCCCCATATAAAAAATTGCTTTCTTTTATATCTCTTTTAGTTTTCGATATGTTCTTTATCGTCCTATACGCATCTATTTTCCTTCCGATTGATAGTCAAATCGCTTGGATGGATGGTTCGATTTCCTATACAGTCGTCGATAATTTTGGCTTAGCTTCAATAGAAAGGTTTAGAAGTAAATTGGAGTGTTTTGTCAAAGTTTTCGCTAAAGTTTACCTTCAAAAGTCGCCTGTGGTTATTTTTAACGATCACGTCTGTACATATGCCAATTCAACTATTCCAGATATGATAACAAACGGTGGAAAAGTGATGAAAATAGTAGAATTCAATAATAGAGTATTCAGCAAAATTCCAGATCCCGAACCACCTGCAATTCGGATACTTCTTTATCAGGGTAAAAAATATGTGATTGTCGACGAGAAATTGAACTATTTCGAAGCTTTGATAAGGTGTAATCATTATAAGATGATGGGTTTTCTAAGGAACGCTGGTGATACGGGAGTATTGTTATACAAGCTAATTGTCGATGCAAAACTTCACGACAAAATATGGATGATGATGAACGACATAGAACATGAAGATACGTTAGAATTATGGAAACCAGGAGTAACCATGAATTCTCAACTACGTTTTTTAGTAAATAAATACGTAAAGGGAGTTGCATCGAATAGCGATCATGAAGATTGTCTTATGGTAGAGATAACAGATAACGAAAAAGATTTACAATACAACTATCGCAAATGTTCGTTACAATTCAAATTTATTTGTCAAGAGATCTAATTAATATTCATAAAACAGAATTTCAATTCTATTAATAAACGCCTAATTGCAAAAATCACTGCCAGTGTACTATTCGTATCAGTCGCTTAATTCAACCTTTGTCTCTCTCTCTCTCTTGTATGGAATTACATGACTATAAAGTAAAAGAGATGATATTATAGAAGGAATTCAAGAATTCTAAGTAACGATTAATCTTTAAAAAAGTGACTTTAAATGTATCACAATGTTATATTTAAGTGAACACCACATTAATACTGTAGTAGTTTAACCTTGCCAATCTGAAAGCAACTTCGATTAAGTAAACAAAGGAACTTTTAACTAGATATTATATATATACAGTATATATATATATATATATAAATATTTTTTATTGCATATGTAGTTATGAACATGTATATACTTATTGATACTTTATACAGTATGTACATATAGTTATACCGGGTTAATAAACTCTTCAGTCTTTTCGATATTATCAGCAAAGAAAGGACGAAGGAAAGTTTTTTGAAGAAAACTTTTCAATAATAATCTATTAGTATTATGATTCTTTTAACATTCTTAATTATAATTCATTTGTCAGATGAATCTCAAATATTTTATGGAAGAATTTCAAATGAACAACTTGATTTTTCAAAATTTCATTTCCTCGGTTATTCCAGAAGTCGATTGGATTGTATTAAAGATATTTCAACAATGGATTGTACGTCTGAAAGAATATTCATTATCTTTGAAACATTCTCGTGTCTTTATTCAAATACTTCTGTTTTTAGCGGTACACTTTCCGCTACTAAATATCGTCTTATACAACTCACTAACACTGGAAATGGTAATATGAACGAATTTCAAACTACCACTAACAAAATGGTACAGACTACCATTATCCCAACAACGCAAGCGGCAACAACTATTACTATTGCAGATATTTCAAAAGAGCATACACAGGACAATGTTAAGTATATTCTTGTCAACGAAATTTTAGATTTTCAAGCAGCTTTAGACCAATGTTATTTGTATAATTACGAGCCTTTCTTTGCGAATGATGGACTTGTTTCATTAGGAATTCTTCTGGGAAAAATTTTAGAGAAGAACGTTGAAACATGGATTTTCATTGATGATATTTCAAACGAAAATACCTTTAAATGGTGGAAATTGGGATCGACAATGAATTCTCAAATAGCTGGCAACTTGAATACAAAACCAAATAATGCTAATGACAATTGTGTAGCAGCCACTAAACCATTTGTTATTCCTGTGTTATATGTAAGAAATTGTGGACAGGGGAAAAAGTTTATTTGCCAGAAGAATATTTGAGAGAAAGAGAGGGGAAGGGGGGAGGGTGAGAGCGGGTTAGAAAATGAGAACAATGACAGATTACGTAAAAGCAGAATTACTTATTATCTAGTGTTTAGTCCAAATGAAGATTAAAATAATCAATTTTACCTTGAAAAGCAATAATGAATTTTCCTTGTTAATAAAAGATTTACACTTAATCTTTCATCAATACTATCTCATTTAAGAAGGTCTAAGTAATTAATACTATTAATAATTTACTCGATAGCAACCTTAACTTGATATTCTTCAATTATGTATTGCGTATAAACGTTGAACGATGTATGAGGAGACGGGAGAAAGAAAAGATAACAAATAAAGTAAGGGGGAAAACATTCTACAATATATATGATAAATAAATAACAACTATTATAGCCGTATTTTTTCATTTAAAAATATATCAATATATTCTATAGTAGGTCGCCGTCTTCGCTATCATCGTCATCTTCAACAATATTCACATTGTCGAATGGATGAAATTGGGGTTGATGATCTTTCATATTATTTAACAAATGTTCTGGATTGTGTTTAAATGTCAGCTGTAGAAAAAAATAAATTATACTGATACAATATAAGTAGTATTTAATAGCTGAAAATTTACATCTTTTCCCGGATTTTCTTCTTCAAACTCTTCCTTAGCTTTCTTAAGTGCTTCCTCCATTTCCTTTTCGTGAATTATATTCGGATCCGTTATTTTAGAACAATCGCCACTTGTTGTGAAATGATCATATCCAGTTATAGCTTCTTTACATATGTAACACATGGATTGACCGCAGACGCATGTCATCTTATTGCATCCGGAATCTTTAAAAAATCTCTTCTTACAACTCGGACACGTTCTTATCATAGCTTCAGTCATTTTCAGTTCTATCATAGCCCTAATTCTAGTTTCGTCCGCCTTTTCAATTTCTTCGCAGGATAAAGGAGTGTGCTCCAATTCTCTACATTTTCTACAAGAGCTCTTCAAACATTCTGGATTAAGGCAGTTTAAAATTTTGTTTCCATCATCCGGCAAAATAATAGCGAAATCACAAAAAGGGCATTGAACCAAATCGGACAAACCAGCAGCCTTAATCTCTTCTTGTTGCATTCGTACAAAAAGTGCATTCACTGTTGACGGTCTTAATACGGTTTGAACGGAATTCAAAGAAATCTCGCTACCGCAACCGGCCATGCAATCTATTTTCCACTCTGCTGCACTAAGAACATGTTCTCCCGCTCTTCTAACGCAATCATCACAAAATTTGCAATTGTTATTACAAGCATAAGTATACTCTTCCAGAACTGTATCATCATAACAGCAAAGGCAAGTATTTAAATTTCCTGCAATTTTTCCTGCATTTCTCCTAGCTTCCTTTTCCTCATTTTTCATATTTATATAACTATTGAAAAAGAGAGAAATAAAGGGAAATCTATATATTAAAGAAGAATAACAAGTAGGAAGGACAAACCGTAGTATTTTCTCTTCGTTCTTCGCGTATAAAAGCTCATTGTAAAAGAACTCGTCGACTTCCTGAGGTAATTTTAGTTTACTTCTTGCTTCTTTATTGAATAAACCATTAGATACAATGAACTTATTCACGTTCGCTACTCTGCTATACTTTATATCAATTTTCTCCAATTCTTGATAAATATCGACGAGACTGTGACCATTTTTAGAGATTACATCATTCACAGTTTGTATATTTATCCAACAAAAATAATTTGGAATGACACTTTCTACGTGGGCTTTGTAATTAAAACTTAACGTAGCTTTTTCGTCCCTAAATGTAGATTTTGGATCTGGAAAGGTTCTTAGAAAATTCTCCATATCATCTAAATTTTTATTCAATAAACTATTATGACGACTTTCTACCTTTTCCCTCTTTAATCTATCAACCAATTTCGGATACTTCTTTTCTTCGAACATACGATTTGATAATATTTCAACTCTATTTGGATTATCCGCCATATTTTCTAATTCTTCGAATATATAATTAGGATCGCAATCGACAAAAATTCTTCGAAGCCTTTCAACGTCTTCCTGAAATTTTATAAGCGCTTCATTTCTATAATCTACAACATTCTCTTCCTCCTTAGACGTACTAGGAGCGTCGATTGCAATTCTGTCTTCTTCCTGCTTCATCTTGGATAAATCTCCTGGAGAAAGCAATTCATTAGTATGATTTATTATAATTATTGCTTAAGGAATTATGAGGGATAGACAGAGAGAGAGAGAGAGAGAGGAGTGGGGAGTTCGTTGATTAAGTAACTTCTATATAAAGTATTTACCTATGCTAGATAATTCAATTGTACATTGTTCTTGATAATCTTCTAAATGTTGATATTTTAATAATGTATTTTTTATCGTTTGTTCGTGTACTTCGGGGAACATCGATATCAATCTTGCCAAATCTTCGGAATTGTCAGCTCTTCCTTCCTTTTCTGTTGACTGATGTTCCACAAGATGATCAATTGTTGCTTGTACTCTATCCCTATTGTCGAAGAATCTTTCTAAAACTTTGTAAATCTTCTTTTTTGGCTCTTTCGGCATTATTTTTTGTATTTGTAAAACTTCCTCGTAAAGTAAACTTGATGAGATATCATCATCGCTATCCTCACCATTCGTGTCTTCTACGTTAACGTCAAAGATTTCTTGGGAATCTGCTCCTGTCAATATATTCATTACTGTTCTAATATCACCGTATTCTGTAAGAAGATTTGCTATTAGCGAATCATCGGCGTCAAGTCCTTTTATCTGGAGAGAATTCTTAACGATAAAAACTGGATCGTGCTTGGTTCGTTTTACTTTCGGTTCCCCCTTCATTAGATTACTGATAAAATTGTTTTGAGACGACTAAAACAACAATTTGCACATGTCATCATAAAGAAATTGATATTGCATAAGTTTGTCAATTACGAAATTAAGGAAATAGTTTCGTAAGGTGAAGGACTTTTAATAATAATCTGGTTACGAAATGGAATAGAATAGAAAATTGTGAAAACCTACTCATTCTTTTGTTAATAAACAAATTATATTTTGTGCTGAGAATCGATATTATAAGTATATAGTAAGTAGCATATGCATATATATATATATATAAATATATACAAAAGTATTCAATTTCAACTTGAATAGTTGTTTATTCTCTCAGCATCTTTCAAATTATTCCATTCTCTAATACTAGAAATTCTAATTGGATCGCCTTTAAGAGTTTGAGATGTTGCCGAATTTATCTATTATGATAAAGAACAAACATAGATACATACAACTTGCGATTTTATATAATACAAATCTACCTTTACCGCCACAAAGTCACCAATTTCGATGTTTCTCTGAATTCCCTTTTCACTATCGTATACTTCTTGTTTAGGAAGAATAACTTTTACGTTTTGATCATTTCGGCCTGCCCAATCTAATTCACTTCTCTTACTATCACATTCAATTAGAACTAACTGTTCTTCATTGATGAATCCTTGGTTAATTTCTAGAGCGTCCTTTCGAAATTGATCAATTAATTCCATATGTCTTCTAGATTTAACCTATAATATCATCAATATATTAATTGGTTAATAGATAACAAGATATTTTATTATTTTAATAATAAAAGTAGGCTAAATATTAATAAAAGACTTACTTCTTGCGGAACGTCGTCATTTAAACGATGATATGCTCTAGTTTTACCTCTAAGCGAGTAAGGAAAACAGAAAGAGTAATTGTATTTCACTAATTTCATTAGAGATAAAGTTTCTAAGTGATCTTCCTCAGTTTCACCGCAAAAACCGGCAATAAAATCGCTACTAAGTGCTATATCTGTAAAAAAAAGTGAAATTCTTTCTTTAATGCTGCCTACATTCAATATTTAAAGCGAAAAAGCTTTATATCTTTACAAGTTTTAATACCTGGTACAATACTTCGTATATGATCGACAAGTTCAAGGTATGCCTCTCTGGTATATCCTCTTCTCATATCGTCTAATACTTTAGAGCTTCCACTTTGAGCAGGTAGATGAATTTGTTTACATATATTCGGATATTCTTTGATAGCGTAAATTAACTATAGGGAGAAAATATGGTTCAGATATACCATTATGTTATTACTGGTTAAATCGAAAAATCACCTCATCCGGAAAGTCTTTAGGGTGAGGTGATGTAAAACGAATTCTCATATCTGGAACCCTATCTGCTATTGTACTTATCAATTCGGCAAATCTTTTTCCACCCTTCTTCGGTTTGTATATTGTTCTAAAACCAGAACTAGTTTTAGTAACATAGGAACCACCTCCTGACGAAGTATCACGATAACTATTAACATTTTGACCAAGTAAAGTAACTTCTTTCACGCCCTGTTGTAGAATAGAATATTGGTTATTTAAAGCTATTTTTAATGCGTATACTGTATATTCAAACGATTAAATAAAACAATCATATTACTTGATCAGCTATTTGTTCAATTTCATTGATGATTGAATCCATTGGCCTGCTGCGCTCTCTTCCTCTCGTAAATGGAACGATGCAATACGAGCACATGTTGTCGCATCCTCTCATTATGGTACTTTTGAAATTTACAAACAGTTCAACGAATCATAAAATAATTCTAATAATAAACGTACGCAAAAGCTGAAACTGATGATTCATTCAATCTAAGAGGCGTTACATCAGCGTAAGTTTCTTCAAGAGATAAGGCTACGTTCACTAAAATAAAGTAACAATTTCAAAAATATTTCAATAGTTCCTAGCTATTTTAAGAATAAAAGAATAACTTACTAGCTGAAGCTCCTAACATAGAAGATTTGTGTAAAAGATTTGGTAAATCCTTATAGGCATCAGGACCACAAATTACATCAACATGATCAAGAAGATCTTTCTTTAATCTTTCAGCCATACATCCTATAGTTATTATTCAGAATAGACATTGAAAACCGAATAATTATTAGCTATAAAGACTTGTAGATACCTAAAATACATATTTGAAAGTTTTCCTTCTTCCTTCTTTTCAATTTTTTAATAGACTTAAGATAATTTAATCTTTTCCATATTTTTGTTTCGGCTCCTTCTCTTATAGAACAAGTCATCAACAATACGACATTAGCCTTTTTTAAGGTATAAATCATTAAAACAAAGAGTTAATAATTATTAGATAATAGACAAATTATAATTATCTTACACTTGCTATATCTATAGACTTTGAATAACCATTTTTATTTAATATTGACCAAGCCACTTCGGTATCGTTTACATTCATTTGACAACCGTAGGTTTCAAAGTATACTGTTATATTAAATACTTTATAAATTAATACAAAAATGAATTTTCCCTTCAAATACCAGATTTCCCGTGTTTTTCTTTATCAATTGACGCAGTAGTATTAATTGATGACGCATTTCCTTGAACAAAATCGGAGAATGAAGGTCCTTCGCTCAGTTTGTTCTTGAACGATTCCAAGTCATTTTTAGTTTTGGATGTTAATTTTACATTACTATTGCAAAAATTTCGACCAACAATTATTCTTGACCAGATGGTTGTTCTTTTTAAGACATGTCGAAGAGCCATGATTGAACATAAAACTTTAAAAAATTACAAAACAGATTTTCTTTGAAACATGTGATAATTCGAATATGAAAAACATACAAGAAAAAACCGGTAGAAAAAATAGATATATATAACTGTGATTTAGCACATTTGAAGCCAGGTAATTCAACTGAATTATTTACGAGTTAGCATTGAAATATGTCAGGTCAAAGAGATATTGTCTTATTTTGGGGGAGTGGTAGTCCTCCTTGCTGGAGGGTAATGATTACTCTGGAAGAAAAAAATCTAGAGTATACCTCTCGTTTAGGATCTTTTGACAAGAAGGATCACAAAACTGAAGAAGTTCTTGCCTTGAATCCCAGGGGTCAGTTTCCGACTTTCAAATATGGAGATATCGTCCTGAATGAATCTTTGGGAATTGTTGACTTTCTGGTTGCTCAACACAAGAGCACTGGGTGTTGTCTTCTACCTGATGATCCGACAAAACAGGCAGCAGTTTTACAGAGGAAGTATGAGATTGCTAATCTAATACGAGCAACTGAAACTTCAGTCTATTATCTCTTCAGGTAAATGTTAATATGCCATATAGATATATATATTCTAATATATGGCTGAATTTTATCATAGAACGAAGAAAGATGAAATTGATCCTGAAAAAGTAAAGATGTCGGACCTCTTGAACGAGCTGGAAAAATGGAACGGATTTTTGGGAAAAACTGAGCATGTTGCACTGCCAGAATTTAGTGTGGCTGATATAATCTTTTATCCTCAAGTAGCTTTTCTGGAGAGAGTTGGATTCAAATTTGAAGACAAATTCTCAAACATTGCTAATTACATGAAGAAAATGAAGGAAAGACCATCAATTCAGAAGTCATGGCCTCCTCACTGGAAGGAGACTCCGAATTTGAGTCTCGTAACACCCTACGTAAAATAGAGTTCGAATAGTGTTATAGGTTATATAAACTTGTCTTAATACACGAGCTGCACGAGAAAAAAACCAATTCGATTCAATGACTTCACTCATTCAAAAACTGTATTTATTACTGTAGTCATTTATCTGTTTTCTGCTTCTTTAGCCTTCTTTGCACGTACACCGACAAGACGAGCGTTAGCCCGAGCTACACGTAGAGCTCTGAAAGCTGAATATTTCTTCTCATCTGCTGAGATGCTGGCGATTTTCTTAGCTTTTTCACCCTTGACCTTTGAGCTAAGTGGCATCAAAGTTCCCCTTTGTTGCTTAGCTAACTTCATTTCGGCTTCCTGTAAAAAAATATAAGGTTTTCAAATTGGGAATCGGTAAATTAAATAACGATTCTAGTGTAGACAAAGATCAGTTAAAAAAAGATTCGACACAAAGTGTTTCCGCGTTGGATCTCATTTTTCATCACTTAAATATCAAGATGAAGCAACTCAGGATTTTTGAAGAACTATTCTCCAAAGAGTTGTGAACGCAGGTGAAGATTAAGATGAAACTCACCGAAGCGTCTCCCTTTCTTGGGTTCTTCAACTTCTTGGGGAACAAGATAAGTTTGCTTCTGTACTCCTTCAAACGCTGAACGTTTTGTTGAAGGGCTTCAACAGATTTGTTTCTACGTCTGTAATCAACGGAAATACCGATAGTTCTAGCTTGTTTCTTGTTGATACCGGCTTGTTTTAGTTCTTCCAAAGTAAAGCCACGTCCCAATCGAGCTTTCATGTTGTACCTATTTATTTAAAGATCAGTGTTTATCAAGGTAAAAACACATATTTTCAGCAAAATTTACCTGAACGTGGGACACTTAACCATGGGTTTAAGTGCTCCAGCAACAGGACGAGGAGCTACTCTTGTCGCTTTTTGCAAACGCTTCTTTTGACGACGTTCTTTTCTGGCAGGTTGGTTGAACCAGGTTTTTACCCATCTTTGCCAATGTTTATGGAAATGGGCATTGGGGATCATGTTATTACGCTTAAGCGCCATTTCTGCGACTGAAAAATTTCAAGATATTAATACTTCATCATCTTCATTATCATCATAAAATAATTATTAGACTACTTTAATAATTAAATTTGATTAAATTAGTGGAAGAATAGGTGTTACTTTAAAGATTTGTTGGGTATTTTAAAGGAGTTAGAATCTAATACGGAAAGGTTGCGGCTTTTGGGCATGAGTATATATTAATATCAAATATAAGTGGTACCGCTTAAAATTTTAAATCTAAAATTTCACAGAATACAAGGTTTTAAATAAATCTTTAAGAAAATACATTTTAATTGTAATAATAACCAACCAGTTTAGATGATTTTTGTCGATATTATCCTGCGGTCCGACACACAACAAAATCGACGTGAAAGGACCGAAACATATTTTTTCCATCCGTTTCCGGTTTTAAAATTTACCAGTTTTCGGGAAACGCCAAATTTTAAATTGTATTTGTAATTTTGCTATGCACATAAAACCAGAAGAATTCAAAAAAGTCACTTGTAGATTAATAATAATTCATGTACAATCTTAAGTTTTCAAAACTTTGATTATATGTAAACATCTTTAAGGAATTCACAAAAATTGACAGATATAAAGATTAAATATACGAAAAAGAGTTTTAATAAATACCATTGAAAAACGCTTTTCAAAATATGACTAAATGTCAAATAATATTTGAAGACATAAATTAACTTTTAATGGTATAGTCAAAAGTAGCTGTGTAAAAAATTTGTGAACAGTTTATTCTCCCGGAATTTCCGGTGCTCACGTGACCTTATTATCATAGTCGCCATTTTGCCGACAAGAGAAAGCGAAAAGAAAGCCCTCGAAAAAATCCTGTAAAATCTCAGCCAAATATTCATTTAGGTTTTATCATAGTTAAGGATTTTTCTACCCAGACGAACGGACCGCAGTAAGTTGGAAGTTTCATTTGCTAAGCGTATAATTCTTCTGAGTTAATCATTAGTCAACGGCCTTTTGTTTTCATGTCACGTCTTGCAGAAATTAGATGATTTTTACAAATTATAACTTGTGGAAGTGAATATTATTGTTATTATTTCATAGATACTCTTGATTTCTTAGCTATGCTGTTTTTGAGAAAAATTTGACGTCTTATTTTACCTAGCACCAACATTCTTTTGTTGCAATGCAAAAATTTATGTTACTAGCTTTAAATTTATATTTGGGAAACCTGAATCATAATATTTCATATATATTATATTTATTTATTTAATCTCTTTGTTTGCTGTTAGATTGAATAATCATTAAAAATACTGATAGTGTTCTTATACCCTGAAGGGCAATTGTGATTCATAAGTATTCTTCACTTAAACTATACTCTCAAATCATTGATTTATCAAAATATAGTAAATGTTTCGATTACAGGTATTGAATAGACAGGCTATTCTATCAGTTACATAATGTTATGTAATAACAAATATCTTATATTGCCACTATATATCGCAATGTTATTTATGTTTTAATATCTACAACATTTTTTTCAGCTAGCTCGGACCGTTCTTTTGGGCGACAAAAAGCGCAATTCAAATGATTCATTTCGGACGATGTCTACAAACAGCGGGTTAGGCTCCGGCCAGGGGAAAAATAAAGGAAAATATACTAGTTACAACATAAATTCAATTTATAAGGGAACTAGCGTACCACAACAAAAATCTTCAACCGGACAAAGACAACATGGCATGCAAAGTTTGGGCAAAGTTGCCAGTACAAGGCGTATGCCTCCGCCAGCTCAATTGCCCAGCTTAAAGAGTGAAAGTTTTGGCAACGATCCGAACATAACTTTAGTAAGTTTTTAGTCAGGTTTTTTAAAAATATATTTTCCAATCAGACGTTATATTTTATGTGATAAAATTCGATATAACTTTTGTAGTTTATTGAAATATCATCACTCAAAATGACAAACACAAATTTTATATTGCTTTATTTGCCAGGTACCGACAGGCAGATCAGGATGGGGCGAAAAAACCGCTCCGAATCAACCGACGACTACGGAACAGAGTCGTTCACCAGTTCAATCGTCATCCACCACGAAACCGACAGATTCGTCTCAAGTATCCTCCGTATCATCTTCTCAACCGATCCAGCAACCACCCGCCCCTACGAGCGTTGCTGCATCTGTGGCGGTATCAAGCCCGGCCCAGTCAGTTCAAAAGTCGTGGAGCAGTGTTACAATAGGAAACAGGAAAATGAATATTCATGGAAATCGCTTCGATCAACAGTCGGCAGCCTTTGCCCAAGAATTTCCCACGTTGGATACAGAAAAGGAGGACGAGGAAAATGCTGGTCCGAGTTTACGTCCACAAAATGTAGCAGTCTGGAGAGGCGGCGGTGGAAGGGTCATGGGAAGTGGAGGAGAGGAAGACGGTTCAAATGGAGATGTCAGTGCCCCGGACCGCCACCGGATTCCATCGGTTGAGGACGATGGTAGTGGTTTGCAGCAAATGCAAAGGAACATGATGCCGTCAAATATGCAGGGGAATTATGGAAGGCATATGATAATGTCTCAATCATTCAACCCCCCTAGACATTATAACTATCCAATGCAGGGTAAAAAATATAAATTTGATAGTGTTTTGAAGAAATTAATATTCATTTGTAAACAGGTGTTAGAAGCTCGCATTTTTCACAAACTCATTTTGAACCAAGGCAATTCAGTGCTAAAGATGAACACGGCCCAACTATAGTTAAAGAAAAAGAAATTGAGGAACTTGGTAAAAAAGCTGAAAGCAGTGGAGAGGGAAAATGGGCTGATCAAGGAGGAGAAGTAGATTATAGCGAAAAACTCGTGTTTAGCGATGAAGAAGAAGAAAATGATGTTAAAAGTAAAAAGGAGCCTGAAGCTATTAGCAATCGTCAAGAGATCCCTAAGCGGCCGACAAATGCTGTTTCACGAGAAGCCTGGGCTCCACAATACGGAATGAGACAATCAATGCCTGACGTAAGTAATTTGATATGCTATAAAATGTATAGTTCTTAGATGATGATCTACTTTTTTTATCTGTCAATCCTATGACAAATAATGATTTGAATTTTACAAAGTACTGAAGTACATCTATTTTCAATTAATTTTAAAACTTACGATTTAGTGTTAAATTGATTGTTATATCATACAACAGAGGCATTGGGCAAACGCTTATTATCCAATGCCATCTCCTCAAGTACCTTCTAACGCGGACCTCGATAATGAAGATGACAAGTATTATAATGAGAAAAGGAAAGCTCAAAGGGAACATTTCGATGAAAATGTCACAAGAGCACGAAAAAGAAAAGAAGAACTTGTTAAGAAAAAACAATCAAGCGAGGAATATTCAACCTCGGATGGACGAGATCGCACCTTCAGTGATGGCAGCGACAAATCTAAAGGAAAGAGCACTGGATCAAAGTCTGGATCGCAAAGATACCAAAGACAAGACCCTAATTTCAATTCAGGATCCCGAGGTGGATGGTCAGGGTCAGGTAAATAAGAAATTTAATAGTTATATATTTACAGCTTTATAATTTTATTCGAAAATAATTGCAGTTTGGCATCAAAACAATCCAAGTGGTGGACGTCAAATTAGTTCTCACCAAGGCGATCAATCTGACAATTATCGTGAAGAGGGTGCCAGTTTTCAACAAGATCCATTTGATGAGGATAGGCGGACAGTATTGCTAAGAAAGCCAGCCTCAAATGATAAAAAAGAAAACAGAAAACCCAAAGAGGACAGTCGAAACAAGTCAGGAGACTCGAAAGCTAAGGGACATATAGCACCGGTTCCAGTACCTCAATCTGGAACAGAGCTTGAGACATACAGAGGCAAACTGACGTCTCTAAAATTTAAAACCTCAGCGACCTCAGAGAGAAAGCAGCTTGATTCTGAGAAAAGAAATACTGAGAAGAAAGTTAAAGAACCTCGGGAAACTTCCAAGAGGGAGCAATCAGAAAAAGTCACTGGACCCGTTTCCAAAGATTCACCTAAGAAGGAGGAAAAAAATGAACAAAAAGAAAGGAGGGAAGAAGAAAAAGAGAGGAAAAAATCTGAAAGACGTCTTTTTAAAAGACAGAAAGACGAACAAAATACGAAGTCAACAGCAGAATCAACAGATAAAAACGGAGGTCGTGGCTCCAATCGGGCTCGTCGTGGCTCTAGTCGAGGCAATAGTGCCAATACATATTATGAATCAAGACAGAGTTACGGCAGAGGGAGAGAATTTGTTAGAGGAGGTCGGGCAAGGCCAGCCACATATAGTGCTAGTGCTTCTAGTAGACGTCGTCGAGACTATAATAATTACTATTATGAGCCTGAATGGCCAGAGCCTAGCCCAGCACCTAAAAGAAGAGAAAGAAAGACGAAAGATTCTGATAAAGGAGAACGATCCCAAAAACCGAAATCGGAACGAAATAAAGTTGAGAAATCGGAAAAATCTACACATAGAGATGCCGATGTTAAAACTAAAGATGAAGAAAAAGAAAAGAAGATTGCTGATAAGCCCAAAGATGATTTTGTTGTAAGAGGAGAGCCCAGTAGGCGTGGTAAATATATTTTTTGTAATTAAACCAATTAGCAAAATAAGTTATAATAATTTTTCGTTTCTAGGCAGGGGTAATGGTAGAGGCTTTCGCGGAAGTAGGTCAGATCGAGGCCGAAATAACGAAGAAACGAGAGAGCCTGTATCCACAAGAAATTCGAAATCAGTAAAAGATTCTGGAAGAAGTGGAGGACGTTCTGGCAGAGGTAAAAATACTTCTGAAAGACGTGGAGGTGGTCGCTCTTCTAAGAATTCCGTTAAGAAACAATCATCGCATGACGTTGATGAATGGGAAACTGCGTCAGAAAGTAGCGTTGCAGGTGGGGAAAAAAAACAAAGAGATATTGGAGGCGATAAAGAATCTGCTGGAGGAAAGAAAACATTCACTAGCCAGCGTCCCCCAAACGGGATAGCGGGAAACGGTAAGCGCGGCAGCCGTGGCCCGCTCCAAACAGATGCCGCCGTCTCTCGGATAAGAGAACAAATCCGACAAAACCCCTCTACTTCTGTTAATTCGTCTGCTACAACAAACGCACCAAGTCAGAGTATGGGAAATAAAGTAGATGCTTTGGCAAATATTGATTTAAACAATATAGCTTCAGTAGTTGTTGTGGACCAAATTCCAGACGGTGGGGGAGTAGAAGAGGATGGAGATTTAGATGGCGATGGCGATTTTCAAAGAGTAACATATAAAAAACAACCAAAAGCTAAAGGACAATCAGTAGAATTACAACCTCAACCCGTCAAAAAAGAGAAGAAAGATGTAGCAACGAAGACAAAATCTAAAACGGAGACGAAAAGATTGACCAAGTTACCTCCAAGATTAAGACCAAAAGGAAAAAAAAAAGTAACAATTATATCAAAAAATATTATACTTAAAATTTAATTTGATCTACTTTTTAGACTGAGAAACCGCCGAAAGTTGAGTCCAAGTCACCCACTCAACAGCCACAACCAGTTACACCAGTAGTTGTGAGCACAAGCAGTAGTAGCACAACTCCTATAGTGATGCCTAAAATTGAAACTTGGGATAACAACATGGCGGTGAACATCCCTAATACCGCCACGTCAACGTCAAACTCAACCAATACAACTATTCAGCAGCTTGCTCCTGCTCCAGCAGTTAATGCTTGGGATAAACCAATTAAATTTCACACTGTTAAAGAAGAATCACCGAAGAGTAAACCTGAAAAGGTGGAACCTACCGAAAAAGTCTCTTCAAAATCTGGAAATTCGACAAAGCAACAAGGAGAAAGTGGACAAAAGAAATTAAAAAATTCAAGACCACCAAGACCACCAAGAATGACGAAAACCAGAAGAAGTGACGAAAAGAAGAAAACTAACAAAATTGCTCCTATTGTACTGCCTGATAATTTCAATGACTCTTCGAACGTCGGTACGTTCACCTTTGGTTCAACAATCAGCGAAGAAAAAGAAAAAGTTGTAGAAGAAGTCAAGTCAAAAGGGGAGGAAAAAGTTCCCAGAGGCGAGTCTCCAAATGATGAAATATTAAAATCAAATATTGCGGCTGTGAAAACTGTTTGGGAAAAGGATTGTTTCTATCAGCCAACGACCGTGTAAGTGTTAATATTTAGCATACTTTTTGTTTGCGGAATTTGAGTAATATAATAAAATGATGCCCTCAGTGGTCTTAGCTTCCCAGCTGTGACGACCAACCTTATACCACTACCTAAAACTGATTTTTTTCAGATATAATCTTAAAAGAAATACTTTCCAGACAAATGTTAATATTTCCTTAATTTCAGATCAACAACTGTAGCTGAAACAAAAGTAGAAGCTTCGAATGCTGGTGTAATAAATAGCGCCTTGGCAGTGGTGTCAGCACCGCAACCGGCGTACGATGTAACACCGTCTTTGAAATCTCCTCACACTGTTGCTGGTGAACCGACAAATGTCTGTAAAGTTCGACCGCAGCCCGTGCCTATGACGAGCTCAACAACAGTATCGCCTCCGATTCCTTCACAAGTACAGTACTTTCAGCATCCGCAAACGCAAGCAAATGCTTATCAACCACCAACGTTTCCGGCACCACCTCAACAAACAACTACAGCAAATGTCTATCCTCAAGAATTCTATCAATACAGACAACCTCAACAACCCCAGCAAGCACCTGCTCCGCATTTTGGAAAGTCTCCAGCTCTTTCATATGGACAGTTAGTAAACAGTGCGCCACAACAAACGCAATTACTTTTGCAGTATGACACTGGACAGCCTTTAAATCATAATAACCAACACTCAAATATAATTGGGTCTAATTTGGTTCGACATATTCCTCCACCTCACCACAGTTCTTACTATTCCCCAACTACTCCGTTTTATCAACAGCCTGGGGGTAATTCTATTCAGGTTGGTTCATAATTTTCGTTTGATTCAATTCTCGTGTGCTAAATTTTTAACAAAGCTACAAAGTTATTTATTTTCTTTATAAAGATTAAAACTTGATTAAATTCATTTCAGGCTCCAATTCAACAACTATCTGCTACCCAATACAATTTTACCTCTCCGTTCTCTCACCAAACTCTACAACAACAGCAAATGCAAAAGCAGCATCATCACCAACAGGCTTTTTCTTTGAAATCTCCCCCTATACAAACTCATCAGCCATCTCTTTTCGGATCGGTATCCACTTCTTCTGCCGGAGTATCTCATTCGACAAATGTTTATAATGCAAATGCATTTCCAACGACAAAGCCTCCTCCTATGCCCCAGTCCATGCATGCTACAAATATTAACATACCACCACCAAACTATCATCGACCCCAAAGAGTTACACCAAGAGGTATGAGATTAACTATCGAGGAAAAAAAAAAGTACTAAAAAAAAGCTTACCAATTAGGTAACGGTGCAGGAATGATGAGACCAGGAACGTTGATGATGAATATGGGAAATACGCAAAGAGTACCTTTTTCATTGACTCCACAACAACGTGCCACTGGTCATTTCCGAAATCATCCGCAGAATCCTCCCTCAACAGGTGGTTCTTCTCTAATAAAAGAACAACAAGCTCGACAGCGACGAGAGCTGCTCCAACACGCACAAAACTTCCTGAATACAACTCCTGGAACATCTAATATAGCTTCAGAAGAGACTGTCCCCGAAATTGCTGAAAAAGTAGACGATGTTGTGGCGGCTCCTGTCGAAATTGAAACCGCTTTAGCTGAAATTGATTCAACTCCAGTTGAGACTCAATTACCGAGCACTGAAACAAAATTGGCGTCAAACTAGACATTCGTCTTTTTTTTTACAGAAACAATGAATGGCCAGTTCGAGGGTTATATTTCTGTGTGTTGTGTAAAAAATCGTTTTTCCAATATAGTAATAAGTGGTGTTTTCCGTTTTCTACGCATTTTGGTTGTTTCTGTTCTTTTATGTATTGTGTAGCGGCATGTTTGTATTCATATTATACATAAATATGTTAAAGGAAATTTTAATTTTTTATTTTTCATTTAATTTTACATCTTAACTTTTTACTGTAAGAAGTATTTTAACAAAACGTAAAAAAGATCGTTTCCTTCGCTTTCTTAATCAAGATCACTAATTTCAATCATTGAGGATTGTTTTTAGTATGCTTTGATTCAAAGTGCTTGACCATGGGCGAAGGCGTAACAAAGAATTTCTATTCTGAAGATATATTTTTATCATGAGCTTCATGTGAGACAAATTCAGTTTTAGTCATGAATTCTTCTGAAGAGGACCATGGAGAAGAGAAGGCAGTGAAGGAAGAATGGTACATTTATATGTTAAAGATTTTTGTAACTATTTTTGGAATTTTAGGATGTGCTTTTGTTTTATTTACAATAATGAAAAGGAAATCACTTCAAAATCAAAATGGTATATTTATTTTCTCCGTTTGCCTTTCCGACTTTGTACAGGCAGTTATTCTTATGCCTATAAATTTGGCAAGTGAATTCAATTTAGCATGGCCTTTGTCTCAAACTGCGTGCGATATCGTTGGGAGTCTAACCGTATCCCTAATGACTGTAAGCGTTTATAGTATATTGGGGATGAATATCGATAAGACTTTAGCAATTGTTTTTCCATTTAAGTATCAGACATACTTTTCGGTGAAAGTAGTTATTATGGTGTGTTTTTCAATATGGATTATAAGTTTAACAGCTATTTTTGGTGGAATTATGGTAGTAGGTGGAGAGTACGTACCTGACAATGGTCATTGTATGCCTGATTTCTTAAAGATACCTCAACTTTTCGTATTATTCGCAGTAATTCTGCTATTCGCGATTATAACAATTGGTTTGATGAACGTCGTAAACTTGGTGGTTGCCTGGAGGCAGTCTAAGAAAATATCCGACCTAGTCAAGGAAGACGTCAGCGTAATCGCTACAATCCGTAAAGGTTTAATAACAACATCATTACTTGTGATGGGAATGTACTTGACATGGTCTCCAACAATTATACTATTACTATTGGAATTTTCCTTAAACAAACATGCTCCAAAATGGTTGGAGAATAGTCACATATGGTTACAATTTTCGAATTCTACACTAAATATAAGCATCTATATCATTCGGATGAAACATTTTCGAAGAGAATTACAAAGATTGTTTGGTTGTGGTAAAAGTAGTGGAGACCATGATAGCACAAATACCTAAAAAGCTAATATATTAATATTTTATAGCTGTAGTTGTTTGTTAGCTTATCTAGAAAGAAGATGGTAAAATTAGGTAAAATACTATAAAAAATTAATTATAAGATGAGAGATAGATCTCTTTCCATTTCAAAACACGTCTTGTCTATAATATAATATTAGTATATATACATATTTTATTTAGATACTGTATATATATATTTATATATATTAGTATATATTGGATTATATTTAACAATTTTTTAAATGGGAATCTTTCTTAGTTATCAGTTCACGGGCAACATTAAGCAATTATGCTATTCTCTGAGTGTCAAATGAACCTGGGGCTCTTCCGTTAAATTTCGTATCAAGTTGTTGAGGCGACGTACTTGGTCGATAAGGAAAGAGTGTTGGTGAAGCGAAATTTGGAGATTGAGATATTATTTGACGAGCAGTTGGTCTTGTCCAATCGTCTTTAAATATTTGAACGGTTAGATTGGGTACAAGATCCGACAATCTGTTCACAACGTGTGCCAAAACCAATTGTTCATCGGCGTCTCGTCTAACTCGAACGTGCATTGAACCAGCCTATTTGTATATGTGTTTGTTAGTTACAGAAGAGAAAGTAATTGTTTTCAAGAGGTTATTCATACCATTCCTTTGAAGCCCACTGACCAACAGTGCTCGTGTTGAAATTCAAGGACACCATCGAGAGTTGAGGCTTCCCTAAGGCACTTATCAATTTGACCTAAAACGTGACCTGGAGTTGTCTGGAATATAAACAATAAAAGCACACATAAATAAATAAATAAACAATGCCTCTTACACAAAAACAATTGATATATAGAATATCAAAAGATTCTTACCTGAAGAAGAATGGTACCTGTATACATAGTCATTGGGAACATTGTTCCAACTGTCATAAGGGCGATCCATAGAGCCGCCCAAGTATCAGATCTTGTATAATTACTGTAAAGGTTTAAATGATAATATCAATATTATATAATAAATATTATATTGTATAAATAGAAGAAACTTACTATGAATCTACAATAAAGTAAACGCCAATAATAGCAGACGCTCCAGCAAAAGCTATAAGAGAGAATGGATTAATTCTCGGCAACAGTAACTTGCTTAGTCCAGGTGCAATTTTGCAAATGCTTTAAGAAGATAAAAATAAAAAATAAATACAAACTACCTTCAGTATATTATTATTATTATTATAAGTACGGATAAAAAGAAATTGGACGACTTACGAATGACTAAAATCGGCTGTATGTTCTTGTAACCAACTTGAACTACTCGCTGAAACTACGTGATTGAAAGCAGGATTGTTGACGCAATATGTTGTAGCCATATGAACAACGAATGCTAGTATTGTTGCAACCAATAATCGTCCTCTATGGAGAAGAATAGAAATAGGAATATAGTTAATTACTTTAGTAAAAAGAGAGAGAGAGAGAGAGAGGGAGAGGAAGAAAGAGAGGTTTACTTACGTATGAACATCTGGTTGTAAAATTAACCTTTCAACACTAAAAATGAAAAAAAGGAAAGTGTTATTTCTTTAAATAAAACATTATAAAAGCAGAAAGAGAGAATTTATCATACCTTTCCTTAACAATGAAAAGTGCTCCTAATTGTGCTAAAAGGGTTGTGGCGAAAACAGCAAGAACTTCAAAACGGTCATATCCGAAAGTATAAGTACTATTCGGTTGCTGTTTTTCCGACCAAATTGTAATTACACAAGTTGCCAGACTGAATAAATCGAATAAACCCAAATAGGTGTATGCAGTTAAAGCTGTATGGGGGTTAGAATAAGAGTCTTATAAAAAGGTCGTTAATAACCAAAATTTAATTATCCCCATCTTGTTTTATTACAATTTTACAAACCTATACTATTTGTAGAATTACACCATACTAATAACAATATGATACTAAATGTTATGAAAACTCCCATAAATAGCACTCTTTTCACCTGTTTATATGGTAATTTAACATTAGAATGTCTATGTAAATTAAATTGTTATTCAATTTACTTACTTTGTTGTTAGTAGTTACTGTTGATAATTCGGAAAGCAGTCTACTAAAAAAGTTTTTATCTTGATTTGGAAACGGATGCATAATCGGCTGGAAAGTATTCATTTATATTCAAACATTATATCATAATCGTTTAAAGATAATATACCGTTTCATTTCCAAGATCAATAACAGTACCAACTCGTTGTCGTATTTCTAAATGAGAAACGAAATTTAAGGATAAAGATTGATTCTTATAGTCGCGAAATAAAGAACTAGACGAAATATGGATCAAAACACGCGAATCGTTTAGAAAGCTATCTCACCGTCGCTTTCTTGACTTGGACCACCATTCATGGCGATGTTTTCGATAATTCAAGTAGATAAGTAGTATTTAAATAGCAGAATCAATCAGATTTGATATTATAAAACACGTCGAGCTCACATACGTGGGTGAGAGACTGGTGCGTGGTTTATCATATAAAGATTGCTAACGGGCAAGGAGTACTATAGACAATCAATGTAAACTCTATATACAGTATTAAAAATAAACTGAAAAATCTACCTTTATTCAGCCGCAAAAAGCAAGAAAAAAAATTTGTTCGTAATCCTTTAACATTATCTATAACATATTACGTAACGAAAAAATCGATTAGATCTGCCAAAATCTATTATAACTTTAAATGACTTTGTATAATAGAGATGGAGAGATAGATCGCAAAGAAAAGGAATATTTACTGTAAATATTGAATGAAAATTTTTTGCCTAAAGCATACTAAACTAGCGTTTAGTATCAGAATTCTGTTAACAAGATTAGTATACGTGTCAAAAAACAATAAATAATTCCGTTCGTAAAATTAAAAAAGTGGCTGTGTGTGTGAGAGAGAGAGAGAGAGAGAGAGATAGAGAGAGAAGAGAAGAGTAGTAGTAAAGTCACATCACAAAGTAAATTAACTTGTCAATTCTCTTATGTTCACGTTTGGAAAGGTTGTCAGGGTTGACATAAGATGCATTTTTTAGAAAGAAAGACGATGGGAATATTTTGTTCGTTAAGCTCTCTTAGACATTACTACTATTGGTATTATTACAATATAATTGTTTTTATAGAATATATATAAAAAATTAATAAATTATTATGAAGGGGAGGTGAGGAGGTTTGAAACTGGACTGGAATGGAAGAATAATTAAGTAGACTATAATTTGATTTATAATACAGTATGTAACATACACGAGTAGTACGTATCTTGACATTCTTATTACGTATATCTGCTCTCACTCTCTCTCTTTTAAGGCTCGTTAATTTATCTTGGCACATTTTATGGTTGAATGCGCAGTTAGTTTCGGAATATCTCTTAATTTGGTATCCAACGAAATGGATTGATTTTGTTGTTTTAGTTAATATAGCTAAGCGAAAAAGCAATACAATTACATCAGTAAAAAGAAGTTCGGGACATTATCATTCTCTTCGTTACTTCCTTCCTTTCTTTTTTTTCTTTCTCTCTTTCTTCTTTCTTGTTTCTTTCTTCCTTCCGTTTTTCTCTCTCGTCCTTTTTTTAATTGAAAAGTGGCACCATCTAGCGGTCCTTTTTATTAATCTACTTAACTTTTTCCCAGGGATGTTAGTAGCATAACCTAGAGGTTGTCTTAGCAAAAGAAAGGGCAAACGAAAATGGGTCAACGAAAAAGTACGAAAGAGACGGGGATGGTAGTATTGCAGGAGGATATCAGTAATAAAGGAAATTTGCATAGATGAAGCGAAGTTCACGGTGCTAACACAGCTACTTAGAAGAAGAAAAGAAATAGCGGCGTTGGAGAGCGTGGAATAGTGGGGCGTTTCTGATAATAGATGATGAAAGACAAAAGTCAAGATTGGAATGAAAGGGTAAGAGCGATTATAATCCTGAAGCAATAAAGCTTTGTCCAAACTTTTTCCTTCCACCAACTCTCTTTCCCTTTTCTTTTCTAACGGATACTTTGACGCGCCCTATACACACATATAGACAATTGCACGCGGACGTAAAAGAAAAGAAGATCTTACCGCCAGACGGCGTAGATAATAATTTTCGCCAATCCATCACGCGCCGCCGGACATCACCTGCGAAACGTCCCGCTATCCATCAAAACATCAAAGCAGGGTGCGGGCTGCGAAATTTTTTTGTCCTAAAATGCGTTGTCCGCGCAATCGGCCGACTAGAGCGTTCGACAGTGAGCGGACGAGTGTCGGTGGCACCTTAATTTCCCAAGACACAGTCGCTTATGGCGAGTCGAGAAAACATCTGGTCATCTCGTCATGGACAACGAAACGAATATATTTGCCGCGTCACAACTTGTTTATCTCGGGTATTATACACACTTTTACTGTTTCCCCAACTTCTATATACGACCGTCTATCTATGGCTTCAGCAAACGTCCCGCCAACACTTGTTTTCTCATTATTTCATCGATCCCTTCCTTTCCTCCACTCGGAGTAATGCATAAACTCTTCTTTGAACAGTAGTAGCAGTATTGGAAATAATTCAGCTGGCAGATGGAAATGTTTGTCACGACTTTTTCTAATAATAATAATTATCACGATATTCTCTTTGGTTTGTTAAAAGTAGAAAGCAAAATATTCGAAAAAGATCGGCCTGTCTTTTCTTTCTTCCTCGCTCTTTCTCTTTCTGGAGTGAGTTGTTTTCTCATTGAAATTTTGTATGAAAACGTACACGTATTCCTCAATATCTGTTACTGTTAATCTACAAAATCTTGCTCTTCATCGTCTTCTTTCCCCCATCCTCTTTCAGTTTCTTTCTCTCGCTCATTCTCTCTCCCCTTTCGCAAACGTTCTATAGAAAAATAAGACACCAGAAGATAGAAAAACACAATTCAAAACGAAAAGTGAAAAGAATTGAAATCAAAAACGTAAATAATATAGCTTTAATAACTTAATGTCCCCTTATCAATTCTCCTAAATCTCTAAATCCGACAAACATCTTGACAAACAAAAAGAGATAATTAGGACGGAGAAAGTCGGCGGCGAATACTAATCAGACTAATTAACATGAGAATAGTAAAGATAACCATCTCCTTATCTTTTTACGCCCCCTACTAATCTGACAAACACGAGGAAGCGATAGAGAATTAGTTGGTTGTTAGCTTTGAGATATACATCTCTTAATCTGCTCCTGGAAGACGAGACGGTAAGAATAAAAATAATATTTTTATTTTTAATAAGAAATTTTCATTGAAATTTCCTTTTTTCCAGATTTGGCTACTCGACAAAACTAGTTTTTATATGTACAGAGACATAGTATACCGGAACAGTCTTGTTTACTTAGCACCTCCTACAAACACGTTCACTGGCCGCTGGCTCATTAATATTCATGAGGCGTCGACGAAGAGTAACGCTTCAGTCGGACGCCAGCGTCCTTATTGGAAATGACTTCTTTCGATAGCCGAGAATTAAGTGAATATATTTCCAGGCACAAATTTTTGCAAAGTGAGTAAAGATAAGATAATTAAAGATTATTCTTCGTTTCGTTTCGTTCTTCGTCCGTTTCTTTTTTTTTTCCTCCCCTAAGTATAATAATGGACGTAAGCGTCGGAAGCGTCACCGGGTATAGACATTATATATAACAGAAAAAAGAATAGATAGAAAGTAGATTTAGACGTGCAGGGAAAATTGTTTTTCCCGGACGATTAGTCTATAAAATTTTTATATATTCATCTTCTGTTACTTTCCTCTGGAAATTTCAATCAAATTTATGATGTGTTTTTATGATGAAGAGAGAAGGGAGAAGCGTTAAAAATTTTTTATCTTTAATATAAATTAATTATTTGATAAGAAAACTGAAAAATTTATGTTGCAAAAAAAGAAAAGGAAAACAAAAACAACAACAACATAACTCAAATAAAATGTAATATACATATATAGCAATGCGTACAGAGTTAGAAAAGGCGTAGAAGGAGGCGAGGAGGGATTTCAAAGGATATTGACAGTCGATCCGTAAAAGTGGCGATACGGTCTGTAATGCTATTGATCTCGATTCAAAGGCGTCTAATTTAATTAGTTTCGGTAGCCGAGTCAAGTTTTCCACCAAATTTTTTCGTTTTTACACTCACTATTCACGGAAATATATCCAACGTTTAGCATTCAAAATATTTCATATCATTACTTAGACGTCTAATCTACTTGCTTTCAAATGTTAGCACTTCTTTATCCCTTGCGTTATTTTTTATAATTATATTTTTTGTTGCTGTTATTATCCCTTTTACACGTCAATGAACAAGGACAAATCACGTGATCGGAAAAACTAATTGTTTGTATTTACTCGTCCACCTGTGCCCGAGCGATCGTTCATGTTCCACCGAAAAGGTCGTGTGAATAATTGACGACGCTTAAACGCCACGAAAATGCCAATATAGATGGTGAACTTTTCCTAGTTTTTCTCATTTTTTTTCCAATTCATCCCCTATGCTTTCCAGTTGTTGTTGTTTGTCAGTTGTTACTTTATACTGCTTTTATTAACATTGAATGTTTTAATAAATTATGTGTACACAAGTATCTAATGGTAGATTTAAAAGAGTATGTATATATGTGTATATATCTCACTTTCAAATATTTCAGCTTCGCTACCCAAGTGCTCGGGATGCGGTGAGCCGATCATAGATCGGTTTATTCTTAAGGTGCTCGAACGTGCTTGGCACGCTGCCTGTTTAAAATGTGCCGATTGCGGAGAGAGATTAAGTGACAAATGCTTTTCAAAAGGCGAAAACGTCTACTGCAAAGAAGATTTCTTTAGGTATATAATTAATTTACATTGATGTAATGTAAAAAAATAAGATGGACGTCTTTATATGGGTATATAGAGTATTTTCCGGTATTTCATATCTGCTTAATTTAATTCAAGAGGCGAAATGAGGTCATTAATTAAATCAATCGGAGCTTTGCCGGGCATAAATTCAATTCTCTCACCTCGGAATTCGATTTTGTCCGACTAACGCGATTAAACATCGATACAGTCATTGGAAAAAAATCATAAAGAGGGACAAAAGGGGCTGAGCCGATGTCACGGTTAGGATTGATAGAATGTAGGGAATCCGTTAGGAAAGAGACAATAGATCTACTGTCAATAGGAATACAAATAAAATAATAACAAATATCGATAATTAATATTTGGAATAATCCTTGTGTGTGCACAGCCGCTTTGGAACACGGTGCGCCGGATGCGATAAGGGAATCCCACCAACTCAAGTCGTGAGACGGGCGCAGGATAACGTTTACCATCTGGAGTGTTTTGCCTGCATGATGTGCTCCAATCAATTGAACACGGGTGATGAATTCTACCTGATGGACGATAGAAAACTTGTCTGTAAAGCCGACTACGAGACTGCAAAAGCTCGCGGTATAAGCTGATTAATTTTCTCTCCAACGTACTTAGCCTCAGGGTATTTTGTGTTCTTTCCATAGAATTCGATCTGGATAACGCGAATAAAAGGCCAAGAACGACGATAACAGCAAAGCAGCTGGAGGCTTTAAAGCGAGCTTATCAGGAATCTCCGAAACCGGCAAGGCATATTCGAGAACAATTGAGTGCCGAAACTGGTTTAGATATGCGAGTCGTTCAAGTTTGGTTCCAGAATCGACGGGCGAAAGAGAAACGACTGAAAAAAGATGCTGGAAGACAACGTTGGACGCCTTATTTCCGACGAGACGCTCAATTAGATGGGGGAAATGGCGGGGAAGATCGAACGGATGATACCATGGATGGATTTGGTAAGTTTATCAATTCACTTTTCTTATTTAAACAAAATAGCTACTTAGCTACTTTTGTATTTTCTGTATAAATCTGTTATATAAAGAACCAAGTGCAAAAAGTACATTACATTACATAACGAATAGATTACGTAACAGGAGATGAGATGGACGAGACGATTCACTACGCTTCTGATGGATGGATGCCCCCAAGATTTGCTTTACCGGAAGCTCAAGTTTCCGGAAATCCCGCACCAATAGGACCAGCGCCACCAGCATCTTCTAACGGCGACGCTTACAACTTTTCGGCGAATCACGTGGAAGTTTATTGACTGTTACCTCCCGTTATCTCTCTCTCTTTCGTCCTCTCTGATACATACATCTCTTCAAATTTTCTGCTTTTACTCTTCCTGTTTAAATCTTCTCTCTCTCTCTCTCTCTCTCTTTCTTTCTCTCTTTCGCTCTCACTATCTATCTGTCTTTAAAGCTCATAATTGAATCATATGAATATTCATAAAGAACAAAATTCGTCTCTTCATAATTTGCAAATATATCGAAAAAGTGAATTTTTTTTTCTTTTACATGGAACGCACTATACTCTGTGTAAAAAAAAAGAAAAACAATAAAAAAAATGTAATAGGAAGAAGAAACTTTTGGTGTGTTCTCCATTCCAGAATCAGAAAATCTCTCATAATGTCTGTCATTTTTTTTGCGTATTAATGTATAAAATAAGGAAAGCATATTAAAAAAAAATACAATCTATGCTCTGAAATTATTGTTTTATCAACATTCTTCTTTTTCTCTTCTTCTTCTTCTTCATCTTCTTCTTCTTTCATTTTTTATTTTATTTTATATTCTATTGAAAAATTTTCAAAGAGATTTCTTTAGGCCTATAATTCGTTTTCTGTCATCAGACACCGTTCAAGTTTTCCAGGTGCCCTGATGAACACGATTTTATTTTAAAATATTAAACTCATGAAAGAGAGACAATTAATAAAGGCTATGTTGAAAAATACGACTAAAATCAATTAGAATGAGCCGAAAGGTATCGGTTACTTCTAGAATGACGAAAGTTGAGAGTTATATAGAAAATACGTTACGTAAAGGGCGAAAGGACATAAAAGGCGAGAAAAGAGGGGGCGTCTAAACGCCAACAGATGGTCGGAGGCAACAACAAAGAGCTGAAACGGCGGTACGTCTGAAAAAGAGAAGAAACATGGCGAGAGACGCCGCATCGTCTGGGGCGTCGAACGTCGAAACCTTATTGCGACTATTAGAATCCGGTCACACGACTCCGTTCGCGTAACGCGTCAAACTTTCCCGACGTCACTCGATCGACGGGCCACGTGCCGACGTCGTGACGCTTTGTTTTCGGAAGCAGTCGTCTAAAACTCCACAGCCCGTTTAGTCTTTCAATTGCATTGGATTAGCTTTTGATATCTCACCGATTTTCCCATCCGACCTTTGCAGAATGGAGGATGAGGAAAAAGAGGTCTCTGATTGTCAAGACACAGTAAAATATATCTTGACTAATCGTTGCAGTCGATTGTGGTATTAAAGCGAGGATTAACTTCTATTTTTAGCATTAGCGAAAGTCCAGCACGTAAAAGAGTCGAGGAAGAGTAATTTTTTTTTTTATAAATAAAAAACGTACTTAGCTAAACGTTAAAGTTGGAAAAAACGTGTGTCACGTTGAAAAGCACCTTTTTATAATTTCTTTCGTAGGTGGGACATGTGAACATAATCATGCATTTCTATAAATATTTATTATTTCGGTAATAGAACTTTATAAGGGTCTACGTTTTCATTTGGATTTCTGTGCGCCTACGCATATATTATCCATGGCAAGCCTTTGTAAATTCGAAGAGCTTCAGGTTAAAACTTGCACTCGTCACTGCAGTCTATTGCAGTAGCGAGGATTAGCTTCTAAATCACATGCAACAAAGGCGTTAGACGCGTCATGAATATATGCGGCCACATGGCGTCACGTTGTGCTGTTCGACCATTGCGCGGACAATTTTATCAGAAAGTAGGCGGTATCGTGCTGCGTTCTTTTAGAATGAAGAATTTTTTTCTCCCTTCAACAATATTTCGCAGTTCGCGTTCAATTGGTCTCAAGAGGCGGCAAGTACGGTGAGTGTGGCGTGCTGGCACGCTTACTGCAAAAATAAATTGCGGTTGTTGCTGAAAGATGATTAGTTGCGTGCCGTCAGCGTTCTTGGCCTAGTTAAAAATCTTTATTTTGCTTTTCATTTAAAGCATAAAACAAACTAAAAAGTTGGGTAAGATAGATATATAGGTAGTTAGCGGGAGGTACGGAGGGAGGCAGAGAGTGGAGGCGGAGAGGCGGAAGGACTGAAGGAGAGAGAGGAGAGGATAAGGGGAGAGATAGTTATAATATGAAGAAGGTGAATAAACATCTAACAATAACTACATTATACATGCAACTCATAAGCCTAAACAAGATTAACGTTAATACCTATTACGAACAAAGTGGAGGTTATACACCCAGAGAATTTTATCCTACTTTATTTTTTTATCATCAACTAATAATAAAAAAAATGTTAAAAAAATAACGTCAAAAATTATGTTCAAATAGGTCAGAAAAAGGTATCATGATATACATTTCAGTAGGTGAAATAGTATTACGTACGAAAATAGAAACAAGTAAAATATAGGCAAGGATAATTAAAACCATCTGCCTAATTATTCATGAAAAGTCTGCTACCTTTTTCCATTTTTTTTCTCTCAGTCCCTTCCTCCTTTCCTCCCCATCCATCTCTCTCTCTCTCTCTCTCTCTCTCTTTCATTCTTTCTGTCTTTCTCTCCCCCCTCTCTCTCTATCACCCTTTCTTTCTGAATATTCTTTGAGATAAAAGGGGAAAAACTGTTGGATATTTTCTTAAGTTGCATGACTTGAGCACGCGTTCTGGCATAAAAAGCTCCGCATTACAGTCAAAACTGCTGCAATTAAGTTTTCAGTCGTATGAAGAGGGCAATTCGATTGTACGCTTGACCCGGACGTGTTTTCCCATGTTTCTCATTCATTAATCATTATTTTACCTTATTACCATTCTATTCTTCCAGCGCTCCTTTCTAATTATAGTCGGTAAACATTACATGGACTTGCGTCATCGGCACATGGTGACCATTTCGAGCTTTATGTTGCATAAAAAAGAGGGGAGGAAGAGGTGTGTTCAAAGGGTTTTGAGAGAAAAGGGTTGGGAAATGCGTATTAACGACATTGAATGACTTGTTGAGATTACGCTTGTGCAAACAAGACAGAAGGCATCTAACTTAAACTCTATTGAAATCTCTTATTCTCTCTGTCTGTTTTTCTATTTTTTATCCTTTGCCCTATTTTCCTCAATTTTTTTTAAATGCCAATTTCCCATTAGCTTATACACTCACTACTTATCTGTTTTTTCAGAATGAAAAGTGCTATATGTCTATCGATTATCTGTGTATATCAATACTATAAACATGATATAAATTGTGCAAATTGACGTTTCTGTAATATAATTATGAAGCGCTAAAAGTGTTTAGGAAAAAGCATTTGCAGTCTAGCTGCAGAATAACCTTTTAACGCGTTTTTTCCAGCCGAACGAAATTTTGCATTTTCTATATTGTATGTAGAAACTAACTGCGTAGAAAGGAAGGAAAATATTAAGTAGCCAACCAAGTATGAGCAACCTCCTCCGAAAAATAAAACCAAAGCGGAAATGATCGAAAAGATAGGGAGGAAAAGAGAATAAATACAGATATATGATGATAAAGGGCGGATAAAATAGATCAACGTAAAATGACTATAGATTTAGGAAATATCCGTATGAAAGGGTAAGAACGGAAGTGGACGAAGAGGGGATGGGAAGACGAAAGCGGCATTTTTGAAGGAGGTACTTTAGAAAAGGATAGAGAAGATGGAACGAGCGTGATCATTAATCTGGCGCCTGACGAATTGTTTCCCTCTCTCTCCTGACAAGCGGACCGCGCTGGCTAAGTGAATAAACATCGATCTGAGAGACTAACGTGGTTAGAGAGAGCGAGAGAAGAGCGAGAGTGAGAGAAAAAATGATGCTATACTGTTGCAGGTACATCTACATAGTACACTACTACTAGTGTATATAAGCGATTGGAAAGTAATTCTCTAATGGACTCTCGTCTCTTCCGTCTTTCAATACAAACGTCTATAAGTCTAAGTACGTACGTACCATCGTATAGCGCACATACGCTAAACAAGTTTTATCCTTAGTTGTTTCTTGCTCTTGCTTTCTTCTCTCTATATCCTACCCTCAGTCTATTTAAGCCTCAGCAAAGTTTCTTTAACCTATAAACAATTACGAATATTAAAAATAGAAAGAAGTGCAAACATGAAATCAACTTGATTAATATTTCTCAGTAATATAATATTGAACAAGTAAAAGCTAAAGAAGATAAGGATAAAGTTAAATTGAATAGTAAGTATTGTTTTTATTCCCTCCTTAAGAATTACGATTTATCCTCCCTTCATTTTGTCCTTTAGAATATTTGTCCTCTACAGAAGAGTCACACACGCGCCTACAGTTAATATAGTATATTAATATTATACGCTACGTCTACTATATTTATGTACTATGTTTGTATTTTGTATATATATATAACAGTATATAAAAGAGTAAACTAAGGAAGCACATTAAAGAAAGAGATGAATCTTTTGCATTTTGCTTCTACTACAACACTGTATTGTATTTATATTCAAATGTTTACTTCACATATGACTTTGTTAGGCCTATAAAACTGAAATATTTCATATAACAGGAAGAGAGTAAGAAGTTAGAAGGATATTAAAAACGTGGATGTTGTACATCGTATGGAATAGTTATTTCCTTGTTATGTTTATAAAGTCGTTGTAAACACCTTATACATGGATTCGGTGAAAGAGTCAGTAATCTAATAGCGTAGCAATATGAGCATGAAATCAGCGCGATTTGCCGTGATAGCCGGTGGGAATTGCCTGTCATTGAGGCGTCGTTTGCTAACGCCCGTTACAGGAGCACTGATGTTGCGCAAGAAACGCTTTTGTCGTCGAAGAGCGGAGAAGCGGCGTAAAATGTCAAAAGGGGATAAAATCCCGAAGAGTTTGTACTCCAGTTTGTAAATAGGTCATAGATGTTGGGTGAAAGCTTTGGAGTGAGATTAAAAATAAAATAAGGGGCGTTAGTAAAGCTCGGTTGTTTTTCCCCCTTTTCCTTTTAGAGAATGAGAATTGGTCTAGATCTGACTAAATACTAAGATAAATAGTAACATACGGCCTCTTCGAAACAAATATCCGACAAGTCGTTCGACCGTAATCCTCCGTAACTCGGGAATTCCCAATTCAAAACACGAACGTATGCGCAAAATAAACAAAAGACTGGAATGTTGAAAGGAAGCGAGTTTTTACAGGAATATAATCTAATTAACCCTCAGGCCCTACAGCAATATCCAGAAACGCGTTAAAAAAATTGCTTAGACCTATTCTACAGTTTTTTGTGGTTAGTTAATTGTTAATCTTATTTTTATAAAAAGTAATGTCTTGGCTGCAATAGAAAACAGGAAGTGAAAAGCGCTGGTGGAAAAGACCGGAAAGTAGCCGCCTTTCATCATCCGACAGTTAATAGAAGAGGCACGCGCCGGACGTCAAAGTCGGCAAAGGGATGGAGAGAAGAAGAAAGAAAAGGAGAAAAGCGGCTGCTTTACCCTCCAATAGCTTTATCTTAGCCCTTTTCGCCCTCCTTTTTCACGCCTACTGCCTCCCTCTCCTTTATCTCCTCCCATCGGGCAACAGGTGCAGTTTTTTCCTGGCGGACGACGTGCGGCGACTTTGCAAAGGCGAACGCCATGATTAAAAGAAACGCTTTCGCGCAGTCGACAACAAAAAAGGATTAATCAGCTTCGGCTAATATTTTCCCATGTTTCCATCGGATTACTTATTGGACAGATTTTTCATAAATTCTCTTCCGCTTCCTTTCTTATATTTGCGTCTCTCTTTTCCATTCTTTCTTCCTCTCCTACTTTCTTTCACTAAGTCATCTTAGTTGCAAAAAAATGCATCTTTCTTGATGCATTTTACTCTTATTCTCATTTTTTTTCCTTTAAGTAATTTCATGTTTTTTTTTCAAAGAGTCTTCTTTATCACGAACGTTTTTCCTAGTTAGCTCAGTTTTCTTCGTTGTAATAGAGCTCTAAACATTTTTAGCTCCTCTTAGCGATACGATATTCCAATATATACTGTATACATATATACAAATATGCATATATGTATATATATATATGAATATAAACTCTAACCTAATACGCTTTTTTGCGTCGAAGAGAAAAGAGAACGAGAATCTAAAGTAGAAAGAGGGCTCCATCTTTTGGCGATTGTGGAAACCTTTGGAAACCTTTCTCTTTCTAATTTTTCCTTATTAAATAAATGAGAAAAAAGGACCAATCAGTCGCTTTTTATGACACGCCCTATTAATTAGCCTATTTCCCAACAAACAATTCTTCGATAGGTTGTTAAATCCTAATTGCTAGTATCATATTAAGGTGGATTGTAATTCAAACTTTTAGTACATTGAAAACGTCAATACATATAGTAGCTATATATATATATATTTTCATAGGTAGTCCTATATTGAAGGGAATAGGTTAAAAGCAACTTTAACCCACCTAAGGGATACAGACTAGTTATTATTGTTAGTAAACTATACGAAGGAATTTTCACCTCTGACGAATCGTGTAGTTTCCATCTTGTAAATTTGACATTTTCAGTAAAAGTATCATTTCAATTTGATATTCACCGTCTAACCTCTAATTTTAGAGTAATCGGGTTTCATTAGATTGAGATTATTTAGAATGTCCTAAAAGCAGGTTCTTTTTTTTCTATTACTATTTTTATTCCCTTTTTAGAGAGAGAGAGAGAGAGAGAGAAAGAGAGGAGAGAAGAGTACTTTTTCAAATTGATTTTAGTATTTTTTCATCAAGAGAAAATCCTATAGAATAGGTTTATTTAGATTTGTTTTCCTTTGACACAAAAGCTATTATAAATATGTTTTTTAATAAGTCAAACCTATTACAGGATAATTATTGTTACTGTAACCATTTAATAAACAATAACAGCTATACGATATAACAAATGTATTAAATTACTAAAATAAGTCAGCTAATGAGATTTAATAGAGAATACTTCTTAAACTATTTCAAACTTTGGAATTGTAGAGTAAAGGCAGAGGAAGGAGAAGAAGAAAAAGACTAGAGGACTAGAGATTATAAACATTTAGCTATAATAATACTAATAAAATCATGCTCAAATTCAGTTTTATTAAACACTTTCTACCCTTTTTCATTGTAATTTTCTTCTTAAACTATCAAAGCCTTTGCAGTAGTAAGTATACCCTTTTCTTTATTTATCATATATTGCCTTCCTTATATTACCTTTATAGAGATCGTTTTTTTTCTTTATTAAATCAAAGACACAGATATTATAACTCATGATGCTATTAGTATAAATGGTGGATGGTCTCCTGTTGACCAAGGAACTGGTGGAGGGGCTAATTGCCATTTCCCTTTTGTTGAAGATAATAAAGTATGGTTTGGTTGTGATACAAATGGTGATGTACCATGGTGTGCAGTCGTTCCTAACTTAAATGATGATAATTTGTGGGGATATTGCTCTTTCCCTGAATGCAGATTAATGGAAGTGGGAGCGGGATACAGAGGAGATATTGATTATACTAACAATGGCGTTAAATGCAGCCAATGGTCATCGTATACTTCTGCTTTTACATTTTTCGAATCATCAGCAACTGAAGCTGGGAGTAGGTGTCGTAATCCAGATTTAGATAACACCCCTTGGTGTTGGACTCAAGGATTCGGTTGGGGTTTTTGCGATCATATACCAATGTGCAAAGACTTGCGTTATTCGTGCAAAGATCCACTCGTTCATAACTTGGCAATGGCGTCATTTTCGGCCAACTCCACAAAGACAGTGGGTACTACTGTCTATAGTGCGCATTCGGCTACGTTATCTTCATCATTCGCATGGTGTGCCGAGGTAAACGACCAATATCAATATCTCCAGATCGATATGGGAAAAGATGTTGCCGTGGTTGGAATAGCAACTAGGGGCTTAGCGGGATCGAGTAGTTATGTGAAAACTTATAGATTAGAAGTTAGCTACGACGGAGTTGAGTGGTTTCCAGGGCAAGATAGTAGCCTTGTCGGTAATTCTGATTCTGTTACAATAGTTGGAGAAAGAGTTTTAGAATTTGGAAGATTCGTTAGAATAATACCTTTGACATGGAATGGCGATATCTGCATGAGAGTAGAACTGGGAGGTTGCGATTGTACGTATAAGAACGTTAAATTGCTTATTAAACATAAATAGATAATAATATTTTGTGCTCTTTATAAAACGCTTACAGATTACGACGCTTGTAGATTATCTCCATGCGAAAATAATGGTACCTGTACCAGTGATGGGCTATCCTCGACATACGAATGTGCCTGCGATCCAGATTATTCTGGAGTAAATTGTCACATACTTACAGATTATTGCGATTTGGATAAACCTTGTAAAAATGGAGGGACTTGTGTTAATACAGGATTAATGGGACAAAATGTAAAAAAATATACTTGTACATGCGATTCATTTGGCATATATTCTGGGGAATTTTGTGAGAATGGAGAATCTACTTCTTGTGGCAAGTTAAGAGAGTTGAATTTTAACATTTCAGGAGTTTATGACTTGGATTTATATAACACAACTCGAGGATGTAGAATGAATCTAATAGCTAGAAATATCTCCCAAATGGAAAATATCACTACTGTCTTTACAGTAGGAGTATCAACTGAAGAAGATTGCGGTAATAAATGTCTACAAGATCCCGATTGTAAGGCTGTATCTTGGATGTTTGAACCATTCATTTGTTTTATTCACCACGAACTTGTTCAGATAATTGACAAAGATGAAGGATTTAGCCAAAAGATTAATTACTATCTTAAAGAATGTTCTACACCTGTGGGAGTTTTTTGTGATTTCTCACATCCTAATAAGACTGTATCTATAATAGAACCTCATTTTGCTAAGGATTTTTCGGAATTTAGATCCATTGAGACAAAATTTGCCTACCGTCAAGTCTATCATTATTATCCTGTTACTAAATTACAAATAGATGAATTGAAAGCTCATTCCTACAAATGTTCTCAAAAATTTACATTCAAATGTAAAGGAGTTACTCCAACTTATTGGAAAATGACTTTCCAAGATTTTGAGACTGTTCTGTTCACGGATCCCACTTTTAATCCGTATTGTGCAAATTGTATCTTTAGTGAATCTTGTTATTCACCCCAAACTGGAGGATGTTCATGTCGAAATTTAAATTTTTGGTCGGAAGATTTAGGAGTGTTTACTGATAACGAAAAAATACCAATTAGAATGGTTCACGGTGGAGATACAGGAAGTAGTTTTGAAAGAGTTGAATTTTCAGTAGGACCTCTGTTATGTGAAGAACTTAATAAAGGCGTCGTTGATTTAAATCAATGTGACTCGAATCCATGTTGGAATGGAACGTGTATTGATCAAGATATGTCGTATTACTGTAATTGTACGGCTGGTTACAAGGGGAAAATATGCGAATTTGACATAAACGAATGTCTATCTTCTCCTTGTTCATCAGGAGCAAGTGAATGTTTGAACTTGGAGGGTAAATATGAATGCGTTTGTAAGCCTGGTTTTATTGGAGAAGCTTGCGAAATAGGTTTATATTTATTATAAGATTTGATTAGTATTATATTTATTCTTATACAATCATTTCTATCCAGATATTGACGAGTGCGTATCCTCTCCGTGCAAGAATGGAGGATCATGTTTGAACCGTGATAATTATTATGAATGTAAATGTCGGAAAGGTTCAATAGGAACAAATTGCCATATAGGTATTGATTTAATAAAATATAATACCGTAATAAAGCCCTTCAATCTTCAGCACAGGACGAATGCCAGTCGAATCCTTGTATAAATGCTATCAATTGTACTGATTTACACGCTGATTACAAATGCTATTGCGAAAGTGGATGGACTGGAAAGAATTGTGATGAAGGTAAAAATCAAATACAATATAAGCATTAATTTAGAGCTTTTGTAAATTATCATTAGATTTTTCGGAGTGTGGAAGTAATCCTTGCGTAAATGGAGGAACTTGCCAGGAGAATACTTTCGACGATTATTCCTGTATTTGTGACGATGGTCTACATGGAAAGAGATGTGAAATAAGTAAGCTTAATTGTTAGTATTTTCTTTTCTTTTCGCCTAATGCATCATTCACTAGACGTGGACGATTGCTCCGCAAAGCCTTGTAAACACCAAGCAACTTGTTTAGACGGTATAAATTCTTACACGTGTATATGTCAGGAAGGATACACTGGGACAGACTGCCAAGAAAGTCGGTTATCTTTCGATACTCTTTCTCTCTTTCATAACATCTTTATATTCATTTACTATTATCAATAGATATAAACGATTGCGTTGTAAATAATTGTAAAAACGGCGGATCTTGTAAGGATGGCGTGAATAGTTGGACTTGCGAATGTGCCTCTGGCTATGGAGGAGAAATTTGCGAAAGAGGTTAAATTTTCATAATTTGAAATGTTTTCTTACAAATTTTTTTAATATAGAAATTGAAGAGTGCGCTTCTTTACCGTGTAAAAATGGAGCATCATGCCTGGAATCTACAGTTGGATCTTATACTTGTCTTTGCTCAGCGGGTTTTACAGGAGCAGTCTGTGAAACAGAAATTGACGAATGTTTATCTGAACCGTGCAAGAACGAAGCAGCTTGTATTAATGAAATCGGATTTTACACCTGTAAATGTGTTCCACCATTTGTTGGCAAAAATTGCCAATTTGGTAAGAGAATAACAAAATGAATAATATTTTACTATAGAATTTCGTTTTTTTTAACATTAGTTGTTACTGATGGTCAATGGGGTGGTTGGGGAGCTTGGGCTGACTGTTCTGTTGACTGTGGTCTAGGAGTTCAAACAAGGAGGAGGGAATGCAACAATCCTAGACCGGTTCATGGAGGTAAAAAGTGTGCAGGTTCTGCAAGTGAAGTTATCAAATGTGAAAAAGGAGCCTGCTCTACAAGAGATGGCAAATGGGGTCTTTGGAAAGAATGGTCACGCTGTAGTGTGTCGTGCAGTACGGGGCAGAGAAAGAGAATAAGAAAATGCGATAATCCTACGCCAATTAATGGTGCTGATTGTGAGGGAGCAGGCGAAATTTTTGAAATTTGTAAAGAGGTAGAGTGTGGACAACCATTTGATGGTGGTTGGTCTCTTTGGGGAAGTTGGTCTAATTGCCACAAAACCTGTGGGCCAGGTGTTAGGTATAAAAGAAGATATTGCGATACCCCAAAGCCTCAGTGGGGAGGTAAGGATTGCGAAGGATCTTCAAGCGAATACGAAACTTGTCAGATGAAACCCTGTCAAAGTACTATGACATGCAAGGACTTTGAGAAATGGAGTAAATGTAGCGAAAGTTGTGGTATGGGAATTCATTCAAGAAAACGAGTTTGTACTATGCAAACTGAAGATAATTTGCCAGAGAGCGGAGTAACAGTTCAACCGAGTGTAGTTACAAATGAGATTCTTCAATACGAGCATAAATTCTGTTCAGACAATAAATGTCCAAGTAAACTTTATAAAATAGATTTTTTAACAAACATCTAATTAGATCAATTCATTTCAGAATTAAGTTGTACAGTTTGCGTTAAGAAGTTTACTTCAGATATGGATATTTTACAAAATAGACTAAGTTGTCGAGGTCCGTCTCTTCAATGTGAATTGGGTAGTCCTGGCTGTCTTTACAGGTTCAATAAATCACCATTGGAAAGCGTAGTCGAGAAGAGATGCGCCAAAGCCGGTGAATGTACACAACGTCAGACTGAATTGTGTAAGAACATGTATAAATTTCTTATCGATATTGTAAATAAGTACGTATATGATATACTAAGAGGAAAGCAGTAAAAACGACTATAATGTTTTTCTTTAATTCTATGTAGCGATAAACCTACTGTTGCCCAAGAAGATATGGAACCGCATTCGGATTCAATTCTACAACTATGGCAAAGATTCGAAGAGGCTAATTGTCTAATCTGTTGTACAGCCTCCTTTTGTAACAGTCCAACATTACCTCCGGGAAATATGCTCTATTCAACAGCCAGTATACTGGCAAATCATCTTAACTTAAACTATTTACTAGTATACGCTCTTTCAGTATTTTGGTTTATTTTGAAAAATTAGTCTTGAAGTTATTTCTCACAAAAACGTTAAAAGAACTTGATAAGCCACTTGATAAATAATATTAATATATGATTATATCTCTTTGTTACTATCTCTGTCTGTCTATCTCTCTCTCTCTCTCGCTCTCTATATATAGTAGTTTTACAATATAAATAAACAAAAGATGCTTAAAAGTGTTACTTTGATATTTTTGAAATTTCAATAAACAAAATTAAATATAAAAATTATAAGTAAGAGAAAGTATAGAAAATATAATGGTTGATTTTAGCTGGATTGCAGTTGCGTGGCCTTGAGAAGGTGTAGTTGAAGGTATTATTGTTGTTTTAGTTGTAGGTTGTGAAGTGGGAGGATTTAACGTCGAAAGGCCGTATTCTTTTAAACATTCTTCTTTAAGCCATTGGGATATTGTATTCAAATCGCTTTGTCCATCGCAACTTCTTGTCATATCAGGGGCATCTTTATCGTAGTAATCGTCAAATATAATTTCGCTTGGTGGTGAATCAAACTTTACAACACATCCATAATCTAAAAGATATATAGTAATTAATTCTTTAAATGGACAATTGACAACTATAAACTTACTATTAGCACTTTTATCAATCATAGTACACGAGCCCGCTTCTGAGTAAACAGGAGCTAGAGAGAATGCAAATTTATTCCATACTTTAGCTGGAATTCTCACTCCTGCCACAGTTACATTAATTGTTGGTATCCAATCGGCAGCGTATTTAACTGAACAGTAGATTAGTTTCTTATCGTCAACAATTGCAGTATGGACATCCTGCGAACATTTAGGTTCGTCTAAAACATTTAAAAATGCTGTATAATATTCAAAGTGTAGATCGCCTCCAACTTGTTTCATTCCAGAGCAATCGTATAGTCCAGATGTCATTTCAGATACTGATTTTATACGTAATTTATACTCATTTTGGTCTGGAAATTCGAAATGGGGCCTTAATCCTTCAACAACAACCATATTGGTCGAAATAGCAAAGCTGGCAGGGGCTTGACTTTGTACGAAAAACCACGAGCGTACTTCAAAGGTTTCATCTATTGTCGTGCAATCGGCGAAAGCTGGTGATCCAGGTTCTGTAGCAATGTTTTTTGGGGCACCAGTGGAAGGTCTTGGTTTTTTCGTTGTTGGTGGAACTGTTGAAGGTGGTAGAGTTGTGAGTCGGAAAGCGTCTTCGCATTTGTCAAGAAGCCATTTTGGAACTGAATAGAAAACAATCGATCAATCATGAAATTTGTTTTGTTTTGCTTCATTAAATGATAAGATTAATCGAACCTTCCGACAACGGCATCTCAATATCGAAGCACGTTTCACTGAAATCTGGACTTGAATTATCATACGATTCATCTAATAGAATAGATTCTGGAGGAGCTGGAAAATTTACTGTACAATTGAAACTCGATTGGGCGTTTGCTAAGATGCCGCATTGACCAACTTTAAAATAATCGCTAGTATTCTTTTCTGTATAGGAGCGCATATTTAAAGAGTTATCAATTGTTCCAACTTTCATATTTGGTGGCCAGCTACTGGCATATTGAACATGGCAAAAAGCCATTCTTGAGGAAGTAGGTAGAGCTGGATGTGTTGTTTTCAAACAAAATGGTTTACCTAAATTAAAACAAAGCAAACATGATGATGAAGAAGCGAAACAAGAGGAAAAAATATCTTACTCATCGTCGAAACGAAAGCTTTATAATAATTTTCAAAACTATTGGATGAATTGTATCCATAGCATTGATAAACACCTGAAGTCTCTTCATTCACTTTTACTATCTCTAAATTATAAGTGCCAAATCCACTTATTTTATATAAATCACTAACTGGTGGTTCAATATTGAAATTCTCAGCGACGATAATGTTTTCATCTTTCTGGCTTTTTGAAAGTGTCCAACTAGCTCTTGAATAATCATCGGCTGAAATTGCTGAACAGTTCAAAATTGTTGAAGAGTCTATAAAGAGTGGGTGGGTGGAAGGGAAAACAGCATTATCTTATTAAATGTAAAGAAGATTTGTTTATTGGTACCTTTAAGGACTGCTGTATTTTTTGGTCTTTTTCGATAATTATCTGGCAGTAGGCCAAATCGACATTTCTCTTTTAACCATTGAGGTACTGTTAAACGATGAAAATTGAAAATTGAATGACTTTTTGTTTTTTAAAGAAAATATTAGAAATTTTTATTACCATTATCATCATTGATGCCCGAAGAACTACATTGAGTAGTTAGTTGCATGCTACTGGTATCGGTATTTTCGCTAATGATAGTGTAACTTGGAGGAGCACCGTAATTCATCGAACAATTGAAACTAGCATCTTTATTAATGATTGCACAAGATCCAACGGTAAATTCAATTTCTGGTCTTCCAACTTCACCTTCTTGATAGGCTACAGATCTAAATAATTGTCCAATACTCGGATTTGTTTTAACGATAGGTGGCCATCTAGCAGTATAGTTGGAATAGCAATAAGCAATTTTAGAATTACTAGGAAATTCAGGGTTAATAACAACTGCTGATTCTGCACACGATGGTTGAGGATCTATCATAATAATATACGATGGACTATTTAAATAAAAGAAAATAAAAGAGAAATAATATACCTATAGCATGTATAAATGCTAAATGATACTCTAAATCCGTATTGTTTCTATAACCAGAACATTCGTATAATCCAGCTGTTTTTTTATCAACTGAAAGGATTTTTAGCAAATTTCCATCTTCAATTTGAAAATCATTTTTCCAATCGTCTTCAACATTTCCATTAGTTGCAATATGATGTATATCAAACGTTTGAGTTTGATAGAACATCCATCTTAGTATAGTGTGAGTATCTGAAGATATTCCAGAACAATTGACCACTGTAGAATCTCTAATATTTACAGCATGATTTTTTGGTAAACCCGTTTCGCAGTTTATCGGAAAAAGTAAACAAATATTCACTGGAATAAAAGAACAAAAGAAGCATTCATTGAATTTTATCAATAAAATTTATTTTATTTTTGTTTTTTTTAAAAAAAAACAAACCAATGAAAAATAATAATATTTTCATTATTTTAATCCGTTGTAGGGATGATGGAGAGGGAAGAGGGAGGAGGAGGAGAAGGAGAAGGAGGAGAGGCGGAAAAAGATGGGAGTAGAGATTGAAAAATTCAAAGCTTTTATATGAAAAAATACTCTAAAGTGACTGCAGCAGTGAGGATGGAAAAGATTAATATCTTATAATCTTCAATAATAAAACTATAAAAATTGAAATTTGATCGAGTCCCCTTAAACGTCGATGAGACAATTCACTGAATTCCAAAATATAACAATTCAAGATTTTTACAACTGTAAAGAATTTTGATAAAAATATCAATTTGAACATAAAATCATAGGAGTATCACCATGATGATGATGATTCAATGCTTAATTCTATAATATCTATTACAAATAGCTCATCTCATTTTTGTGGAAGAGAGAAGGGAATAGAAAAAGAAATATAGATTAGTTTATCTATATTCACATTCTAAAGTTTAATAATTCAGTCAACGGGCTCAAAGATAAGATGAATTATCTAATTTTAATATGTTATGTCACGAATTCTTGAATTGTATTAGGTTCTCTACCTATCTTATTATATTAATGGATAAATTCAATTAGTTTAGTATTGCTTAAGACAAGATTGATTACTAAATTCCCAACAAGTAATGCTACCAGTGAAGTTTTACTTGCATAGTCGATTTTAAGTGTGATAAAAATATAACAGTTGACTATCTCAATGATTAATTTAGTCAATAGTTACTGATAACAATAGATGTCTGTGATATTTGTGCGAGTTCTTCTTTTTTTCTATATGCAATATGCTTAATATTCTTTATAATATTTCTTATTGTAATTAATATAATATTGAAGAAAGTAGAAATAAGCTTTCCGATGTTAATGATATTTTTTTTCTATTATAATCAAAATCAAGTTTAAAGTCGTCATACGTAATTCTTATCAAGGTCACTTCTTTCTGTAAAAATCCTCGAGAAAAATTTTCCACAGTCTGCTATTGTTGTCTACTTTAACCTTGATTAAGAATATTACAGAGATAAAGAGATTTTTGATCATACTTTATATAATATTTTAAGTATTTCTTCTCTCTCTCTTTCTTTCACTTTATACATGGTAGATCCCATTTATGAAATTGCCCATTTCAACATTATCACACGATTTATGACTGTAACAAGCAGAATTGAAGCAAAGACGTGCTTTAAAGCAAGATCTTCGCCTTGACGAGTAGTCTCTTCCACAGTAGCTATTTTGATAACTCTATCAGATGCACATCTCTCTTCGCTGGCTATTTTATTAATTGTATATGTTCTTTACCGCGGCTAATACGATATGTAATGTTTACACTGTATAAGGTGTTTATGTTATATTGTTTCTATTAGAGATATAACACTTCAGGATAACTATCATTTTTGACTGTTAAAGTTAACACCTAGTTACGTCCGGGTAAGTAGGTTATCCAATTCTGGCATAATGAGCAATTTTACTGATGGGATGTGGCATATATGTACAACACTAATAAATTAAACTGTATCCTTGAAATACATTGTGACTATGATGACTGATTAAAAAGACGAAGTTGTTAATAATATATAATGTTATTTTTTTTACAAATTCTCTCTTCAATGTCACTGTAGAAGATGGATTGATTCGAAAAAGAAAATATAACCTGTCAAAAGAAGAGATAAATTAATATTTGAAATTTTTCTGTTGTAATCTCCTTTGCATGCATTCATAACTAACAGCAATAAATCGTAATAATAATTTATGAATTGACAATAAACAGGACTGTCGAAAGAGAAATGAAGAAGAGAGAATTGAAATATTTAAATGAAGTTTTAAAGTAAGGAATGATAACAGAATTTTAAATCTATTGGAAAGAGAGATAAGATTCAAATAAAGATGGAATAGTAGATAGAATTGTACCAAAAAATGAGTATCATTAGCTATCGTATTAGTACGAAATAGGATATAAATGTTAATTAATCTTTCTTATTCCCTTCCAACATTATCAATTTATTGTAACTCTTATTTTTTTATGATACAAGTACGATCTCTCTTTCTCTCACTTAAAATAAAGGATTTTAATATTAAAATTCTATAGTAAAGGTTAACCAATTGAGCTTTCTTTTGTTCTCTAGTTAATAAGAGTAAAAAATAAAAAGTATATACAATATATATGTACTGAATCATCAATTTGAATATTTAATATTGACCGATACTTTACCGATTTTTTCAATATATTTTTAAATAGTCATTCGTATGAAAATCCTTAAAGTGAGTCAAATAATAACTTAATATTACAGTAGACTAGAATAAAACCTAACAATGAAGAAAAGGAATATATTAATAGCGATTGGAAAAGAGGAAAGAGCGACAGAACGATAAAAGTATAAAATAACAAAGTTTTAACTTAAAATCAATCGTTTATTTTAGATTATTTCTTTTTAAAAAAGCAATAAATCCCTAAATGATAGTGTTTTTTACTGTGTAGATGTGAAAGATATATAAAACTTCTATATATATGTAAATTAGTATATTGAAGAAAAGATCTTCCTGTTGATTAGATATTTAATCTTCTTATTTCTTTTAACAAGTAAATTGGAAATTTCCACATATTTTTCAATCAGTATTGTTTAAATACTCAATGAATATATAAAAAATAGAATAGAGAAGAAATGAAAATAATGATAGCATTCAACTGTAAAGAGTTTGCAGAACTTTTACTTGGATCTGGAAATGAATAGGAAAAATTTGACTTTAATATTACTTTTATATTGTTAAAAGATCAATTATTGTACGAACCTTTGACGCAGACGCTTTTCATTAAGGTAGTCGTTTTTGGACAGGCGTTTACTTTGCAGGTTAGACCAGTATCGCATAATTTTAAACTTAAACTTAAAAAATTTGACTGGTAATTGCATTCTTGTCCATCTTTCACATTCAATACAGAGTCCTTATATACACAGACGTTTGAAGAGGTAGAAGATTGAACAGTTTTAGCGGAAACGCCATCCCAATAGGAGATACGGACAGAAGCATGACCATTGTAATTGGTCCGACATTCGCACTTTTTATTAGTACATATCAAGTTTATTGAAGATTCACAATCAGCCGTTTCGCAACTTTCTCTCCACCTGGCTATTAAGAGATAGAAAGGAAGAGAATGAATGAATAAATAAATATTATAGTTGATATCCTCTTACCTCTTCTACAACTTTTCTCTGCGGCATCCCACATTCTCTTACCAGCCGAACAGTCGCATTTATTCGTTCCAGAGTTACAACCTAAACCTTTATTAAGATCACATTTTTTGTTTGTGTCGCAAGATTCTCCGTGCCAGTCTATATAATAATTAATAATAATAACAAATTGATATTAATTGAATTTACCTATTCTAATAAGAGAGAACATCAAAAGGAAGTTTACTTACAGAATCTGCAAAGGGAAAGTGACGAATCCCAAACCATTTTCGAGGCGGAACTACACCCGCAGGTACCATCAGGTAGACAAGATAAGCCACTTTTACATAATATGATCGAAGTGCAAGCCTCTCCGTAACTTCCTAAAAAGTTTTTAATATAATAGTTTTATATTATCTATGATATATTTAATATTATTTACGATATTCGCATCTGGAGTTAGAAGAATCCCATTTTGGTTTTGATGCAGGACAAGAACATACTTTATTCGTACATATTAAACCCATAGTTGAATCACAAATTTTGGGAGATGTACAGTCATCTTGGTGCTGATCTATATTATTACAAAAAGATATATGAATTTGATTGTTTGTAATCCAGTTGAAAAACTTACAATAAATGCATCTCGAATTAGAAGAATCCCATTTTTTGTTTGAAGGACATTTGCAAGTGTTAGAAGTGCATACTAGACCCTTGCTTAGATCACAAACTTTGCCAGATGAGCAATCATCGTTGTATTGATCTTAACAGAGATAAACTTGAATTATTAATTCAAAAGACAACTTAATTAGTATTTACAAAATGAGCATTGTGACTTTGAAGCATCCCATTTAGAAGTGGTTAAACAACTGCATCTGCCTCCTGTACACACTCCAGTAAGACATGCAAGAGAGCTGCTACAAGTTTCATCGTAATTTCCTAAAAATAACAATCAACACATAACGTTTTAAAGCATATTTTAAGAAATTAAAAATAGTCTGTTTTACTTTTAACGCATTCGCTATTTGAATTTGCTTTGTAAATTCCACAGGTACACTTTTTCGTTGATGAATCGCACGTAGCATAAGTTTTACCGTCTTTTTATATGAAAAAGACAAACATGATAAACAGGCCGGATGTAAAAGAATGTATTATTATAAAGTCCTTTTTTTTTTACTTACTTCCATACCTGCACACTGTGTTCGATGTGCAAGTTTCTCCAATATTCTTTCGATCCTTTCTGACGCATTTTGTATTATCAGACGGATCAATTTCGTACAGCGACGAAATGCATGCGCATTTAGATGAAAGACATCGAAATGATGCTGGATCACAGTATGTTTTAGCAGTATCGCTACAATCCTCATTGTACGCTAGTTTTCTTTTGCAAATGCCTCCAGTGTAGATATGGCCAGTGGGACATTTACATTTTCCTTTATCGCAACTTTCATAACCCTCTTTACTACATGTAGCTTGGTTTGGACAGGTTGTATCATCGGAACAAGCGTAATTTATCAAACCAAGTCCATAGGAAAATGATACAACAAAAACAAATAAAAGTAAAACTTTTTCCATCATGTTGACTATTCAAAAGTGTAAAACGAAGTAAAAAAAAGTGAACAAGTTTCCAGTTACTCCGACAACTAATCAATATTTGTTGGTTGTTAACGGTCGCCGAGTTACATTCCCTAGTATACTTTTAAACATTCATGTATTGCACGCAAAAGCTTTGCTTAATTTATTTGTTATGTTTTTTCTATATTATAACAGAGAGAAAACGAAAGGAAGAACTAATTTTAATAATAAGTTGACTAATTCAATGTAAATTCAATTGGAAAAAAGACCAATACAAACAAATAAGAAGAAATAGATGATCATTTTGATAAAGTTTGCTTTATTCTAACTAAAAAGTTTATTGTATATCATATTTTGTCTTTTTTCATTTCAATTAATAGTCTCATTCATTGATTTATTATACTTTTTTCTCTAATGAATTCTATCTATTTATTTATAATAATTATAATTAAAAAGTCAACTTTATCCTGTTTGTTTTCTCTTCCTTTTCTCATAAGTATGTTGGCCAGCAAAATGTTTATTTTGTAACGAAAAAATCAACAAGTTCCTTGTCAATTGATCTAAATATAATTTCAAAAAAAAAAATGGTGAACCAAAAAAGGGAGAGGCATAGAAAAACATAAAAAGGTTCATAAAGATTTCAACAGCTTTTTTTCTATTGCATAATTCATAAACTATCATATGAAGTGAAGTTTGCTTATATTAATAGAGAGGGGCGTCTTTACTAGGCGAATATTACATATATATATATATATATATATATATATATATATATAACTTATATACACTCTATTATAGTCGATTATTTTTGAATTGATCTTAAAATAGGACAAGTTAGTTAGGGTAAATAAGAGACAAAGAAGAGAGAAACTATTGAATGTTATGCGAATACACTCAAATGTAGAGAATGTTTTATGTTGTAAAAGTCAGACTAATGAATAAATTAATGAATACAATTATACATATATGTATAAAAACAAACAGAACGATAAATAACTAAGAAACAAAGATATGTTAATAATTAGGTTTCGGTCAATTGTTTCAATATTCCTGAATAATTATCAAATCATTACTTTCCAAAATTACATTATCTGTATACTTTATATATTAAAGGAGACGCGTTTTCTAGTACTCTTTCGCAACGAATAATGTTTTTAAAAGGTTGTATTTATCCTCTAATCCCCCGATAATCTCCTCTTATGTAATAAGAGTGGTGATGAATGCGTTTAGGAATTCAACGGTGTTAACGTCCATCTCATTCAGTAGGTGGTGACGTAACTTGTAAAAGTGGCAATCACTATAAAAAGAGAGAAGAAGGTTAAATATTATCGTAATTGATAAAGTAAACGAAAAGAAATAAAACAAGAAAATTCTTATCATAAATAAATCCCTATATAAAAAAATATTCTTATCAATTTAGTAGTTGTGATAAGAAATATTTGATCTAATAAATTCAACTATAATGTAAATTATGACTTATAGATATAGCACTAATTCTATTCGTGTATCACAAATTATAGATAACTACTTTTCTCTGATAACGCAGAGCTATATGTCTACCTCACCATCTCAGTTATTATATCAGTTAAAAAACTTTGATTGCCTAAGTACTGTTATAAAGTAAAAGTTTATAAGAAATATCTCAAGAAATTTGAAAGAAAATAATTGTAAATTATAGATTATCGTTGTTAGGAGAAAGAGAATTGGAAAGATAAGACAAGAAATAGGAATAATTAAAGTAGGAAAGAAAGGAAAATAGTAAGAAAACTTGAAGATATTTAGATTAAAATAGCTATTTTTAAATACAAATACAATAGAAGAAACAGTGCGTTGAAAGGATATTAAACGGTATTTATATAAATATATATATATATATATATATATAAATATTCTAGTATTTTGAAGGAAATTAAAATCCTAAATGGTAAGTTTTTAATACAAAATTACTTCATAAAGCATTTATAAACGTCATTTAGTATTGGAGTAAGAAAGTTAAGGGATGGATACACACAATAGTGTGTGAGAGAGAAGAGGGGAGAGAAAGAGAATTTGATAATATGCCAATTTTATTAATTATTATCTTATATGTATGTTGAATAAATCAAAAAGATAGAAGGGCTAATACAATGCATAGAAGAAAAATTGTTTAAAATTTTATGAATGAAGGGATTTTGTAACAAGATTATGAATAAACATTTGTCGTTCGTCATCGAATTATTGTTAGCACGCCCACTGTCTTTATTTATATTTAATTTAGGAGACCAATGACCTTTAATGTCTTTTTCGTTTCTTCTATTCTCTCCTCTTCTCTTAACTTTCTTATTCTTATTTGTTATTGTTATTCAACCCTATGAACGAGAAAATAGCCTTTACAATTCGCATATTTTTAAACAATCGCATTCTGAATAGAATATATAGATTTCTTACAAGAACAAAAAGTACTTTATCGATATTACATGACATGATTTTATGACCTAAAATAGTAAAGAAAAAAACATTTGTTTTCTCTTTTTAAATCTGACTTAGGCTGAAGTTGAGAGAGGTTCTTGGGGAGGTCAATTAGAATTTATACTAACCTGCGTTGGATATGCTGTTGGCTTAGGAAATGTTTGGAGATTCCCTTATCTTACCTTTCAAAATGGTGGTGGAGCTTTCCTTATTCCCTACATTCTTATGCTGATTCTACTAGGAATACCGGTATTCTTCTTCGAAATATGTCTTGGTCAATTTGCCTCGTTGGGACCCTTGGCTATCTGGAATCTAAGCCCTTTATTCAAGGGTGTAGGTGTGGCAATGATGTCCGTTGGACTTATGGTAGCTCTCTCCTACTGTATATTGATGTCCTACATCCTATTCTTTTTCTTCGCAAGGTAGAGAAAATTAATTTACGACTTTAGTTCAAATTAATAGATAATCTAAGTCTATAAATTTTTTATATATAAATACATATATACCTCTATCCGTAGTATGGGTCCATTACCTTGGAAAGATTGCGCAAATTCCTGGAATACCAATAAGTGCATAACTAGTAATATTTTCGCAAATTCTACACTATTAGAGCAAATTATAAAAGGTAAAATAGTCAATAGAATGATTTTACTCTCCATAAATTAACTGTTAATAACGCTATATTTTAGATCGGAATATCACTAGAGCAGAAATAAAGACTCCTAGCGAAGAGTACTTTTATAATCAAGTCTTAAAATCTTCAAGTGGACTTGATGAACCTGGTGGAATTGTTTGGCAATTGGCTTTATGCTTACTATTAGCCTGGGTTATTGTATTTGTTGTCTTACTTAAGGGAATATCCTCATTAGGAAAAGTCGTCTATTTTACATCGACATTCCCTTATATCATGATGACAGTTATGCTTGTTAGAGGAGCGACTCTACCAGGAGCCAGTAAGGGTATAGAATTTTACTTGAAACCTGATATAGCAAAATTAAAAGAGTCGTCGGTTTGGAGCGATGCCGCTTCTCAAATTTTCTACTCTTTAAGTACATGTACTGGTGGTCTGATTGCTATGGCTTCTTATAATAAATTCAAGAATAATACTTTTCGCGATTCCATGATTGTACCATTTATAAATTGTGGTACTTCTCTGTTTGCCGGTTTCGCAATCTTTAGCGTACTTGGCTTTATGGCGAAGGAAAAAGGTGTAGAAGTTTCCGATGTAGCAGCCACTGGACCTGGTTTAGTTTTTGTTGTGTATCCAGAAGCTTTATCAAGGATGGCAGGGGGTACAGTCTTCTCTATTCTCTTCTTTATAATGATGTTAACATTGGGTTTCAGTTCTTTGGTAAGAATCTTAAAAAGATTTATTATTCTTTATTCCTTTATCAATTTATCCTGTTTTTAATTTAGTTTTCAATGGTCGAATCGTTCTTTGTAATGTTGATGGACGAATTTCCAGATACCTTGAGATGTAACTCAACAAGACCTATAATTTTTAGGGGCGTTTGTATCGTCATATTTTATCTAATATCGTTACCAATGGTAACTAAAGTAAGTGTCTCTATTGTATAAAAAACATCAACGTATTGAAAGTTTTAATACTGATTCTTTATTTAAAAAAAAGGGAGGATTCTATTTGTTTAGTCTTGTCAATGAATTCGCTGGCGGTTTTCCTAGACTGATAACGGGATTGTTTGAATTGTTAGTTGTTACGATGGTTTACGGATATTCTAGATTTGCAGAAGATATCTCACTAATGATTGGAAAGAAGCCAGGCATCTACTTTCAAGTCACATGGTGCTTTCTATCTCCTCTCTTGATAGTTGTAAGTAATTAGGCACACGAGTGTAGGGATAATAATTCTTTTTGAATGTCGTTTTTCTGTTTACTCTCTTTTTCTAGGGAATCCTTATCTTTAAAGCAGTTCAATTTAAAATGCCTATTGTTAATAATGTCGTTTATCCATCTTGGGGTGCCGTCCTCGGCTGGCTTATGGTCGGCGGAGTAGCCATATGGATACCAATTGTTTTTGTTATACAATGGTGTAGAAAAGGAGGTTGGAGAGTTATAAGAGAAGAATCAAAGCCCGCTGAAAGTTGGGGTCCGGCAAATTTAGAAGATAGAGAGAATACAAGATACGTACTACCATCACCACGAAGAAATCTATCTAATAGCAGAAATTTTGGGACAGGTTCAATATATACATCGGATAATTGGTCTCTAAGCAGGAGAAATGGAGATATTGTAAATATATCTCAAACCTCACAGTTGTAAGAGAAGAAGAAGAAGAAGAGGAAGAAGAAGAAGAAGATAAAGAAGAAGAAGAAGAAGAAGAAGAAGAAGAAGAAGAAGAGAAATAATGAAATTAAAAGCAAAAAAAATAACAAAAACATAACAAAAAGCAAAGAACTAAATAGTGATTATATTATTAATATTAATAAACCAAGAAATTAATAAAAAATGTATAGTAAAGAGAATATGCAATAGAAATGATCATATTTCATATATATTTCATTTTTTTAATTGATATATTGATAATACAGAATAAGAATATTAGAGAAAAAATAATAGAACAAATGTTTGACAAACATTCTTTTCTTTTTCAATCTTTTTACTAAACAGAAAAGCCGAATTAACAATAAAGAAAGAGTTTATTATGAACAAATGAACTGAAATCTTATCAATCTTTTGCCCGTCGATAAGATTAACAATTGAAAGTTGTAGCACTCATAGTAACCAATAGCAAAATATTTTTATTTAATTATTTTTTTAATAGTATAGGCCTACTTTCTTTCTCTCATTATTATTTAAAGCGAATTAGCTATTGATTATTAATTATAATAAGGTTAAAATAAGATTTTGCAAAATAAATACGACTGTTGAATATAGACAGTAGATGACACTACTGCCCAGGACGGGACAATTGCATTTCCAAGTAGCTAATAGAAGAGATTAGGAGTAAATATATTATATATAAAATACTGTTTATATTCATTAAGAAATCCGAAAATAGTTAAATAAGCTTATATATTAAAGTATAAATAGACTAAATTTAATAAAAAAACATGCGATTGACAAGTAAAAAAGAAGGAAAAGAATAAAATTGAATAAGATTAATCTTGATGAAATATCAATTAAAAAAATTGACTTAGTCAAATATAGATTAATCTAGTCACTTTTTTATGGTCCTAGTATAACTCTGCACTTTCAATTCTTCCTCTTGACTAACAAGGTCGGCTGAGGAGATTGTAAATTGCTTTCTAAGGATACATCTCGAGTAAATTAAAAGCTTAAAAGTATAAATTAAATAGAATAAAAGATGTATGATAGGTATTACAATTAAAACTACAAGCGCAGATAAAAGTACAGATTTTGCTGTTGAAGTTTTAAAATCGAGTATTGAATATATATAAGGCTTATCTTGAAAGTTTCGACCACCTAGTACAACGTACACGGCGGAAAAGACAAAATAGGTTAAACAGAAAATCATACTATAAAGGCAATGTAAGACGCGTAAAGGAATAGCGACAATGACAACATCTATAATTATATAAAGACAGGTTGTTCCGTGAGTTAATAGATCAAGATAGAGAAGATTGCCACCTTTGTAGATAAACATCCAATAAATAAGGCCCGCGAATAAAGGAACAGAGAGACTAAGATTATATATAAGCCAAACAATCCTATGGTACCATTGAATTTTCTCTACTGTTGAAGATATTAAGAAAAGTTTTACTTTCTTAATAAATAATTGGATTGTTATTAAAATATTCACCAAAACATTGTTTCCTAAACATTGAATAAATTACAACAAGACATTGCGTAATTGTTGTTAAAGTTATCATAAAAAAGCTCCAGTTAGTAAGATATATAAACCAACGAATTCTAATGAAGGAGAAAAGAAAATTAAAGTACTTATTTAATCAATGACGTCAAAAGGAAAAAAAAAATTAAAGATTAAAGGTCGAATAATTATATAAAAATCGATTATTGGTAACCTTTGCCTTTGAATTTACATCAATTGATATACAGTATGTATACAGTATATGTGTTATCTTGTAAATTAAATACTTATTGATATACTTGAAAAAAGCAATAAAGACAAAATTGAAAGAGAATTTGATGAAAAATACCTATAATTACGGGTGTTCTCCACCATCCACTCTTTATGAGGACGAGCTCCAGTTAAAATTATAATGATTATATGATAAATAGCCATAAGACATCGATAAGTTAAAAAGACATATTTATTAAAAGCTGGCCATTGAGACCTTTCAAAGTCTCTACAATTTCCGTGATTAAACCCTAAAGACTTTGATGAAAATTCTCGCTTCCAGTTGCAAACATAATGGCGGATTCGAAAGTTTGTTGGCATTTTTCTCTTCTGTTAAAGTCAGCAAAGTGATTATAACCTTAAGCGTAACGACCAACTTTTTGCCCCTGGTTATCTAAAAGAGGTGGTAAAAGATATCAACAGTATGACTCGAATAAAATACTTCAGATGGCGTATTTAATATACTTGAATTGTAAGAAGAAGAAGAAGAAGAAGAGGATTAAGTGATGGAAATATACTATATTAGCTATTAACTGATAGAAAATGTAAAGTTAAAATATCTCTAAACGAACTAAATTATCAGTATTTAAAGTCTAGACTTCCTTTTATTAGATGACTTTAATATTTTAATATCAATTTGTTGTCTATTTAAAATCAAAAATCAGCTTTTTATGGTAATGCTGTGCATACTTGTATAATATCTATAGTCTTACATAAGAGCGATTTTATGGCCTTGGACTATGATTAAAGGTAATAAGGTAATATTGCTACTAAGAACCGATTCATTTTGGTACTATAGTTTATATAGTAAATAGCGTTTCTGAGTGGCTATCTAATAGTTTTAAGAAGAAAATATCAGCCATATATATATACTGTATTTCTAAATCTGATACAGCTTATATTATTCCATATATAAGGGGCTTGTGTTTATATTATTGGTAAATGTAGAATAAGAAATTGAGAGGAAGAGAATGTGTAGGAAAATAAAGGGGGAAGAGGAAGAAAGAGAAGAGAATTTGATAACTGAAAAACCCCATAGGGATGCTTTTTGTCAAGCCCCAACTCCTTTTATCTTAGCCAAACTCCTAAGTAGAAACATTGAAATGATCTCAACTCCTGGGGGTTTTATTTATAAATGTATAGTGTATATAAATTTATGTATTTATATATATATATATATAAATATGCCTATACTGTATTAAAGCATATATATATCTAATATTATATCCACAGAGATTATTATAAACGCTAAATGAAGGGTTTCCCATTGACATTCAATGTAGTTAGACTTTAAGATGAAATACATTTGAGAGAGATCCGCCGACATTTAGAAAAAACATATCCAAATTGGAGGAAATTTCTATTTCCTCTACCAAAAGATCTTTACATAATTTATGGATATATAACTTATATATATTGTATATCTATATTGTATACTAGTTGCAGTGGGGTAAAACTTTGCAAAGAATACAATATGTTTTGTATAATCTGTTGTTTTAGAAACCCATATTGAATATCTATATGAAATTTCTCTTTACAATTTGATATTTTGACAGATGACGTTCTCTTCCTCTTCTTTTTTAGCCACGGCTTGTTAACTTGATTTTATGAGAGGGAAAAGTTGATTAAACGATACGTTTTTATTTTCCTCTTTTTAGTACGTAAAACAAATAAAGGAAAAAAAATTGCTGTGTTTAAGATTGTCAGAAACGAGAGTCACTCATCCTCTAAGAGATAATTTACCAAAAAACATTTTCTTAGTCCCTTCACTACCCAATTTCCTGACAACGTATTAATAATTAAATGATCTTAATTCCCTCACCAGGTGGCGCTACCTTTGCTCTTTCCCTTTTCAACCAAAATACTTTCGTCTTCGCCGCTTAAAAGCGAAGATGAAGTCGACAGTCTCGTTAGCCTTGTTGCTAATTTGTATTCTAAGCGGTAAGTGGGTTTTGATAAGCTATTCAAATTATCCTTATTAATTATTTTAACCTAAATATAATATATACATTTTATTGTTGATATATCGTTCGATTTCTATAAAAAGAAGAGGAAAAGTAGATATAGAAAAAAAGAGATGATGTTATATAGATTTAAAAATAGCTTCGTTTAAAAATCTTCCATTTCTAATAAGAATAATTAGAGGAGAAAAATTGACAAACCTTTTAAAAAGCAATATAAACAGCAGTAAGAGTTTAATAAATCAAAAGTAGACATAAAAATATATATTTATATATATATAGAAATATTTCGGTATATTTAATGAAATATCTTATCTTTCTTTGCCTGTTTTTATAGAATTTTTATTGTTTTACTGTTTGCTCCTCCTTCTGTTTGTTTATAATCTTTCTTTTTATATTTTGCCTTTTCAGTTTTTGCGGCCCCTGCAGAAAAGAAATCAACTAGTGTACAATCTGTACCCAACGAGATCGTAAGTAGCAGTATACGTGCTTTGAGAGAGATATTTAGCCTCTCATTTTTGACCCTCATCACTCTGTTCGAGAATTATTCAAACGCGTCTTTTCTTTGTCGCATATGCTTCTAAAAGATCTTGTCATCCCATTAAGAGGTAACAAAAAGCGTATAAAAGAGCAGCTGCTATTTAAAACGTTAAGAATGCGAGCATCCATTGAATCCAATATCCAAAGGAGGCGGTCAGAGGAAGAGAGTAAAAAGGGGAAATAATAATAGAATAAGTTATTTTTATATGGGAGAACCACAATTGCTCTCTAGATAAGGCATTTACTTATAGAGAATTTTGCAGCTGACTGTTTGATACGAAGACTACAATAGTCATTTAATATTTTTCAATCTATAGTTTTGTTTGTTTTCTTTGTTGCTTTTAGAACTTCAGTTAATCTTCTTTGGAAAGTGAAGGCATAGTTCTTCTGTAATCTCGTTATTTATCGAAAATCTGTTCATGCAGGGAAAATCGGTCATATTTTATGCATAGAAATGGTATTTTGGCTCTTAAAATAATCCAGTAAGAGATTAATGGAGTGTAGAGTTTGCTACAGTTTTCTATTTTCTATATGCATCTAACTAAATATAGAGTAAAATATTTAAACAAATAACAAAATATTGACGCCAATATATTTCAATACGCTGATGCGATATGCTGATAGAGCAAAAACAATTTCATATATGGAAAAGGTAAACTACCTCCCATCCCGCTCCCTTTTTCCTCTCCCTATTCGCAGCCCATATATATTTCATAAAATAATATAATGGAATTTTCTTTGCCATTTACTATAAGAACAGAGAGTCGGATAAAAAAAGAGAAATTTGTAAATGATAGTAATAGTTCGTTACTGGGATAAAAAGGGAAAAAGAAACATGGTGGCTCTTTCATTAACTGAATCACCGCAAATCGAGATAAATACAAAAAAATGTCTACAGAATTGCATAGTTTTCTCCGTGTTTTACGAATTACAAAATCTCTTTTATTATCAAAACTGATCGATTGTTAGTTAGTTAACTATAGGCATAGTAAAATAGCTACTGGAATTAAGTTTATAATTGGAGAACTGGGAAGCCCTATGGTATTACGCAACATTCAATTAATTGTTCGCAAAAGATTTTATGCATTCGTTTCTAGTCGGCCTAGTTATATCCCAATCCTATTATTAGCGATTGAATCCATTTCGTTAATGAATAAAATACTCTAAAAAATAAACTCGAAATAAATCAATCTAACTGATAACCATAGTCCTCTCTTCTTTTAAATTTTGAAATAAACATATTCTCCTTTCATCCTTATATTCTTTCTTTATCTTTCTCCCTCTTCCCTCTATTTCTATTCGGTCTCCCGCTCCCTCTCTCTGTCTCTTTCTATAGTGATTTATATTTTTATTCCATTTCTTGGTTTCTTTCATTAGGTAAAGAAAGAAAGGATGAATGAATGAATATATAAAAGAAAGAGTTATGCTTGAGGCAAAAGAAAGTGATATAGATGAATGAAGAAAGAAAG